GTCCTGCCCATCTCAGCCTGCCAATTTTCATTAGCCTCATAACATCAGCTTCTTTATATAGCTGCATCAGCTCATCGTTGGATCGCATTGGTCGTTCCTGATTAATATTTATTATTGTGCCGAATATTCTTCTTAGCACACGACGTTCAAACAGAAGAAGAGCTGTTTCTTGGGCTCTTGATATTGTCCAGCACTCCGACCCATATGTTAGTACTGGTCTGATCAGGGTTTTGTACAAGAGCAGCTTGGTTTTACGAAAGATCACTCTACTTTTGAGATGTCCCTGGAGACCAAAATAAGCTCTGTTTGTGGCCATAATGCACCTCTGTATTTCAGGATTCATATCATTTTTTACATTGACTTGTGAGCCAAGGTATATAAATTCCGAGACATCTTCAAAAGTCATCCCTCCGATTTCTACATTTGCCTCTCTGTGGCCTCCATCCTTTGGGTCGGCCCGCATATACTTTGTTTTCTTCTCATTGACCTTTAAGCCAATTCTTGCTGCTGCTCCTTGTAGCGCTAAGAAAGCATCTTTTATAGCTGCCCGTGTTCTTCCAACCAATGCGATGTCTTCGGCAAACCCTAGTAATTGCACTGAATAATTAAAGATCGTTCCACCAATCTGAATTTGGGATCTTCTAATGGCACATTCGAGGGCAATGTTAAATAGAAGACACACCAAGCAATCTCCTTGGCGCAGTCCCTTCTGCATTTCAAAGTAGTCCGACATATCACCTTGGATTCTGACAGTGCATTGCACTTCCTTCATTGTCACGTGTATCAATCATCCATAGACAAACAGAACATCTCCATCCTAGTCCTTTTCAACTTCTCAAAAGCCTAATAACAGGTTAGTCATGTTTTTTAAGTCAAAACAACAAAAATTATAATTATAGTAACAATTTATTTGGGTATATAAAATCATACAATATTTACAAATTTCACATAATATATTACATAGAAAGGCAATGAAAGATATTTAAAAAGTATTATTAACAACTTAAAGCCCTGAGATGTGCGTGTTAAAATAATTTATACCATACTAGTTAGGATATATTTTCAACTAGATGATATGAAAATATATACTGAAATACTGTAGAAGTAATTAATAGAAGATAAAAGTATTTCCAACTACATCCAATAAAATGTTGATTTAAAAATAATTTATATAAAACTGTTCAACAAACAGAAATAATAAAATTTTAATTAATCTTAAATCACTTAATTTTATGACTGTTAATTAGCCCTTTAGATAAAAAGAAATGGTTTAATTTAAAAAAACATAAAACCAATTGAAAAGTTTTAAAGAATACTAAAAATAATAACACATTTAGGTAAACAGTTGCATACATTTATAATTATTGAATTGTTAAGTATGATTAATTTCAATTTTTTTAGCTAAATCCTATATAAAATAACTCACAAAATTGTTCAGTATAACAGTCAGAACACAAATATTATTTGAAAATACAGTTTAAGAAAGATAATCTCCCTTATCTGGCATTAATGCAATCAATATTATATAGAAATTGTAAATTAATCTATGAAAAGGAATAAGTTTACATACCTATAGATATAAACACATTTATGTATAAACAAATATATAATAGCATATTCTAAAAATTCATTTTATAATAAGCAAAGTAATTTTTAACCCATTCATTAAAATGAGCACCTATTAATTTTGTTTTATTGTTATTGTGTTATTGGTTAATTTAATTTTTTTTTATTGTTTCATAATACTAAAATTTATAGTTGAGAGTTTTCAGTTTATTTATTATTTTTATTTTCAGTTTATTTATTATAGTTTACTTTACTCTGAAAAGTAAGCAAGTGGTCAACCTGTTGAATGAGTTAAAAAACTTTCTTAGTTGATTATCTTTTTAACATTTTTAAATACTCGACATTATTTTACTACTTATTTAAAAAAGTAACATATAAATTGAAATCAAAAGAAAAATTGTACACAACTTTACCAATAATACAGTTGTTTAATACTGAGGCAAAGAACCCATTAACATATGAAATTATGTTTAAATTACACTAAAGAATTGGTAAGTTAAAGGTAACAAGATAGTAAATTAGTGCAAGTAAAATAAATGTATCATAAAATTATAATATTATATAATAAATTAGTGATAGAGTATTAATTTAGTAAATTTGATATTTATTAGTGAACAAGTAAAATACTTATAGCTTAATTAGAAAAATTAGAAACAAATAATATGATTTTTCTGACTTTGTGGGTGCCGGATAAGGAAGAGCACCCAATACACTCTCATTAACTATCGTTTTAACTTTCAAGATAAAAAGTGTAATCTTAAATTTTCACAAGAATAAGTACCATTTATAAAATAAAACTAATAGTTAAAGAATAAGAATAAGAATAAGTACCATTTATAAAATAAAACTCGTAGTTAAAGACCATAGAGGGTGTTCGTAAAATCTAATATTGATCAAGCAATAATATAATTCATAATAATTATATAAACACTTATGCAGACGCAATAAGAAAAACTATGGTTTGTTGAATAAACTGATATTCTTAAAAAAAAAATAGAAAAAAAAAGCTTTTTAAGGCTAATTATATGAAATAAAAATATATAGTACACTTCAATACATCAGTAAATTATTTTAACACATCTAATCACTAAAATCACAAGGACTGAAATGTGTAAAAAATAATACAAACTCAAATTCATCACTCAATCTGCTTGTTATTTCTTGAAACATTTATAATCTATAAAACGGTTAATTAAGTATTTATTTAAATCACAAATTGATACATGTTACGGTTTAGAAAAAGAAATATTTCAGAACTTACATACAATCCACTAATAGGTAAATGCTCAGTTTAAAGTTAATAATTTTAATAAATCAAAAAGTAAAAAATACAAATAATAATAATAATCATATTTATCACAAAAGTTTTGTTCGCTTACATTTATAACTTAAATATTCTAAAGATAAAGCTTTGTACCAAACAAGAGAGCATAATTATATATGACACAATAAATTAAGGAAGACTGCCAATTCATATTTCCAATATAGGCAGCATTGATGGTATAGAAAATACATTAAAATATATAATGAAGACAAAATTTAATTCCTATGCTAATGACTTAAACAAGAAGATTTATAATCAAAAAGGTCAACAAGCCCAAAGTTAATAACATCTTTAACCTTAACAATAGAAATAATATAATATTATTAATAATTACATTAAATAAAAATACATAATACATTGTATTACATAATACTGTCAAACACCAATGATGTAGAAAGAGAATCAAAAATATTTAACAAAAGTTAACAGAAACATAAATAATAACAGTCTTGTCAAATACTATATGTTTTGAAAAATGAAAAAGTAAATTACATGGAAGAACCAGAAACACAATTAAAGTTTATTATAAAATAGCTTGTGGAAAACAAAGACTTGTTTTAAGTTCTGAAAATATTATTCCAAATTTCATATCAGTCTTCCAGTGCCCGGTTGTACTAATTCCAAGCTGTTAATTTCTAATGAGTTAAACAGCGATATCTAGCACAGGACTAATGAAGCATACTTTACAAAAAAATTGAGCTCATTTTTTACCCTAAACTTTTACTGCTCAGGATACTCCACATGACCAATGTCTTAAACCATAATGTTAATCTATAACACATCACTACATTAAATTTGTAAACTAACTTGTTAAAATCTAAGGATAAATCTTTGATACAGTTAACGATGGTTATTTTACATAAACTGATAACTACTAAAAGATTAATAAACAAAAAAAATAAAATAGTCGTTTAAGTAAATTTTAAAAAGTCTGTATCATGATGGAGATTGGATACAGTACTTAACCAAGTACTGTTTATTAAGTGTAAAAAAATAAATTACCTTTAATGATATTAGGGTTACATTTTTTTGTCCCAATGTTAATACAAACACCTCAAAACCTCAACTTTGACAGGCATAGCACACTTTAGTGTAAATTTAAGCAGTGGCAATAAAATTTTTACTCTTGGTCGATAGATCAATCAAATGATAATGTATGCATTTTTTTGCAAGAACATTTAAACCATTAATCCATACTCATATACAGTATATGCCTACAATTATTATATAGTAATATATTTATGCTAATTCATTTTTGTGCTTGTGAATAATAACTTGAGCATTCCATATTTATTTTTCTTTGTTTCACTTTATTTTATAACTTTTGTTAGGTTTTGATGTTTTATAACCTTATCAGTATTCATTTTCACAACTTTTAATCTAGCTAAGTCAATAACATCAAAGAATTGTGTTTTGAGAATATTACTTACAGTAAACACACAATATTTATGGCAGAAAATACAAGATATCGATGTTCAATTTCATAGATATTGTAAGGATCAATTTAAAACGCATTGGAAAGAGTTGGAAAAACTCTAATCTAGATCTGCTCAAAGGTTTCAAGATAATATATAATACTTAGAGAAATACATGAATGTACTAGAAACCTACGAAAATAAATAATGACTTTATCATAAATATTTATAACTAAAAACCATAAAAGTTGCTCTTAGAACATCTTAGCGGTTGACCATCGATATATCATTTTTTTAATCAGTTATGCAAGAGTATTAAGCAAATAAACTGATAACAGAAAACTCTATAAATTATAATAATACATATGTTATTTTAAATAAATCAATTCCTAGAAATAATGACATTTAAGTTAATAGTAAAGTTAATCACTGGGCTGTTAATGAAACTAGTATGTATAATTTTTGTTTTTTAAACTATCAAAGGTATACACCACTAATTAAAATTTTATTAAGATTAAACAATTCTAACATAAGATAAATTAATATTAATAAAAATAATAACAGTCCATTTCTTATAACATATCATTCATAATATTTGTCTTCTTAAAAAATTTAATTTACCTTAAATAAAATTATTTACAATTAATGATAAATAAATTATTTTGTCTTAGATCAACTAATTTGTAGAATGTTATTTATGCTGAGCTTGAATTAGTTGCTGAAGTTGCTCCAGAAATGGCTGAGAAAAGAGCTTGAGAATTCCTTTTGAAACTACCCAGCTCAGTATGAGGCCATAGAGTTTCAGAAAACATGGATGATAGCTCTTCTGCTAATTTTTGAAGATTTTGCCGAAGAGCTGCTTGATATTCAGCCTGATCAGATCGAACTAATCGTGAGTTCAATTGAAGTGCAGCATAACAAACTCGCACGAATTCCCTTTAAATAAAATAAAATAAAAATAATCAAGAAACCAAAAATCAGTAATACTAGATTTTTTACATTGACAATTATATAGATCAGCTACATAACTTTACATCAGAAAATTCCTAAGGATGTTTCTATTAGTTTTAAGGACACTGAATCAAAATTGACCTATTTCTTAGATCACATACATTTATTTTTATTTTTTAATATTTTTACCAGAAGAAAAGAGAAAATTTTTGTAACAAATGCCCAATATTAAAATATATATTAAAATTATCATTTAAAAAAATCACTCAAGTCCATAAAAAAAAGAATAAAGAATGTATTTAAAATATATCACCCAAACATCTACAGAATTTAAGAAATCTTTTAGCACTGGGGAGAGATGTAGTTCATAATACAGGTGCTAAGAAAAATACAATCCTTCCATTGTCCAAGACTTTATTTAAATTTAATGTATCAATTACTATAACAGTAATGGTAATGGAATTAAAAGTAAGCAGTAATGGTTTTAGATAAAAATTAATAAACACTTCCCCATTTCATATTGGCCATTTCATTCACTGTAACCAGAAATCCTGACCAACATTTTTTAATACATGTTGGTTTAAGGCAGGGGTTCCCAAACTATGGCCCACAAAAGTCTCTTTGATTAAAAATAGTCAAAATTTTAAAATTATTTACAAAATATGAAATTCAGTAAGTAAATCACTCAAACATTAGGTTACAACTTTATTGCATGATCCTTTTTCTCTTAGAAATTGACTTCCAATTGTTTCGACCATCGATATTTTTGTCATCACAGAAATTTGATAAAAATCACAATGTGGTCCACGGACTTAGTGAAGGTCTCAATGTGGCCCACAGGTCAAAATGTTTGGAGACCTCTGGTTTAAGCCAGTGATGATTAACCTTTTTTCACAAATAACTACATTTTTAAAAATACTATGCAAATTGTAAAAAAGAAATTTATAATAGACAATATTAACACTGAACGATGAACTCAGATTACCTGTTTATTGAAAAATATTTACAAATATAGAGGACACAGCAATTCACACGCATGTTCCCAACTATTCACCACTTCATCTCAATCCTTCATCACTTTTAATAATATTCAATTCAGAAAATAATTACTAGCAAACATAGAGGATGCAATCATAGTATATATATGCCATGTGTGTGACATTTGATTTAAATATTGTTTCAAATTCCATTATTAATTTTTGAAAATGCTTGGCATATTTTTGGCCTCATCATTGTAAAGTTAAAATGTTAAATTTTTAAAAGGATGCAAGAAGAAGTTAGCAGACCCAGATCACTCATCTCTGGTTTAAGTCCTCTTTGATATTACTCTCCCTTTATTGCTATAATGGACTATTCTGTAATCAGGACACATTAGTCCTAATCCTCTTCCCTCTAATACAAAATCTTTTATCTATATTATTTATCACATGTGGATAAGAACTGTATATTATGATGATCTGCATTTATTTTCTTACAGTATCAAACTAATTACAAACATCTCAATGTGAAATGGAACTTAAAATACCAACACCATTCAATTGATCATCCTATCTAATGAGGGACAGTAAGAAGACTGTTAGTGGAGATAAAATCCAAAGCCTTTTCCAAATATCTTTACTTCATATTTATTTCCAACCTCAAATTTCACACCACCAACACTGCTCCAATTTTATTTTACTAACACTAATAACCTACATCATGACCTAAATATACCTTACTTCCTTAAATTTATACTTTGAAAATGGTATTTGCCTCTTTTTATTATCCAAATTCACTGGTTCAATCTTTATTAATTACTGAATTTCATTATATATTTCATTATTATTAATTCATGAATTTCTTCGATGAACGGTAAATATCATTGATTCATAGCAAAGTCATTGAGTACATTTTTGATGGAGTTAAACTGATTAAGTGCATTAAAATAACAGAAAGACTATTATAAATCAATTAACAGTTACTACAAAAAATGGACAATAAATATTTTGATTTTGCAGAGGAAAAACTGTCAAAGTACTTAATAATTTAATTTTCTAAAATGGTACTGATGAATTTTTGCAATAAACCGATATATAGTATGCTTGAGATTCTAAATATGAGTTATTTCGAATATATTATATAGATTGGGACATTATAATATTTAATACTTAACTGAGCTAGATGCAATTCATAATAAAATTCTATTAATAAAAAAAAATTTGTAAAATAAAACATCATCAGAAATATTTGTATATTTAGAGGGATTCCAATCATATGAACAATATTAATAGTAATATTCTTAATGTATTATTAGGTACAACAAGAAAATACCTGAATAGATCCTTAAGTTCTTCAACTTTTTCATCTGGAAAATTGTGAGAAATGGATGGATCTAAAAATGCAGTTGCATATGCAAGTGGTCCAGCATTGACTTGAACACAAACACTCCCCTAAATTAAATTAAATTTTTTTAAAAATAAAAATAAAAATAGTGAAAAGATAAATATCTGTAATACTAATAAAATTAAAAGGTGCTTTTTGTTAATTAATTGGATTTTTTAATGTTATTATTAACAAGTAATTGATTTATTCCTTTTAAATCTTAATAATTCATATCACCAGAGCCAGTAGTAAAAAAAAAGTAAGTTAATAATTGTGGATATAGAAAACTTATCTCATGTTATAGTACACATCGGTTAAATAGATTTTAGAGGTAAATTTGAATTTAAATTCAACCAATAAAACAATTCATTCTCAAAATAAAAATAATGGAATTTCATACTGAAAGTGCTTGGTTACTACTGGTATCTGATGACATTATAGAACACAAAATAGAAAAGAAGGGAATTCCTCTAACGATAGGAGACACCACCTACCCACTTTCCAGTCATTCCTATCTTGCCTCAAGTTAGGAGCAATTTTAAGTCTTTATCTGTTTTGTGGTGTTTATTTTTGTTTAATCATTATTAAGGACAGAATAAATAAAGGCCATTTATCTAAGTTTTTCATATTTTCCATTGTAATTCCGACACGAAAAATTCAAGCATAATTCTTGATCTTCGAAGAACTCTAGTCTGCTGGATACCCAGAAATATTACTTAAATAATTTATCATTTAGATAAAACAAACCTGAAGTTTAAGCTGTAACTTTTTTGCATCGGGAGGTTGAAGAAAAACAACTTCTTCCAATTCAGCCACTCTTTGTCTCATTTCATCCAAAGCAACTTCAATAGGTGTAAGTTCAAATTCTTCTTTCTCAACAACTCGTAATCTCTTTTTTACATAAGGAAAACAATACTCACCTGAAACAAGATATTCAACATACAAATAAAAAAAAAAAAAAGGTGGTAAAACTTGTTTACCAATGGTTTAACAACACTAGCTAACATAAAAAATAATTAACCTTTAAAAAGTTTAGTCAGCTTATAATTTAAGTAAACATATTTATTTTTTTTTTTGTTCAATTTTAATTTGTGAAATTGGCAAATCTGCCTGCGAAAGCTATTATTATTTATTTTCGTAAGGTTTTGAGTGAACACACTGTGGGATTTTAGAGTAAGAGTAAGAAGTAAGAGCCGTTAATATTTTCTAAATTTACAGAAACTGTGAAAATTTCTCATAAATGCGTTAACAGTGCTGCCAAATTTTGCTATACATATGGTGAACTGACATTCTTCTGTGCTCAAAAACGACTTTATCTCAAATAGTAATAACAATCTAGTTTCATTAATTTTTGATGTCATGATAGATGATTAAGAAAAGTCATGGGAACCTCACCTATTTTGTAATACACGTTCAGTGAATCTGCATAGGTGGTTTGCTAGGAGGAAACATTCAATTAACTTTTGTGTACCAATGATACAGTGTGAACCAACAAATCATATAAATTACTGTTATTTCTGCATTATAATAAGTTACATTATAATAATAATGTAACATCAATGTGGACTTTTAAGGGCTTTTGTGCCTAAACTTTCAAAACATTATCAACTGCTGCCTGATTACAACAAAGCCAAATCAAGAATCGTTAGAAATAAGCCTGTGACACAAGATACTTACTTTAATCTGGCAGATGAATTCAATGAGCCACACAGAATTATAAAGGGTGAGTTAAGCAATCTGTTACGAGATTTAAGCCTCCCGCAAGACAAAGTCTTGTTCGTTATTACTATTAGGAACTAGATTTAACCTATGGAATCTTTTGTCATCTGGTGTTAAAGTAAATTTTTGCATAGATCAACAAAAATGTCAGATGTCATATTTTCAAAGGGGGATACTGAGTGCACAAGCGGCAAGCAGACTAAACCTTTCATAGGACAGAAATGTTATTTCTTGTTCTGGATGTTATAATTTAGTATACAATAAAAGCTATATATCAATAAAAATAAGAAAAATTCTGTATGTTATATTGTTTTTCATAACCCTATGAACAATCAAAATTAGCTATTTACAGTTCGGAAGAAATTATTTTGTTGGCTAGTGTAATTTGTTGCTAAGCTCTTGAAAGAGAAAAAGTTTATAACAAGATATCATAGAAAAGAAAACTTAAAACATTTTTTTAAAAAAAGTTAAAGATATCGGAGATATATGTGGTTCCAGAACCACTGGACCCATTTAGCTTTCCCCCAATAATTGAAAATTTTACCTGTACAATTGTCCACTGGACCTAGGATAGATCATGTGGACATTACTAGGTTATGAATTTTGAGATTGTGTTTTTAAAATAAGTAACTGTTTTAAGATCTCTTTAATAATTTAAATTTTAAAATTCCAAATATAATGTTTATAAAACTGGTAATGATGTCCACCAAAAAAAGTTCTTTGTCATTTTTCTAAATGAAAAAAAATTATATTTTGGGGATGTATGACCATATTGAAGACAGACGAAGAAAAACAACTAAAATATTATCATAATAAACTCACCACTCGTATTTGTTTACACCAACTTATACCAAATGTAAAAAAATTAGTCTGCCATCAGATCGATGTAACCAAATATGTGTAATTTTGACTTTCTTTCTTTGTATTATTTCCTTTATCTCGGGAGCCAGTCATGGGAGGCAAGTGTATTGTGCAGGAGTTTTAAAAGAACCATATGTGGATTAGGGGTTTAAAACAGGGTGTCACCAAAAAGCTCATCAGGTGAATAAAATATTTCAATGGACAGAATACAGAGCAAATAAAAAACAATTTTAAAAATAAAACAAAAACAAGATTACTAACTTGTAAGAACAGTCCTTCTCTTGTATTGTTCAGTTGGCGTCCCTCTTGGTCTGCCATCTTTAGTAAATGGAGTTTCAAACATAAATGTCTTAACGTTATGGTTTTGTTCAAATTCAGTTGATCTTATATGAGATTCAGTTTTGTCCCAATAAGGTAAAACAGAGGTTACTTGGATATGAGCCATTTTGGAATCCAGATCAGCTTCAACAATCTAAATTAGAAAAATAAATTAATTAGTATCAAATGATGTCATTAAAACAAATAGCAATGGACTAATTACATTACATATTAACTGATTTTATAAATTAGATTTTTTTTTTTTTTACAACCTGTTCATACAAGTCTTACACTTTTTTTTTTTTTTTTTTGTTCTTCCCTACCTCGCCATTTAGGCTATATGGGATTTTCCCGGGCCGGAGGGTGAGGGCGGGGAATTTAAAATCCCCTCTGGCACCGGGATGCGAACTCATACTTTTCTTGTCTCTCAAATCTTCATATATCGGGTTGCCAGGCGACTCGCGGTGCAATGCACACGCTTTAGCCTATTCGGCCACCCCGCCTCCAAGTCTTACACAACTTATAGGCCTCCCCTAATTAAGGGGGTATTATGGTCTAACTTCCCGCAGGGACCAGCCGTAGTGGGAAGTAGAGCCGGGATTCGATCCTATGATCTTTGCTTTACTATTATAGCACACTAACCACTCTGCTTTACCAACCCCCATAAATTAGATATAACAGAAATATCAGACTAACACGTACATCATTGCAGAGAGTATTCTGAATTGCTAAGCGGGTTTCACCTACTGACAGATAATATTCATGAATATTTTTAACAAAGACAGCTTGAATCTGAGTTAATGGTGGTATCAATTGTTAATTGAATAATCTCTATCTCATTTTTCCTCTTGGCATGTGGGAGCGTACATGTTCTCAAAGCCCATCCTTTTTCTATCTACTCGAGTTCCTTAGCTTGAAACGTATCTCTACATTGTTTTCAAGTACTAGTCAAAAAATAAATGAACCAGCAACTAAAAAATTTTATAGATGGGTCATTGAAAAATGAGGAACTTTTATAGAAATGTATGGCAAAGGTAATGGGTAATAGAAAACGAAGAAGAAGTGCTATGTTTATTTAAAAGTACGAAGCAACAAAGGAGTTTATTCTATATGGTACAAGTTCTGAAACACTGCTCTTGGTGGCTGATTTCAAAATCACTTTGAGCACACTGCTAATGGAAGCCCAATACAAACCAATGTATCCAAAAGTAGTTTTAGATGACTAATCTCTAATCCTTTATAAAAGAACCTTTACATTTGGTTAGCTTATGTTAACTTCACATTCACTTCTTTTTACATAAACAGTTATTTATAAACTTAGCATTTATGAATAACATTGTGAACCAACATCTTCAAAACTTTACTTCTATGGAAATAAATATTGTAATATCATTATTTTTGATCAATGGTAATCAACAGTCTTCGTATTCTTTCAGATTATTAAAAATAATCTTTAATAATCACACTAGAAATTATTATTATTTTTTTTTTGTATAGCCTGTTTTTACAAGTATTACACCTGTAGGCCTCCCCAATTAAGAGGGTAATGGTCTAACTTCCCACGGGGACCAGCCGTATTGGGAAGTAGGGCCGGGATTCGATCTAGAATATAGATATATCTAGAATATAGATATGATCTAGAAATTAAATAATAGTGATTAAATTGTAGTATTTCTGGAATAAAAATTTAATTACTTTTTAAACACTTTTATTTATACATACCCTACTGTAATAGAGATAAATAAGGAATACCATGAAGCATAAAGGCTTTATTAAACTGAATTCAACATACAATAATGAGATTAACTAAACTAATAAGGTTAAGCAACTAACATTTTAGAAACAGTTGATAACCGGATCACAATATATGATATATCACCTACTTTGTATAATTTATAATAAATTGTAATGATAAATATTGAGCATTAATTTACATTGATATTATTAAAGATTTTAATAAAGTTTAAGTTAAAAGACAGGATTAATGAGGTAATATTGTTGTTGAATTGTTTTTGGAATTACATTTGATAAATTGTAAATATTAAAATTGCATGCAGATTTAAGTTAGATATATTTTTTATTAATCATTATTATATTTATGTTAGTTTAAAATAAAATGAGCTATCTAAATAAATAATAAAATTTAATACTCACAGGAGCAGAATCCATTATTATTCGTACATTGCCTTGCCCAAATTTTTGAGAGTACTGTTGAAGAAGTCTATCTGATATTTCAGAAAGTGATGTTACCTTAGGTTCTTTATAAACATACTCTACCCCAGTCTCTTTGTCAAAGTAAACCTAAAAAAAAAATGTATTTTTAAAAATTGTCTGGGTGCAAAACTTATTAATAAAATTGTTATTTACCTCTCCATAAAAAGCAACCCTGTAAAACCTTCCGAGCAGTCTCTTTCCATGAGAGGACGTAACTTTGGCCATAGCTTGAGCCAGAGTGGAATAAGCTCTTGAAAGAGAAGCATAGTCTTTTCGTTTTTCATATATTGGAAGTAAAAGATTGTATAAGTGGTGTAGAGTTTCAAATCTCTCAGAGCGTTCGATATGCTCAGCACATGTCTCGAGCTGATCGATAAGTGTTTGTTCAGTATATTGTACGTCTACAACTCCTAAAAACAAAAATCGAATAATGTAAATGCACCAATAATGAAAAAATAACTAATTTAACAATATAATATAATAAGGAGATGAACAATAAACAATACACATTTATAAAAAAAAAATTGTATTTAAGAAATTATTTTTAATATAATATACCCCAAATCATGGAAAAATAAGAAATAAACTCTTTGCAACAGTTAATTGTAGTTAATTTTGTTTAAAACACAGGTACTTTTAGATGACAAGATGAAAAACCACATTTCTTTACACAACTTAAGGTGAATTTCAAGTATTTCCCTAATAAATATCAATTTAATTAAAATTTACTTGAAGCTTATTAAATGAAGAAGTTTTTCTAAAAAAATTGCCAATAATTTATGATTTTTTTTAAAAACAGAACTTAGCCAAGTTTAACCGTTCAAAAGTCCTCGAGTAAAATTTTATTTAGTTTACAGTGAAACAATTGTTAATTACTCAAATTAAATATATCTTTAATTATCGCTTCCTATTCATCAAAAAGCATTACCTACTTAAAAAAACACAAACATTTATTTCCTACTTTTTTGCTGAGAATTGGCCCATTGTTTATATGGATTTTTTTTGTAGGCCTTGAGGTCTGCTATCACTCCTACCAAAATTTCTCTCTACTTCTGGGACACCCTGCACAACTGCTTGTTTAGTATGCCAGAGTGTTCAAATTAGATATATATTTTTTTTTTTTTTTTATATCCTAATAGTGAATTTTTTCATACATCAATTACATATACTATTACCTGAATCTAATTTGAGAGAAGTTTCATCAGTTGGAATGTTTGAAGAAATTGGTCCGAAAGCCTCAGCACCCCAACACTGTTCACCTTTGAGTTTCAAATATTGAGCCATTAGGGCGGCTATATGCAGTTGACAACAGGCAGCCTGTAATTTTTTAAATTGGCCATTGTAGATTATTTCAAAATCAATTATATTATTATTTGAGTTTTACCAATGGGTAGTTTCTCATCAAGTTTTACATGTCATATTACCAATTCAAATTTACTAGTTGCATTTTTATCTAATACAGTTGTAAATTTCAATAAATATATTTTAAAAAATATTGTATAATCAATAAGATAGCAAATAATCTTGAATAGTATAACAATACATATAGATGATTTATAGGATGATAAAAAACAAAAGAAATTATTATATTAAGTTTGAAACTTTAAGTGTTCTTTTTTCTTAACCAGCTAACAATTGGTTAGTATAAAGTCAGCTATAAATTAAATGGAAAGAGAAAGCTATCAATGGTTAGCAGCTTCACTTTTATTTTTTATTATGTATGATAATCCCTTATTATCACAAACTTGGTTAGCACGAAAGATCAGATAACATAAAGTCATTTAATACCCTCATTTTTAAAGCTAAGAGATCAGGAAAATTGAAGCTAAGAGATCAGGAAAATTGAACATTAATAGCGGTATAAAGACCTAATGAGGATGAATTAACAGAGGTGAAATATATGTTCTTCGAAACGCTGCAGAAAGCAATGGACAATTAAGATGGATATCAAAGGGTGCTGGGAGACTTGAATGAAAGAGTGGGTAGATGTCAAATTGGTTTCGAAAGAGTGCTCGGCCCATACGGAGAAGAGGTTAGGAACAACAATGGAAAGAGGCTGTTACAATTTTGTCTCACAAATAACCTTGTTCTGCTCAACACAAAGTTCCCTCACTAAGAAATACATGAATATACCAGGGAGGAGCCATCTAGAAATGAAAAGTCCATTATTAACTATACAATAATAGAAAGAAAATTACCCCCCAGAGTTAGAATTGGCCTGGAAAGGTAAGAAGATTCCGAAAGATTGGGTGTAGAATATCCTAAATTTTATATTTGGGGTGTTTTAGGGGAGTGTAAATTGGTTCATGTTTTCTGTTGCAATTTTATTTTATTTTAAAAAGAACATATGTTTTTATTAGTTATGATGTGAACATTTTGAATTGTATTTAAAAATATAAAACTGGGAAATCTCAATCATTATTAAAATCTTCAAGAAAGGTAACACTGGAGCGAGAATGTGCCAACCATAGAGGTATTTCATTGCTGAGTGACCCAGGTACAATATACTCAAGTATCTTAGAAAGAAGACTGAGGAACGAGGTAGAACACCAACTGGATGAGGAGCAGTGTAGCTTCCGACCAGGCAGGAGTATTCACTATGCCAAATATGTGAAAAATTCATCGAGAACGACTAAGAGGTATACCTGTGTTTTATAGATTTAGAGAAGGCATTCAACAGGAAACCTTGGAATGAGTTATTGGCTTTACTCTGGAATAAACAAGTGTCGAGGCTCTTATACAGAGAATTAAATCATTCTATAAGACCTACAGAAACTATGTTAGAACGTCCCTTCAAACATTCGCCGAATTTATCAGTTCCCTAACAATGGGAGTCAGGCAGGGAGCCCTCTATATTTCATCACCCTCATAGATGATGTTATTAAAGAATGTAAGCAGACCAACACAAGTAACCACTTTGATAGCAAAGGCAAAACAGCTCAGTCCTTTTTTCTCCTTTGTTTCTCAACCTATTTTTTTTTTTTTTTTTTTTTGTAGCTATTGATGAGCTTAAGTGTTATCAATTTAAAAAATTTGAAAACAGTGTATGTAAATTAAAATTTCAATATTGATTTGTCAGCTAATATCCAAACGTTCTTTACTGCTTTAAAATGTTGATACAACATTCAACATTCATGAGTGTATATTTTTTTTTTTTATAAATTTCATTACCATCCAGTCTTTCTATTTGAAATGGCGACCGAAAAACATGAGTCACTAAAGACTATAACGTCAAAATGGCTATAACGATTTTAAAGAAACTTGGCTAAAGTCTTCTGTTTGAAACCCTTTTAATTTATATATACAATATACCTCCCTGAAAAGAGATAGGAAGTTCGGAAACAAGAAGAAGAAAAATAGATTCCAATATTTTTTTAAGGAGAAACAAAATCGAGATTCATATTTCGAATCTGGAAAAACCCTTGAATAAAAATTTTCATAGCTATCGACACCTAAAATATTTTTGCTTATTTTCACTGAATGAGTTAAGTGGGTTCAAATATATATATTTTTTAAAAGTAAGTTGGCTTCAATTTTTTATTTACCAATAATTCAAAAAGTATACAAATGGTACTGCACTGTTTTATTTTGTAAGTACATATAAAAGTGAATGTACGAATATATTAGAATAGAAAAAAAATGTTAGAAACATGCAAAATCTTTTATGTTTTCCTCAAATGTTCAATAATGATAATGGTTGAATTTCAACTACTTGGTGAACACTGGAGTACATAAAAGGCATTAGGTGCGACCATGGAGATTTAGGTTTTAAATGGGATCAGTAAAGGGAGATATATGGGCAAAGTTTGATTGTATCAATGATAAACCTTTAGGGTTCATTCAATCTTGTTATTTTTTTATGAAAACCATTGCATTTTCTTTCAATTGTAGATTACATCAAGCAATTATACCCAAACATATAGAATTTATTGAGTATTTTGCTTATGCTAGCTAATGGACTAATGAAATATATATATATAAAAAAATTGAAACTTTACTAAAACAAATTACCTCAGAATAATTAAAATGAGAAATATGGTTTCTAGTCATAGTTTGCAACCAAGTTAGCCTGAGCTCAGGAGTAGAAGCATACGAATTAGCTAAACTATGCTGAAGATCTGTTAGCATTTCAGGATCATGATGAAGCTCCTTCATTTGGGCAGTAGCCATCAGAACAGTACGAATCCTTTTTGTTAAATCTTTCACTTCTGTAGGAAAGCCTATGATTGTGAAAAGAAAAAATTAACTTCAAATAGATGTATTATGCGCGAGGGTCATTTTTATATAAAAACCAATTGCTAATCATGACCTATTGTGCTGCAACATAATGTTCATTCAAGATTAGCCATTCTTGGCCAGTCCCTCACTATCATGTCATAACGTTTCACGTCTGCCAGTGATGAATGTGTGGTCGTACTGCTTTGTTTGTTGCCTTATTAATCAATAATCTAGCTGATTTTGAAGTGCCCTCTTTAATTTTTTATTACTGGGTCTTGGTTAAATTGTATTGGTATGAAATTGAATTGGTCCTGCTGAAATTCATCATTAGCTTGTTGAAGTTTATGGTGAAGGTGTAATGCATGATGGAAACGTGGGTAAATGGTGTAGACCTTTTAACGTGGAAAGACAAATGCTCATGATGAAGAACGATCTGGCTGGCCTACTGTCATAAATAAATACGACACAAAAAGTTGATGAGGAATTCAAGTTGAGTTGAGTAGGAAAGTGACAATATGATGGAAGAAATTGTTACTAACTGGTTTATCACTCAGGAGGCAGAGTTCTTTGATAAGAGTGTCCAAAAGCAGCGTCAACTTAAGAAATATTAGATATTAATGATGATTATGTAAAAACAAGTTCATATTTAATTTTCTAATACAATTTAAGTTCATAAATAAAGTTTTGATTTTTTTTTTTTTTTGTTGGCTTAATGCACCACGACACTAATGGATTTATTGTGCGCTAAAGTTTTGCTAACTCCATTACTAAACAGTTTTTACTTAAAAAATGACCCTCGTGTTATATCTTAAAAAGCATATGAAATAAGTATAATTAATATATATATATTATATTCTATAAAATAGAATAGAAAAAATGACTATTTTAGAACAAAGATCCCTTGAACTTGAAATAGTTTAAAACATATTTTTGAATAAGTATTTTACAAAAGAAAAGATTATCGGTTTTTGTGAACTCACCAGTCCCTTTCATAACTTTATCAGATGTAGCATAACTATTAATAAGAGAAAGAGATTCTTGGAACCTAGCATTATTTAGACCAACGATAGCCCCTAGGAGTTGAGATACAGAGATAATAACCTGAAAAATATAATTAATAAAGAATTAGTTAAAAAAACTACAAATACACAATTGTTAGATTTAAAAGAAGCTTAAAAACAAAATTAAAAAATGCTGCAAATTATTGCACAAAGGTTTTTTTATTTTCAAACAATTTAATATCAAAATTAACATTACTTTCCATGTAACATTAAGAAAATAAATAAAAGGGATTCCTAACATTAGCCTATATAATTCTTTATTTTATCATTGATAATTTGCTTACAAAAATAGACAACATTGCTACAGTAGATGTAAAACTTTAAAAAATTCAAGCAATAGAACATATAAAACACATTTAGAACACCATATCTTCGCTGCAAATCGTCCAATTTCAACATTTTTTTAAAAATAAAAATTGTAAACTTTTAAATAATAATATACAAAATCACCTATAAAGTTTATATTTCTTGAGTTATTCGAAAATCTAATTTTACCACCTCTTGTAACTTTTTTCCAGCTTCTTTTCGTTTAAGTATGTTATAAAGATAAATTTAAAGGTCAGGGGGAGAAGACATAAGCCAAGTTTCATTGAAATTGGTACTTTGTTTAGGCGCTACAGTCTAGACCAACACAGGTTTTTTGGTCATCATTTTGGAAGGAAAGGGCAGATAATAATGTCAAGATAGGAGGATCATCCTCGGGTGACATCTCAATTTGATTCAAACAGCGTCATCATGTGTCACATACCGCGGACGGACTAAAAATTTTTATTTGATTTTCGAAACCTATGTATCATGAAATGTAAAATCTCAAATTTTGAGAGGTTAATTTTTTGGACAATCACTGTTTGACTTATCATCAGTACTGTTTCTTAGACAACTGCAAGGAATTGATTGGGCCGATATCACACTCAAATAAAAATTTATAAGGAGATGAAATTAGATAAGAGTAATGGAATCACACTATAATCAATTTAGGTATTAGAAACCTTTTGGAGTACAAAAGAACCACAATACTAATAAAGAAATAAAGATGAAAAGTATAAGAGTCACTTCAGCATTAAGATGATGTGTCAAGAATATTTCATTTTCTGTTTTTGCTTATCCAGATAAAAAAAACTGCAATATTTTTCAAAACAATGGCAAAGAAAAATCTTGTTAATCAAAATCCACACTCAACTATTTCATACTTTGTAATATTGTAAAAATTCCATCTAAACAAAAGAATTTTAATGAAAACTACATTTTTTGAGCTTTCTTATAACTCTAGGTATATCACAAGTGTCAAGGTCAATTCACTATTGATACAAACTAATCCCTTATAGTCCATTGACTTATGTGGAAACATTAATCAAAATTTGCATACTATCTGAATTCTATTAAATGAAATGGTATTTAACAAAACAACATTTTTTATTTTTTTGTTCCCCTTTGCTCTGCATGCATCTCTACTACCAAATTTCTTAGCCTATGTTCAAAGATTCTTTGAATATGATCAAGGAAAAACAGATTAGTCAGTTATTAAAACAGCATAAAAGTTAAAAGTTAATTGGGCATTGATTATTGTTATTTATTTATTTTTTAAACTGTTAATGTCTAGAGAATGAAGCCCAATTATTGATATTCATTTTAATTAGTCACTGATTATTGTTATCTCCAAATATATTATTACAGTAAGGCTCGAAATTAAATTTGAACCAAATATAAGCTCCTGTCATTCTCAAATGCCATGAATGGGTACTGTTGGATTCAGAATTTCACCGGAGGTTAGTAAACCATAATCTCCACTTTTGTTTTTCTATCTAAAATAAATAAAGTCTGTCGCTTTATTGAACATTTCGCTAGGTTTAAATACTGGGACAGTGGTAAGTCAGTGGATAGATATGGGACAAGTTTGGATTTGAAGATTTTGATGCGGATACCAAGACCAGATTAGTTCCTTCGGAACTACAGGACACTATATTTTCAAGACCAAAAATATATCATTTTTGAGATAATGCAAGGTAAAGGATTCGCAGCCACACAACCTTATGTTAATTGTAATTGTAGCCATGAGCTACATGTCATCAAATCCCTACGATCGAGAGAGGTTTTTATATTATTTATCAAAAGTGTTTTTTGTTGATACACCATATTTTCCTTAATTTTTCATTAAATCCCAAGAACAAGCCTTCATTTTGAAAGTTTTCTTCTCCTTCAAGTGGGGAAAAAATCCCCATGAAATTTCAGGAAAAAAGCTATGAAGGAAAAGAAACTTTATTTGTGAATAAATCAAAAGATATACATTTTTGTTGATTACACCCATGATTATTTAAAAAATTACTAAATATCCTATAAAAAAAAACAAAACAAAACAATCATTGAAATTGGACTATTATTAGCAAAGATATAGCTTATTGAACAAGTTGGTTTAAAACGTGAATGCAGTTTTAAATTAATTTTTCCGTCTTCAATTATAACAGAGAAAATAATCTTATGAAACATTATTTCATTTTCTTATCAATTTGCCATTTGACCGCTGACCAACATATATATAGTGCGAATCATTAGCACAGACCAACTATTTTAATTTATTTTGACATTGATTATTATTATTTATTTTGTATTTTTATGGATTACTGTATGTTGATTTAGTATGATAAAGATTTGGAAACTGAAACTGATTGAAAATAAAATAAAAAAACTATAGTGAAAGAAGCCTTTCTATCCTATTTAGATATCATTAATAGCCTGTAGGATTAGTTTCACTTTATCAAAAGTTTAAAAATTCATTTTATACCTGCAAATGAACCCTAGTTAGTCCTTTACGTCCAGAAAATTCAAAATTACTTCGCATTAGGAGATAAAGAATAGCACAAGCCTCTTGTCTTATAGCTGACAAACGTGAATTACAAGAACGAAGTAATTCCAAACATAATTCACCACATAATGACGCATTTCCTGAAAAAATATAAAAGTAAATTTAGAAAAATTATTGTGCATAACAGCAAACTAAAAACAGTTAATTTCATTAGAACTTAAGATTTTATAAAAGTTTGTTACTCTAATGTACATGTAAGATAAGTTCTAAATCAAATGTATAATTTTGAACAGCTTACAACAGTGAAAGCTCCTAATAAGAATGCTAAAACATTTATAATAATCAACCAATCAATTTGACATACATATATAAAAATAAAAAAATCACTAGTGATGGTAATATTATTTTGTTTATTGAAAATGAACTTCTCTTTGATGAAATCTACACCAGAGGTGCCTCTTCAGTTACAAATGCAGGGTGGGGGTTATCAGTCTCATAAAGAGAACATAAAGTGACCTGCATTGAACTTCTAGGATATTCAAGAAACATCAGCTTAGCACTTTAAAAACAAAAGCCATTAGGTGTAAAAATTTGAGAACTGTTGAAAGGAAAAGTCCTGGATCTATACTTGAGTTTAGCACTTAATATGGGAGCAGTAGAAGCTCATGACAGAAACACGATCAGCTTTAATGCTACCTATAAGTAAGCAAACTCATTATTTTGATATGATGGGATTGGAGGTAACATCATCCAGTGGGGGAGAGGGGAAAGAGGGGAGAGAGAGGGACTGTCCTGTCCGAGCAGGCTAGCATGTATGCAAAACAGGTGTAGCCCAGCAACCTGATAAATCGAAGATTCTGTAATAAAACTCATGTTTAAGTCCCAGTGCTGAAGTCTATTTTAAGTCTGGGAATAATCCTCTGCCCTTCCCCTGGTCCATCAAAAATAAAAGAGGAAAAAGGCATATCAAAGGGCCCAATTTTTTGTAGGGCGTTTTCTCAATTTTGTGATTTTTAAATTGACATGTTTATCAATTTCCAGGCTGAAAACAGCCCATTTTATCTTTATAGATAAAAAAGTTGTAGGTTACAATAAAATGAAATTTTAAACGAGTGTTCATAATTTGGTAAAAAGGTCTATATATCAAAGACAATTACACAACCATGATATTTAATGAAATATGGAAATGTAGTTTAAGAGACTGAGGGATAGGGAGTGATAACAAATAATTTTTAAATCTCTCAGAGGAAGCTAAAATTGGGACATATTAAATGCAATCTTGATAAAATAATTTGAAGATAAATAACAAAATAATGGAAATCAGAGTACCTCTACCATAGGTAGATAAAGGTAGAAATGTATTAAATTAAGGTACTTTTTGTCTAGCGGGCAGACATGAAACCTCACTTCTTATCTATGTTATCTAACGTCAAGTCACATAACCTCCCTCTTCTTATCCCGCCAAACCTTCGAGTTATTGCTTTGTTTAGTTTTCAGTTATTCCCTTATTACGTTCACTTATTAAATTATTTACTTTTGGCCCCTTTGTGTTTATTTTTCATTTTTTTTCCATTTATTTTCGTCATATTATAGATCTTCTTAGAATATGGGATTTGCCGTCTTCAGAAGAACAGGGGATTCAATATTTTCAAAATGTTGGGATACTTGCAGACGTGAAATTCCAAAATATAGTGTTGATATTTTTCTTTTGTATGTAAATATGTGTTTAAATGTTTTTTTATTATTTCATTTTCATCTTTTATACCTACATATGTTCTTCAAGTGTTTTTCTATTATTTCATTTTGATATTTTATATGTACATATCTTCTTAAAGTGTTTTTTTATTATTTCATTAATATATGTGTCAAAAAATAAAAGTATTTTTTTGTTATTACATTTCTTTTTTTATGTGTTTACACTTTCAATAATACGAATTTAATACGAAGATATGAAGTAGGAGAAGGCTTATCAATGCCTTAAGGGAATTATCAGTGTTCAGGTTATAAACATTGGCAGATAGCAGTCAGTGCCAGCCCTACAAAAACTACCTAAATTAATATTTTAATATATAAAAGTATTGCATTTATATTATCTAAAGATAAAAGTTTTCAAAGTACATTTCTGAACACCTGAAAACAATAAAATGGTTAAAAATAAAATATTTCCCAAAAATATAAAACATGTTACAATAAACATTGCAAATTTTCATTATAATAATTACATAATAAATGGTTTTAGTATAGATTGTTTTTTTCTTTCAGTATAGTTTTTTATATACCATATTATCTTTACCTTGAAAAAGAGGAAGTGAAAAGTTGTTGATGAAAGCTCGAAGGGCAGCAAAAACATGTCTGAAAAGAGTTTCACTCTGCCCAACCTGAAGAAATGAAAGGTAGAGAGAAAAAATAGATGACATAATATGGTTATCACCTCCAGATGATAAGAGAACATCACGAAAATGAAGGCAATACAGTCCTAGAATATCCAAGACAGTCAAGCCAACTTCTGTGGCTAAATTTGCTTCAAGAAGAGCTTGATAGAGTGATTTAGATTCTCCCTCTGTTTTAAAAACAAAACATTAATTAATAAATATTATAAAATCAAAAATTTAGAAGGCATTTCAGTGCCAATTACAAAAAAAATCTAATAATTTTGTAAAATAGTAATTAAAAAAATAAATACTTATTACAATTTGAAGAAAATGAATTATCAATATAATAAATTTCCAAGGGATAAACTTTCATAAATGAAACAAGGAAAAAAAAAAAGGAAATGGTCTCAGAATTATCTCTTATGATACATTTATATCTTTAGCTTCAAAAGTGTTAAATATATTGTTTGAAAAAACTGAACACAACTTACTAAATAAGAATAAAATGGTACATAAACAATCTCTTTACTAAAATGCTAAACAGCATGGTTTAATATATATTTTTTTATATTCGACAGGGCTTAAAATGAAATTTTTACTTTTATTTTTATTCTGTATGAATCTTTATGCTAAATATCTCCTTCTTAGAAAGATATAAATAAAAAATGGTCATATTCAATATTAAACAGCTTAAAATTATCTAACATTGTTGTACATAACATTTTTTTTTCAAAACCCGATACGAAGGGAACTATCAAGCTTTCAAAATTTACCCATTCGATTTCTTCACAATAGTGCTCTTTCAGTTTTGAATGGAAGAATTCTGTTACTCCATTTTGAACCTTGTCCAGAGAATTTGAAGGTCTTCTTTGAAGATAATGAGCCATTGACTGGAACGATAGACAATAGTCATGAGGTGTTTTGAAAAGTATGTTACATGGCCGGCCAGGTACCCTACCGTGCACCATCCCTCATATCCTAATAAATTGCATATAGTTGTGTTCCTTCTAATTATAAAAAAAAAAAGGCAATGTTTCCAAAAACAAAAAAGTGGCCGCACTGTCCCAAAATGGTGTCGAAACATGGCAGATTGACGTCTTTGACTTAAGTTAGTTTTTCAGTCACTGTGATTCAGTATTTGGCTTAATTTAATTATAATTGGTCTTTTATTAAAGCTGGATAGTAAGAGAATAATAAAACATGAAAAATATTAAAAAATAATTGGTCTACCAGTAAAATTAATTATTTTTCAAGTCATTCGAAAGTAAGTGTCGTTTGTAAATAAATGGCCAACAATAACAAAAAATGCCTACATTTAACATATGGAAAATACATTTTTCTTCCTAAAAAACTTATTACTTTTTAAAATATTGGAAGAACTTACATACAAAATGCTCATAATCTACGGAAAAGTGGCACTGACATAGGTGCCTAGAGTCCTCTGCAACACCATTCAGTACTTATAAATGGCATAGTTATAGCGCTATAATAACATTTTAGTATATTATTATTTTGATTGTATTAACAAACAAATATAAATAGAATAATCTAATTGTCCAAAACATTTTTTTAATTTTTATATTACCTATAATCTTATATTCATGGACATTTAAGACAGATTCTGGTGTAAAAATTATGCATGTAATTTGAATAATATTAATTTTTAAAAAATGTGTTACAATAAAATTCATTTAAAAGTAACAAGAAAAACACTAATTGTTGATAACCAATTTCATTTAAATAAGTGAAAAACAGTAAAAATAAAATTATAAGGATATTTTGAAATTCTAAACACCTATTTCTTTTTTTTTTTTAGTTAGATAAATTTAAGTTGTTTAAGATTGAATATAACCATTTTTTATCTATGTCATTTTAAAAAGGAGATATTTAGTGTAAACCAAAAAAAGTTTAAAATTTCAATGGTTCTTGGAACACTGCAGCAAATCCACAAGGCTTTCAAGGGCGGAAACTTGGATTTTTTATATTCTCTACATACCTAACAATATAAAAAAGGAATTTGAATTACCCGACCTTTTGCAAGCTAGACCCATTTTTTTGTGCTAATTTGACTAGGCTATAACTAGAGACCGGATTTTCATGTTATTGCACATTTTATTTGCTTGTATGTAAAAATCCTGGACCCAAATATCTATCCATTTCATAGATATCCATTCATTCACCTGTTGAATAACATATTTAAGTTTTATATTGCACGAAATTGCATGTTTTGCCATTTTTGGCTTAAATTGCACGATTTTGATTTTTGTTGCATTAAATTGCACATTTTTGTGCATTTTGTGCAAGATTAAGTGATATATAAATATAAATATGTATGTGTGTGTAATTATTTTCTTTTACTTTTACTATCTTGTTTATATTAATTATTTTTTATTCATTGATGATATTTACAACTGTATTAAAAAAAATTTTAAAAAATGCATCCAGTAAATGTGCACTCAGGAATATAATAATATGAAAATGCTACTTGAGAAACTACTCACTGGTAGCACTCAAATAATAAATTTACACAAGATCTGGAGGCTACCTTCCACAATTAATTTAAAATTTTAGAAAGAAAAAATACGAGGAAGGTAGATGATTCAGCGACTAACAAAGATTTAAATTTAACATTACGAATTTAAGGACAGAGTAAACACAAGTGCAGACTGACTATTTTTGGAATAGAAGTTGCCTGAAGTAATTCAATAAAAACTCTGCTTCCTTGTTTTGACTTCAATTCTCACTCTTTCTTAAGTCCTTCAGTATCCCTTTTGGCTTTGAAGTGAATCATAGACTATCATGAATTCGGTATCAATCTAATATCCGATTTACATTCATAAAATCATATTTGTCAAATTTTTCGCCAACATTAACTCAGTTATTATCTCGAAATTTGTCCCTTAATAAAAAATTAAAACTATAGAAACTGTAGGAGAAAATCTTTAAAAATCAATAGTGAAATAGGAAAAATTATAACTCAAACATTTTACGCTCTTATAAAAAAAATATAACGACTGCTGCATTAACAGTATAAATGTTAATGTTGACAAAGAACTAACAGTGGTTGCTTCTTACAAAATGAATTTCCTTACATTAGTTTATGTCAAATGCTCTTTTTCTCTATTAATAGACATATCAAGGGATAGGATAAACAATTTTTAAGAAACAAATTTCGAAATGTATAAAATTGTAAATTTCAACTCGATTAAAAAATAAAATTTTCATTAAAATGAGTACAATTTATAATTATGTATGTACATATATTATATTTAATTAATATTAAATATCTGAAATCAATTGGTCTGGTATATACAATGTATACTTATCCTTCAAGCCTTTAATCTTTTAAGTATCTCTAAATTACTTCATTCTTTGTATGTTTCAGTCAATTAATCTATTTAAGGGAAACTTAAACGATTATATTTAGTTACTTGTCAGTTAATTATTGAGACCTTTTTGTATTTGTAAATTAGACAATTGTACATATTTTGGGCTTTTAGTGCACGATTTTGCATATTTAGAGTTTTTTACTGCACGTTTTTCAGATTTTTACCGCATGAAGATCCGATCTCTAGCTATAATTAAATATACTGATTTCTCAGATTCAAAATATTATCTTATGGTCCATTACACACAGTCCATACACAGTCTATATACAGTCCATTTTTTATCTGGCTGCTTGCTCACTGTGCCAGCAGGTGGAATAAACTAGGAGACATCAGTGGGTGGAAAGCAATTTTAGGAGTTCCAGTGATTACTGCATTAATTACACAAATTATTTTGGTGCTAAAGTAAGAGCATGGTAACATTGGCACCAAAGGTAACAGAACACTAAATAAGTTAGGAGTGGTAGATATGCCTTCATTTTTACAGAGCAAACCTCTAACTATTTAAGAGAGACAAAGTATAATTACTTGTCTAGTGATAAGTCCAACAGGTTTCAAGCAGACTTGCCAAAATGTATGTCATATTTCCAATTTATTTTTTGTTGAATTATCTTATATTATCTAACAGAATGCTACTTACTTCATAAGGATGCCAAGAAATATAAATTTTAATTTATTAAATATTTTTATACTTTTAAGACACTATAAATAATTTTGATAAGCACTCTTCAGCACAAAATTGCTATGAAGTATTGACCAACCACCATAGTATCATCTTAAAGCCTCACAATTAATTTTCAAAAGAAAAATAAACATAAAAAAATGTTACCTCTACAAGATTGTCCTTCACCCCTACCTATACTGTTACTGCCAGATAGAGGGAGATGATTAGAAGGAGGATCGACAATAAAATCAGGTGGCTGCATCCGAGCAGGTAAAGTCATTGATTTAGCTCCTCCTTTATTAGTAATACAACCAGCAATCTGTCTTCTACCAGTGTATTTAAATTCATGCAAACAAAGCCTACAGAAAAACAAAAGATTTGAGTAAAAGTTAAACAAATTATATACACAATGAGTGTCATAAGTATTCATAATTTCTATTATGAATGAAATAAAAATGAAAAATAATTTTATTCTTGAAGAAAGTCCCTTAAAAATAATTACAATAATCTGATTTTAAGCATACTGCCTGGCTTAATGATTACTTAAAAATATCTTATAAATAATGTTATAAGAAATTAATATGGCCTACATTAGTACAGTAGTTTTATCATAAAGTAGGTAAAGGAATAAATAAAATAAATGTGTTGAATGGTATATGAAGAGGAGAATTGACGAATAGAGGAAAGGTATTTCAGAAGGAGGTAGCATGTATGATGAAAGATGTATTGAAGTAACTAGTTTTATTACAGGAATTTTGAATCAATAGATTGAAATCTTGTTTTAAGAGAATTAACAGTGGAGCGTAGAGTGAGGAGTTCTAGGATATATAAGGGTTTTTTGGTTATAACTTATAACTTGGTTACATAAATAGAGAAAAACATCAAGCAGCTATTGCCACCAGGAAAACCTGAAGACAAATCTTATAACGAAATTTGTATCCAGCCCAGCAGGAAGCCCTCTGTACGCCAACTGACCACAGTTGAAATAAGGGAAAACAAGAGAGGATACTAGGAGCTGCCGGATATTTTGCACAATTTGTTCATTGAATATGTATTTTTTCACAATTAATATTTATAATTTTTCAAAAAATAATAACTCTTAAAAAGAGATTCCCTTTAAAATCACTAGCCAGATAAGTAAAAAATATATAGTTTTTATTTATATATAGTTTCATTCTCGCTAATCATCCATATAATTGTTACATGGATGATTACTGCTTTAGTATGCAAATGATATCCAAATTGAAAAGATGAAAACTTTTAAAAGGCACCAAAAAGTAATAAATGAACAGGAACTTTGAATATATATATTTTTTTTGATATTTCAACTGTGGGAGACACTTTAAAAAGAAACAGAAGTGAAAATCAACATCAACTTGATTATGGTAAAAAAAAGTGGCCGTTCAAAATTGCTTAATGTTAGAGATGAAAGATCCTCTACTAATGTAAAACTTTAGTAATCTTATATGTAATATGCCTTTAAGGCTACATTACTCTATATCTAGGTTGCAGCGCTGTAGATGACCTACAAGGTTTGGCCAAAATATTGGATTAGGTAAAAAATATAATGCCTTTGATATAATCATTCATTTGTTCATTTTGAGAGAGCCTGGCTGAATTATGACCTTAATTTACCAACTAGTTAGCCAACATGCATTATTCCTTAATATTTAAATAATTGTAATGAAATAACAGTATTAATGATGGTTTTTTTTTTTTTTATAAAAAAATAAAATAAAAACATTAAGCTAATAAAATAAACACTTACTGTATTACAGTAAAAAAATTCAATACTTCTTCATGGGTGCAGTTGTGCCACCAAGCTATAACCTGATCATGAGCCAAATGCTTCAAAATAAAAAGAAAACAAATAAGAATATCCTTAACTTCAGCAGGTTGAAGTTTTTCAATACGGACCAATGCTTGAGTGCCACTAACTGACCTTTAATAAATAAAGAAAAAACAATATGATAGGATGAATAATAAAAAAACAAATATACAATAAATTATAATTATACTAATGAAATACAATAAAACAACAAACAATACTTATGAAATATGTGCTATAATGGACTAGTAAACAAAATCATAACAAGTAAAACAGCTTATTATGAAACAGTGACCAATTTCATAAGAGTTGTACCATTATGTTGCGCCACTTGTTAATGTATAACCTAAGTGATTTTTAAAATCATCTCAACTACAGTCAGGGAGTCAAATGTATAAATAAAATCCACCCCATAAAACATACATCTGCAAATAATTTTAAAATATAGTTACAGCCACATTAAGCATGGAAATCTTTCAGTCCTAAAACTCTTATGAAACAACTAATTAATTTGATAAAGTAATGAATTACCTCATGATAAATAGTCAATTGAACATACAATTAGTTTTTGTGTTTCATTATTTTCTTGTGTTTGAAAGATGGTGAAGATACATTTCAGCCTGATTATTCCAGTCAATGAATGCTCGAAAAGGGTTAGAGAAGGAAATAAAGGAGACATATTTTTGACTTTGGGACATTGTTTAAATTAGTAAGGAGGTAAATATACTAAAAGTCCCCACTCCTAGGTGATGGGCCAGATGTGGGGGGATGATGCCTAGAAGTTCACTTTTTTCAGGTTTTTGCTTATATCAAGAAAACTATCTATCGTATCAACAAACACGTTCTATACAAAATTAAAGCTGATAAAATTTTCAATATGATTGATTTTATACATTTTTTCGCTACCTCACTTAGTTTCCGAGATATCTGTTTTTTTTTTCCTACGCCTAAGTCACGCCTGCTTGATCAGCCATGCCTTTATGCTCTTGCAGTCCAATATAATTTTGCTCTCCTAGCATAAGGGCAGTCCATATCTGTCCTCAACTATCACTAATGCAGAAAAAAAATTTGTTTACCTCGTGTATTTTACTGTATTTGACTAGATAACTATTGATTGCTTCGTTTTATGATTAAGTCATGGGAAAGAATACTTAATAATTAAATTTTCTTCAAGAATATATATTATTTTACTAGTTTATCTTGAACGATTCAAATGTTAGGTCTATTACAACTTTATATGTCAATTCCGAGAAGTCGCAGAATAAATTAATTTTTCATAATATTCGCTATTATTATATTCCTCTAACTCTCTATATCTCTTTGTGTGTATATATATATATATATATATATATATATATATATATATATATATAATATATATATATATATATATATATATATATATATACATACACATACATACAATAACAAATTTATTATAAAAATTATTTATTTCGACAAATTCTCGGAATTGACATATAAAGTTATAATTGAGCTAAGGTTAGGACCCTTGAAGATAAACTAGTAAAATAATATATGTTCTTGAAGCAAATTTAATTATTAAAAACTTTCTTCCTTACGACTTAATCGTAGAACAAAGCAATTAAGAGTTAGCTAGTCAAATACAGATCGATATCTCGCAAACTAAGTGTGATAAAAAATATATAATCAATTATATTGCAAATTTTATCAGATTATTTTTGTATAGAATGAATTAGTCGATGCGATGGATAGTTTTCCTAATATAAGTGAAAACCTGAAAAATAGCTATAAATGCCAGGCAAATTTTTTTTTTTTTTTCAAAATTAGCCATAGTTGAGAACAGATATCTCAGAAACTAAGCGAGGTAGCGAAAAAAAGTTTACTTTTTGGAATCATTGGAATCATATTTCAAAATTCATATACAAAAGTTGCAAAAATTTTAAGCTATGAGTTTAAAACCCATTTCCATGATTTAAAAAAAAAGATCAAAAATAAAAATAAATAAGTGCAGTTCCTACTCAAACAGGTACAAGTTCGATTTCAGCATGGGGATGGTAACGTCCCCAGCATAGGATTTACATGACTCCTGTGTCTTCCAACAAATAGCTCCTGATCCTCTAGATTGGGGGTTGGGCACAGGGCCATTAACCCCATCCCGTAAAAAAATAACAAGATGGAGAAGTCTGCAAAAGGGTTGCCAACCATCCTGATTAAGAGGGAGTGATTAGTCATCGCATCTAGTTATTATAAACCACGTGCTCCCTGGATATCTATATGAGTATAATTGAACCAAATGATCACAGCTGTCGCTTAGAACAGGTAACTGCTGGAGGTCTAATGACAGAAGTCAATAAGTCAAGAGGTGTTAAAAAAAAAATAATGTTTTATGGAATGGATTTTAAACATCCAATTACCAGATGACTAGACTTAATTCAGAATGAACATTTATTTATGAAGTTTAAAGTTTTTGTTGTAATGTAAGGGTGCTACCAATTACAATATTTAAAATATGTAATCAATACAACTATATGTGATAAGGAATATAAATATAGAATTAATGAACCTGGCATGTCTAGTGTTTACTACATCTCCTTGCCGGTGTATAGCTGTTTCTTGTGAAATTGTTGTTCCATCACCAGATACTGTAGAAGCTCCAGAATCTATACTTATATTTGAGCCACCATTGGTTAGTGCTGAAAGGAATAAATGTGTTTAAAGCATTAAAACATTATTTAAATTAAAAAGTAAATTTCGACAATCAAGTATTACTTGAGAGAGAGAGAGAGGGAGAGGGGCAAGGAAGGTGGAAACATTTATGATCCTTGTAAATGAAATTTTTCAATTTCTGCATCTATTCTACTATGGAATACTTCATCTATTCTGTTATGGAATTGGTCTTCTTTTCTCAGCATCCCAAATGTATGTTCTCTCTCTCTCTCTCTCTCTCTCTCTCTCTGTAGGTATATTTAATTTTACTGTAATTTATTTTGAGGCATCCTTCTTAAGATTAGTAAACTAATTTTTTGAACAGGTAAACATTTATATTATCCATTCCATATGTCAATTTAACACAAGGTCTGAACCTCACCATCTTAGATGAACATTAGTCTTTATATAATGTTTTTAGCAATTAAGCAATTTTCAACACACATTTATATTTTCCCCGTGATTTACTATAACATACAATTTGATAAATCCTACGTTACTTTTATTTTATCAAGTAACAGGTTCTAATAGGTGGCAAATACGTCGACTGTCAGTATCTACTACAAATCTCATAAATATGGATGTGATTGAACAGTAGGATTGAGTGTCATATTTAAGACATATCTTTCATAATATTTTTCCTTGGTAAAATCTAGTGCATATATTACCCTAACTTATTTTATATATTTCTCTTAAAGCACAACTATGTGCAACTATCTATTTTCTGCATATTGGATATGTACATGAATTAATACACTCCAGTAGATTTTACTCTAGCAGATCCCATAGTCTACTAAAAAAATATCCTTTATCATATTAAGCTCTGAATTTGTACCATGAAATGTAGTCTATCTGAAATATACAAATTACTGACCTATTTCATGAAGATCTATACATAAATACATATATACATAAGTGGCGCAACATCCCATCACCGAGACTGGGCCTCCTCCAAAAGTCTCTGCCAGATTGTTCGGTCGCTTGCTGTAGCTCTCCAGTTTTCGACCCCAAGAACATTCTACTTCTAAAATGTTTGGTAAGGCCAAAGTAGCAGTGGTTAGCTGCTGCCATACTTGCTTTACTTCCTGGGTAATATCATTTTGGGAGTTGATTTCCGAACCAAAATAGGTGAAGCTGCTTTTCTTCTGAAAACAGTACTCTCCTGCATTAAAATATTCAACTCCTGGTTCGGCTCCTCCAATCCGCAATATATTTCATCTTGGCCTCATTAACAACTATTAGGCCAAGATCCTTTGCTTTTTTTTTTTTTTTTTTATTTCCCCTACCTGGCCCTTTCTGGCATACCGGGTAGAAGTATCTTCCAGAGCCCAGGAATGATTCTTGTAGGAGCCGTTCCGATCAGACAGATCTACGCCCACATGCATCACTTTGAGCTCAACATTGTTAACTTAACCAGTCTCACTAATTTTATCAGGATGTTCATTTCTTTTAGGGCCTGGTAAAGCTCTGGCCGAGTAACACTGTTACATGCGGATTTGAAATCGACAAAGATATGATGGGTTACGATTTTATACTCTTTTTTCTAACATCAATCTCAATGCAAATAGTAGGGCCACAGTGAATCATTACCTTTTAAATCCTGCCTGATACTTCCCAATCTCTCTATCCGCATGGTGAACCAATCTCTCAAAGAGGTTATTTGAGAGTACTTTATAGAAAATAGAATAGAAAATAAATAAAATTTATTCTGGGACAAGGTCCCTTAAGAATAGCAATTATGATCAAAAAATAAAAACCACATCTGGCCAAAAATTACATTAATCAAAATTAAAGAATATATACAATATCTTCAGTGAAAGTATATTAAAACAAATAAAAAAGTGATAACATTTTGAAAAAAACAAACATTATTTAAATGAAAAGAAAAACAGAAATCAGGTAAAATAAAAAACAAAATGTTATAAGCACAATAACAGCAGATGAAAGGAGAACAATACTCCATTAGTTGCTGATCTTCCTTCTTGTGGAGCGGACAGATAATACCTTTTGCCCACTCCTCAGGTATTCTTTCTTTTTGCGAAATAAGAAGGATGAGATTGTGAAGATCCTTGTTGAAGTCAGGTCCACGATACCACAGTAGCTCTACTTGAATGCCATCCTGTCCTGGCCCCTCATTATTCTTCAATTTTGCAATGGCTGCTTCAACTTCATCTTCATCAGGTGGCTCCACATCATTCTGCGTGTCTTCTTCTCTGCCAGTTTCAGCACCTTCCTCCACATCTTCTTTTTTGAGTATCTTATTGAAGTGAGAAGCCCATCGCTCCAAGATATTCTGTTTATCTATTAGAAGACATCCTTCTTCGTCCATGCAAAATGTCACTCTTGGTTTGAATGCTGTTTGTCCCTCATTCACCCTTTGAAAAAAAGTCAACTCTCTGGTGAAGATCTGAGAGATTCTATGTCTTCTATTCTATGAACATTCCACATTCCCTTTTTCCTCCGATGAGCTCTCTTCTCCTCTCTCCTTCTATCACGGTAACATTCCTGTGTACCCCTTGTATGCCGCTGCGCCATCTTCCTATATGCCTCATTTTTTATGACAGTGGCAGTTAAGCAATCATTGTCAAACCAGAGGAACCTTGTGCTGTGTGTTTGGTGGCCTAGCGTTTCTTCAGCTGCCATCTTCAGAGCTCAGGATATTGACGTCCACTGTTCATCAGAAGTGTCATTTCTACTCCTCAATTCTTTTGCAACCTGTATTCTGAGATTCTCCTGATACGCTCTACACACAACCACATTTTTGAGAGCTTGGAGACATTGAATTTTTTATGCATCGGCCCACTTTGTTCCTCGTAGCTGAGATCCTTGCACGTATATTGGCAATGCTAAGATAATGATCTGTATCTGCATTGGCTCCTCGGTAAATTGTGACTTCAAGAAGGTTAGACTTATGTCAAAAACTAATCAGAATATGGTTGATCTGATTAGAGATGGCTCCATTGGCTAATCTCCACATAACTTTGTGTATTCTCTTTCCTAGGAACATAATATATCTAGGCCTTGAGAATCGTCAAAGTCAATCAGCCTTTGACCATTATTGTTAGTAAACTCGTATAGGCTGAAAGCTCCTGTAGTCGGCCGGTGCACATGTTCCTGGGCTACTTGTGCGTTTAAATCTCCCAGAACTATCTTAATGTCGTTAGCAGGACAAGCAGCAGCAAAATCTCTCACAATATCTTAGTAAAATCCATCTGGTGGTATCTCAGTAGGTGAATGAGGTGTTAAAGAATTTCTCTTTAAGGTGGATATACCATAGACGGCAAGAAATGGGTGTAAATTTTAAGACCAGTTGGCAGGCTCTTCCTCTAACAATAAATCCAGTACTGAAGATATGGTGGGTTTACTGACATCTGTAGTACAGGATGTGACATTTCATCTAGTGTACCACTTCCAAACCAGCGAACTTCCTGGATCACTGCTAATGTACATGGAGATCCAATATATCAAAATTGTTTAATTACATAAGTTGAACAGTAACAAATATTTTGTTATTCTTTCTTAATATTGGATGGCCCAAAACAAAAATGAAATTGTATAATCAATTTTCTTTCTACATCTCACTCAAAAGACTTATGAATAGCTTCGTAAGATTTGTAATTAGGACCCCGAGATGCTCCCGTGTCTCACACCACTACACTGAGTTAGGGTGGCTCTTCCCCTCCTTAAGAAGACAATATTTCCTAGGCACTTTCCTTTATCAAATCATTACCGATCATCGTCCTTCTTATGCCTACAACCTTCTCCAATTTAAGTCCTCAATCCATTCTCTCACTACAAGATCTCAACCCTCTGACCTATACATCCCTTCTCATAGATCTGCCTCATTCCAAAATTCCTTTATAGCCCGCTCTGTCAACTTTTGGAATTCCCTCCCAATCAAAATTCGACATGCTCCTACCCTATATACATTTAAAAACCTCCTATTCCAATTCCTGTTCCAAAAACAGTCAGATATCAGCTAACTATTAATACTATATATGTATTGTGTAGCAATCCTATAACCATAATACTTGGTAAGAGATAGTACATGCATTTCCTACTATCAACGTAGGAATTTCAATACATACATTTTTTTTTATTCAATTATAATTAACTGTTTATTTTTATATATATTTAAGTAAAGTTTCTTTTTTTTATGAAATGAACTCATTCTATCTCTTTTTCATTCTTCATTTCTCAAAGTGTATGTTTATGTTGTTCAACCCTTATATATAGTTTTGTTCATAGTTCAAGTGATGCGTTCATAGTTTTAATTGTTTTGTTCATAATTTTAAATGCTCTGTACATAGTTTTATCTGTATTGTATATAGCTTGTGCAACTAAGGTTTTCTTTATTTTTTATTTTATTTTATCAATTTTATTTATTGTTTCAAACGTTTAGGCCAGTAATATTCTATTATTTTGTACATTATTGTTATTCTGAAAGGACTTAGCCCCAGAATAAAGTTTTTTTTTCTATCATCTATCTATATTTTTCAATGCTGAGATGAACAATAAGCAGTTTCAATTTAAATTCATAATATCCTACAATGATTAGGTAACTTAAATAAAATTATTAAGCAAACAACATATACAAATGAAAGTGAATTAAAAATATGTACCTTGACCAGCTATTGCAACTAAATAAGTTGAATCACGAAGATTTAATGAAGCTCTACCAGAAGCATTGTCTTGATGATAAGTAAACCTAAAAAATAAAAATAAATTTAATGAATTTCAAGATATCAAACACTTGTATCAAAACAATATTGGTTCTAAAAATAAGAATTATAGTTGTATATGGTTAGGAATCTACATGCAGTCACATGAGCCACCAGCACGGATTTATCAACCGTTATTTATATCCATTACCCAAGAAACTAATAAATAAATCTGTTTATTTAAAGTGGTTTAAAGAATGCAAATAAGTTATTAATTAAAAAATCAAAATATAGAGTTTTTATAGTTTTATAAATGATAGGTGTTTAACAGAGAAAAGGTGTAAATAAAAGTTAATTTTGAGTACGGCCAAGATACTGACAGGATTGTTTAATGCAATAACATAGTAAAAGAATCTACCTTCAAATGTAAGAATGATAGAAATTGCTGTTGGATATTTCAAATTATGTATTGAGATATTTTTATCCAGGTACAGGGGATAAGAGAAAAATAATCCAAGGGGATTGGGAAATAACATACTTTGGCAAAATAAATTAACATCAAGCAGACGGAAAATGATACAATCCAAAAAGTGTATTTCAGTTAGGACTGATATTAGATAACATCTACACAGTCTGTACAAAACTTATTAGAATTTAGAGACGATGCAGCACTTTTCTCAAAATGAACACTAAAATACAACAGATCATAATGATAGAAAAATAGAGCCAAGAGATGAATATCTATTCAGCATATTTTACTGTCTTCACACAAAATGGATGTTCTATGAATGAAAAGATCTACGTTTGGTGAGCAACTAGATAAATTGGCAATTTAATGGGCTTTCCAGCTTCCTAATTTTCTTTAGGACGTACATCATATGCAAGATGTCCACAGCTTTTCCTCCAACAAATTCCCATACATTTCCTGTTTCCTCCCCCCCCCCCCCATATTTTCCTGTATATTATCACATAAGAAAAAACAAAAAAAAAAATCATGATCTGTTAAAATTCATGATGAATTAAGTAATTGCAAATAAACTAATGAGTACCTATTTCAGTATTGGACAACACAAAGTAAATGCAAACCATAAACACTGCAATCTCAGCAATCCTACATTACCACTGCAATAAATCTACATTAAATTATAAGCCTTTACTACTTAAAAAGCCCCTTATGAGTTCTACTACTCTCAAAAATAATTGACTTATCAAAGGTCGTCAAAAGGGAGAGGTGCATTTTATATCATTTCAAGCCTCGAGAACATAATTATGGGAGTTCTGGAAAATGTTAATAAATATATATTATTATTATTTTAAGGGGATCCCATATTTCCTTGTCCCCTTATCCTCTTGTTTAATTAAAAAAATTAACCATTTCACATTGTAACAAGTAATAAAAAATATATTATAATCAATGAAAAAATTTATTACTAACTAAAGGAGCAATAAGGGTTGGGAACTAGAACCTACGGAAACAGCTGAGAGCGCCTGTTTGCCTACCTTTGCCATTCCCCTTCCATTTACAAATACCCAATACCAATCTGTACAGGACTTTCATATTGTTAGTTCAACTGTTATATTTTACTTCCCCATAATTTTCAAAAAACATTTTCATGCAAAATCTACTAATAAAAACCAAGTAATCTACAATTTAAATAATATTAACTCATTTTTCAATGAGTTCCGATATAAATGTTTCCAATAAAGCACAGAATTTTTCAGAAAGATACATTTTTTCTACAATCATTAGTGTTATTAGACATTATATATATCGGAGGTGGGAAACCTTTTTATCATTACAGAGCACAGTAAAGTTAGACATTGCTAATGGATGACAAAAAAATTCTTTATATTTTGCTGTTGCTATTTTGTTTATCACTAAATACACACACCCATATAAACATATTCAACTAAATTCTATTTATTTTAAAATTTAAATTTAAATTTATTTTAAAATTAACTTAAAATTAAATATTAATAAATTCTAGGTTTAGACTAATAAATAATGCATGAAAACTTTTGGAGACCGTAAGTCACAGAAGACAGATGCGATCGAGAGACCGCAGGTTCCCCACCTATGTTATATAGAATCCTAAAAGGAAATGAAAAGTGACACAAACGTATAAATTTAACAGATTCGATAGGTGCGAAAAAAATGATAATTAATCGTTTTAAATTAATATATTACACTGTCAATAATTTTTATTTTTTGCTTCTCTATTCATGAAAACCTTTCTACTATAACATAGCAAGGGAAAGTTGTGTGATACACGCACTGCACCAGATTCTTTTTTTAAACATTAACAGTAAATTTTCGGGTTTTAGGATGTAAAATAAGAGTCTCTCAAAGTTCTAAAGGACTCGCAATAATCATACCAATCTATATCATGCATAATCAATAATATCATAATATCCTACCAGAGATAGAGATGTCCATGCCCACCCCAAAGTTGATGAGCCTACCCCCTCCCCATCCCAAGATTTTTATAACTCTCTTTTTCTTAAAAAGAGTGCAAGGAAAAGTGGAATTAGAAAAATCATAGACTACATAAAATTGCACTTGCAATTTTATGTGCGGTTGTCCCATGTTTTCCCCTTGTATCCTATTTTAAAACATTTCATTCTGATAATTCATGATCCTGTCAAAATATGCACCCTCAAAAGTTCAATACCCTGTCAAAATATGCCTCCAAAAAAATTCTTAAATTCTTGTTTGTTGTAAAGTTATATAATATTATTTCCTTATAATTATTGTTTACATCTTTATTTATTACATTTGTTGGACTTATCAGGAAACATTCTTCCCATTACCAGAAACATAATATTTACAGTTGTTGTATATAATAATAAGTTGGTCTATATGTTTTTTGCAGTAGTAAACCAACAATAATAAAGTGTACGAAAATAGCTCCCAAATATGTATGATTACAGAAAACAAATAAATTTTTTTTTATATTCACAAAAGGAGCACAGAAAAAATAAATAAATAAAATATTATTTGTACAAATATTTATTTGTAAAATTATTTAAAAACGACATACAATACATTTTCCGTTTTTTTCCTTCCTGTACATGAGAAAATCCCATACAATCCCGTTTTTTTGGGTAATTCTCATATGTTGGATTCCCTACTATGGTCCTCAGAACCTTGATGTCTCATATAATAATCTTCCTTTTTGATCTGACATTTAAGTTTTTTTTTTTTTTTTTCATTCCCTTGTTGTTAAAAAATTCCAATCCCTTTATTGAATAAGGAAGGTGCTAATCACTCAGAATGTGTCTCTATATACATAGTAGATATACCTGCACCTCGGAATAGAAAGATCTACTGGCCAAAACCTTTAAATTTGAATCAATTACACAAAAGAAATAATACAGATTAACTGTTAAAAGGGCCAATGCTCTCCCATTAATAACTATTGAGACTTGACCAATAATAGGAGGAAAATAATCCTGCTAACAATTAATATATATCCTGTATCGATTTTTTTCATGCACATAAACTTATTCAAATTTCAAAGTTCTAAATATTGGCTCTTTTTTTTTTTTTTTTTTTTTCCAAAGTATAGAAAAATAAATATAGATATATAGAAAAGTACATATACTTTTAAAGCTCTCCATCAGCAGTTCTATTAAAGATCAGATCGACAAAAAGTGAAATGAATATTAATCACAAATAAAAATCATCACCATTGATCCAGGCATCTACGGTTGTATATTATAAGAGTTTCACTTTAGAGATCTTATTATTTATTAATTCTACATCAGTTAGTTATTTAAACTTTTGGATAATAGTTTCTTTATAATAAATAGATTTAAGAATGTAAACTGTAAATTAAACCTTAAAACCTTAATTATCAGGGGTGATAGGCAATTGTTCTTAGAGGAGTTCTGCTATCTCTAAAATTTTTCAACATACTGATAAATTTTAATTAGAGAGTACCCTGATAATGTGCTCTTTTAATTAAAAAAAGAATAATGAAAATCAAGTAAAAATTAGAGAAATTATAGGTGAACATATATTGAAAAATGTAAATTTCAAAATGTTATTAATTTCAATTAAAAAACAAAATCAATCAAGTTATCAATAATTTAGAATACTTATTTTACCTGTGATGATGAGACCTGTTTTTTCCAGGACTCGAAATAAGTGAACTAGGAGAAGGTGATGAAGATTGTCTTTCTGTTAATCTTTCTACATTTTCAACAACAATCCCTAGCCAAGGGACATACAGAGAAGCAATTCTTGCAAGTTGTCCCTGTGAAAAATTTATAGTTGAATTAACACAAACTAAATATATATCGAGGCCTCTATAACCACTATTTACAGATAGTGTAAAATAACAGAGCAGTGATATAGTTGATGACAAACAGTTGTGTTTACAAGTTGTCAAAGCTTTTTATTTAGCATATAAACATTGTAAAACATTCTTTTGTACAGTATTTGGCAAGTTTATTTCTCTATAAACTCTAATAGGATGTGACACCAGAGTATATTTTCTATTATCAATTTTATTTTTATAGTGATATTTGTTTTATGTATGTTTGAAATTAAGTTTTGTTTTTAAAAATTGCATATTTTGTCTTTACAAGCCTTGTTCTTTGTAATATTAAAGTTGATGAGAGTGAAGAGACAGAAGATTCAAATGATTTATTACACAGAGACAAAAAAAGTAAAAAGATAAAATTAAATTAAATTAAAAAAAAAAAAGCAAAAGGCAAACCATTATGGACCAAAGAGATGTTTATAAATGAAATAAAATTATTGATGATGTACAGTGCATTACCATATAACTGACACAGAATTGAGAAAAATTACCAAAATAAGTGGTTATAAAGAAAATGTCAGCCTGGGAATATTCTAATAATGAAATAATGACAAAAAAATACAATAATAAACTTTTTAAAAAATCAAGGTTTAAACCAAATGGCGTAAAACTCTCCAAATTAATATGAATATTAAAACAGCTTTTTAAAAAATAATTTTTAGTCGTCTGTTATTTTATTTTTCTTTCGTCATGTAACAGTAAATAAACAAAACTGCTGCCGCTGTTCTCGCTGTCCACAACATATTGTGAAGAACTTATATAGTTTGCCTAAGAAAAAGTACACAAAAGTTATTCAGTGTAAACAAATGTGAAAGAAAATGACAGAGAGATATGCCTGAACACCATCTCTGTCAAGAAAATAGTCCAGATTTTTTGTCTCAAGTGTAAAATCCTTTGAAAAAGCCCTGGCATATCTAGCATAAAAAAGTCTTTAGGTTTTTAAAGTAGATATAACATCAATTAAACTATTATTGAATGAAATATCAAAATAAAACAAATTAATTATTTATTTACTAACAAAATAATATATTAATATATTTATTATCAAAATATTGATTAGTGATAACATATGAAGAATTCATGAACACAGGGGTGCCCATTCTCCCTCCCTCCAAGTGGATGGTGCAAGAACCTATCCTCTCCCCTGCTCTCAAGATATTTTATTGCGCACCTTTTCTTAAAACCAGTGCAATCAAAGGTAGAATTTAAAAATCGTAGATCATATACAATTACACTTGCTGCACTATGTTCCATGTTATACCTCTTGCCCCTTATCCGTAAATTCATAAACCCGTCAAAATATGCCTCTCTCTAACATTTTGATAGCACAATTTGCATCATGAAACCCCTTCTGGGCACCTCTACATGAACAGAATTATTTCAGTATAATTTTTTAGAACATTGAGATTTCAATGCCATCTTGTGAGGAATGAGAAGTGCTAATGAATGATTATTGCACTCAGATGAAGTTCACTGTCATGTATGTTCAAAGTTCATGTATATATTTATATTATTCAATTTAACATTCATTAGATTTTTCTTTAGTAATTTTTCATTCAAATAATAATTTATTTGTTCTTGAAACCATTAAATTTTCTTTTTTTCTTTATCGTCTTCCTTTACCTAAAAAGTTCACCTTTACTTTTTCTTTCTTTATTCTCATGAAATATTGATTTTTTTTTTCTCTGTACATTTATATTTTTCAAAATATCTATAGTACCTTTCAATTCCTATTCAATACTTCTTTTACTTTTCACTGTAAAATATCCTTTCATCTTATATGACTTGTGGAGGCAACGGGTATTCAAGTGTGAACAGCCAAGTCAGCAACCTAATCCATAGGCACCTAATATTATATTATGTAAAATTAACAATATATGTAATTGAAAAATAAATAATTTACTCATAATGAATTAGAGTTTAAGTTCAGAAGATGGGAATAAAGTACTAAAACCCTAAGACATAATAAATAATAAAAAACAAAAATTTGGAAGCCTATTTTGCTGTATTTATATAGTTACTATCATTATTTCTATATTTTGCTTGTCATATTGAAAAAAATTCCATCTTCAACTATGATCAAAGGACCTTACCTTAGCTTGATAACGATCGTCCAATTCATGTTTTGCCATAAGATCCCTTAAAGTTGTCAATGCAAGTTTTCGAGCACTTGATTCTAGGGTAAGAGATGCTCTTGTTTCTGATAACAATAATCCTGCCAAGTAATGATGTTTGCAAAATTCATCTGATAGCCAATACTCACTGCAAATATCTTTTTGAAAAATAAACTTTTATTAATTACCTGTTGCAAAATAAAAAATGTTAATCATATATCATCAAACATAAAAGCACAGCATGCAATGCCAAATTAAGTTACTTATTTATTTAAGCTGAACTGAAATGAGTTAAGATGGAACAGATAACTTATTACCTTCTTAAACCAATACTCCAAATACTTTTCATATTTACTTTATTTTATGACTTTACAATAATATATTTTTATAGTTTTACAAAACATAGTTGTCAAAATCTGGTGTGCACATCTTACAACTTTCAGTTATCACTCTATTTTGAGTAGAAATTATTTTATGGCAAAACTTGGTTATTAGTAAAAGTTTTTGAAATGCATTTATATGGAGCTAAACCTTAAAGAACACATTTGTGAACTTTTATTAATACAAAAACTCATTAAGACCATCAGAATAACACAAACAATATTTATTATGTTGACATAAGGCAATTAAAAACCTCTTGACCTGATTAGTCTATTTGAACTACAAAAATTCCGCCCCTGGACTCTATATACAAAGAGAAATTTGAAAGTACATACATGTATATGTGTATATATATATATATATATATATATATATATATATACATGTATATACATCACTGCTGGTTTCATGGAAACTAAGGCCCCCGATGATGAGCTTAAATTGGGTTTCTCAACCTATCTTGGCATTGAAATCTCCCATGACTAATTTTATGTCATATTTTGGAGCCTGGTCCACAACCTTTTCTAACTGATCGTAGAAATTGTCCTTCACCTCATCCTCTTTTTCTTCCGTTGGTGATAATAATCATGATAATAAACCAACGACCTCTTACATGCACCACATTTATCCTTTCATTAACTGGAGTGAAGTTTATTACTGACTTCTTTGCAGCCATACTAACTATAAATCCAGTGCCAGCTGTCCAATTTTTATTGTGTGGCTGTTTATAGTGGTTTCACCACCATTTGGCCACCTTATCTCTTGAATGGCTGTTAATGGTATGGTATGTTGTACCTTTTTACTTTATTAACTACCGTTTGGGCGACTTCTGGTCTGTATAAGCTCCGAGCATTCCATGATCCGATATGGGGCCCATTATACAGAATCAGGGTCGCTACCATGTTAGGACAGTCCGATTTTCCAAGGCTGATTTTTGGTTTCCTAATACGGTGTTTTTGATGGGATAGGGTTATTATTAGCCATATGACCAATTCTCAACCTAGAGGGCTAGGAGCTATCTGTCTGCCACAGGGATTGCTCACTTCCCTGTGGTGTGAGTTTCTTCCAGTAGGCTGACGGGTTTCACATACCCAAGGGGAGGGGGGGAAGGAATCACCACGCTTGATGTTGCTTAACTTTGATTACCTCTTGCAAGCACCTTAGCCAGGATGGTCACCCTGACCCCCTTCTATTTTGGGTCCATATATATTCTATCCATTTAATCTGTACTCATGTAAATACTTTTTTTAAACTCGACGCTCAAGAATTTCTTTTGTTATTCATCCACCCTCTATTTAATGGTGGAAGTGAAGTGGGTCCAATCTTTCTACTGGTCCTCTCAAATCTTAATGCGACATGGGAAGGAGAGGCTCAGAGATAACTTCTTTCTTAGCCTAACGATAAAAATTCTCTAGTTACTCTTCCAGTTAAGGTGCCTCATCATGATCTGTTTGTTGATGAAGTCACAAATCACAATTAGTGGTGACTAGGGTCTTCTCTACTAGATTTTTTTCTGTCGACCAGGTATGCTTACTACGTAGGGTGAACAGACAATGCTTTTAGTCTTCAGATTATAAGGATGCCTCTCCTTAATTGTTGGATAGCTGAGCCTATTCCATTTGATCTAATGTTACCTTCAGTGTTTTCAAAAAGTTTCCTTAAATTACTGTTTTCATTTAATTAACGATAAAAAGATGACAAAACTTTCTATTTTAAAACTTAATAGACCAGTAGCGTATTAATTGCCATTTGGTTGTCAAATTGGTTTAGTGAGAGTCAATCTCAACCATGAATAGCAGGAAATATATTCAAATAGGTAAAAAAGAAATGTCGCCACAAAATAAAATATTTTTTTTCTTTATGTTTATTTTTATTTCTTACAATGACTACAGCTCCCAACAAACTTCCTAACCATATTATTTACAGTCAACAATTTCTTCACACACAAAAAAAGTATAGAATTCTGACATACTGCTTTTTAAAAACTCACAAGTTTCTTCACATTACCTATCTAATATTGACTCTAATTGTTATGGGTACCTTAGGCCACAATGATATTGAAGAAATTAAAAAAAATAAATAAATGCAAATTATTATTTTTATATACTGCATCAATCTTATACAAATCTATAATGGAACAATTCAACTTCAAAAGCTACATGGCTCATAGGTTTTAAGATTCTAAAGGATTAAAAATCAAATAAGTTCAATTCTTATCAATAAAACAACTCAAAACCGACTATGGAGAATTTATAAATAACACAATAGAACACAAATCGGAATTTATGCACAGGTAACACCGATCAGTGTATACTAATTTATACTCTTTATATAGTTGACACAAACAAATATCTACAATGATGGAACTAAAGAAGGAAATAAAGTAAGCTGGGTCTGGATACTTACAAAATAAAAAAAATATTAACAGTTAACAATCAATAAAACTTTAAAAGCAAAAACTCACCATTTCTACCTTTAACATGAAGTATAGGAAGATTAAAAGCCACATAATGTTCATGGGAGCAAATTATACTTATGAATGCAAACTTCAGATTATATAATGAACTTGCTTCACCAGTAAATATTGACACATACCAGCTAACTAAACGAAGAACAAATCCTCGGTCTAAAAAGCTCAAGCATCTCTGAAAAAATTAAATCACCCACTCATAAGTTTTTTACCTATGAAAATAGAAGCTTAGAGGTTTTGAATAATATTAGTTTTATTTTTTAAAATGATACCTGCTAGTTTACTTACTTGAATTCATGTATTATACAGATTTAGCCAAACTTTAATTTAGGAGATATTTTACCAATCTTTTGGATTTATTTTACTTAAACTACTATGGAAAGTTTTTGCCGTCAGAGACAAATATTGTTTGTCTTGACTCCTCAATACCTCTATTCCCGAAAAGCATCATCTCTATTAAAAAATAACTAAATTTCTGATATTATAATTTCCTTAAACTTCAAACATTAAACCTCCATTTCGTATTGAGTGAAACTAACAACTCATTTTCCTTTAATAACTTCTTGTAATTTTGGACTCCACCTGGACCAGGTGCTCTCCATTTTTCATGTTCCTGACTGCTTCCGTAACATCTTATATTGTAATTGTTATCTTGTGCATCTTAGAAGCATTTTGGAAACTTATCATTTCTTCTGCTATCCAAGAAGCGTTCTCTTGGTGATTAGTTGATTTTTCCCACACGCTTCAATGTCATCAGTGTAATTATTTGGTGTATTCATCTTTTGACCAATGTTCCTATAAAACTGGTATTTACTTTGCTGGAACAGGTGATTCTGTTGCATCTGCAGAGCTGCTTCACTGTATCTTCACATTCTGCTAGCATAAACTGCTAGTTTTTGTTTTAGATTATCCAAATACAGTGCCAGTCTATAATTCAATTCATTTTCCACAACTGCGCCCAAGTTTTGCATTGTAATTTCGTCTTTCTTTTTTTTGTCTTGGCTCTTGCAGTTTGCAAGATTACAAATATAATTGGAAATTACACCAATTTTACACCAATCACATAAGATGTTAATTGGTAGGATGTCTTTTTTTTCCCTACTGTTTCCCTTACAATCCACTGGAAGTTTATTTTTATTTCTATCTTATATTTTTATACCAAGCTCCAATGGGACTTCTTATATGGGATGTACCTGAGATGAAAAATACAAGTTTTTGACCTCAGCGTCCTCTCCCCGGATCACTTTTGAAAATCCTCAAAACTGCTATATTTCGCTTTTTTTCCTTTTTTTTTCCGTTCTCCCCATCCTCAACTTTTAGGAGTATTCCCAGGTCAAGGGGTGTGAGCAGTGGATTAATGCCAGAGTTAAAAGCCCCCACCACTGGGACGCAAACTCATAACTAATTTTATCAAATTATCTAATATATCAGGTTATGTGAGCTTTGCACACGTGTAAGCCCGCTCAGCCACACCCCGCCCCTGTTCTCTATGAAAGTGAAAGTTTTTTTTTTCGGAAAATGGAAACAAATAAGTGATCCTAAGTTTGAAGTAATATTTCCCATTTTTCTTATCTTCTAAGTTCTCCTTTATTACAGTATTTTTGATTAACTTGGTGTTACTGTTTTCTTTGAGTAAAATTCAGTATTAGAAATTGATAGTAGACCACTTGTATACTATTCCCCAATATTGTATATTGTATATAATAGATCCTCCTACTTTCGAGGCTAAATGAATGAATTTCTGCAATATTGGTTAACAATGGAAAATATTTTTCAACATCTGCAAGTGAAAGTATTTTTTTAAAGTAGTGCATAGAATTTGATAAAATTTATGCCTCTTTGATCATTTTTAACAAACCCCTAACTTTCTTCCAGCTTTAAGTCAAACCAAATGTGCAGTTTTTGAGATAAAAGAAAATACACAAGATTTAAGAAGTGTGTAGAATTAAAAAAAACAATAGAGCTAATCTCTGACATTCGTTCAACTTTGTGTACTAGTGATAAATATAGACATGTACAAGAGAATACTTTTCTACATGTGTAGGCAAAAATATTGGATGAAATTGATAAGGGACTACCGAGGCACCAATATGCAAAATCTTTGAAAACCTAATGAAAATCAGATTATTGGTAGTAGGTGATATGCCCATCATACGGATGTGACTACAGATAGACAGAAACAAATCAAAATTTGTTGATGTTTAAAAGGAAATATGTGAATGGTAATTTTAGAATATAATGGGGAAAAAACATTTTAGCCTCACATTAATAGAAATGTAGACAGAGACCCCATTATCCGAACCTCGGATATTTTATGTTTTCATTATTAACAAATGAAAAACAAAACTATTCTTTTATTAAAAAATTTCCTTTAATATAAAATAATTATAAAAATACATATACATAATTATTATTTTTAAAATTTATTTTCAATCTTGAAATCTTTTTCAAAAATTTGAAATAAATCAGATTTCTTATTGAATAAGGTTTACCTCTATATGAGTGGCCTCCTCATATCAAAGATGTACATCTGTCATTTTTAAAAAGTAGTAAAAAAGTCTATTTTCTGTAACATTATTTAATTTAAACCAATTCTAATGTCTTTTCATGATTCAACTTGAACATTCTTAAATAAAATCATCAGAAACAATTTGAGTTGAACATATAAAACAAAAATGGACTTTTTCTCCCTTTTCTGAAAATGACAGATGCCCGTCTTTGATATGAAGGTATTCATATATTAACTGGATGTGAATATACAAGAGAAAGGAATTTTTAAAAATAAAATAATTAAAAGTTAAAACAAGTAAAATGGCCACAAAAATACAAAGCAAATACAGCATAATTTTTTACAAAAGATCAAATAATTACTTTGAGAAATTCAGCAATGCTCTGGTTCAGTTGTTTTGTTTCTTGTGGCATTTCTCTATATTTTGATATTAAATACGGTGTTAAAACTTTTAGTAAATTGGCAATCTTATTCAAAAATTCAGTTTGAAATCTCTCATGGCGATGCATCTAAAATTAATAAAGACAAATGAATATATTTATACAGAAGAATAATGATAAATAAAAAATTACATAGTTATTCAACAATTTCCATACTTACATTTTTACATGTAACATGAAAGTTAAAAATTAAATGCTGAGGACACTAATTAAAATATAAATAAATAAAATTGGAGATATCAATATAGCAATAAGTGTTAGGCATTTTTGGATGAATTTTTATTCCAATAAATTTTCAATCACTAATATTTCAATGGTTAAGGATTCTTAGAATAACTTAAAATTCTGATTTATTTTTAGAATTCAGTATTCTTATACTGAATATATATATATATATATATATATATATATATATATATATATATATATATATATATATATATATATATATATATATGTATATATATATATATATGTTACCTTCTACAACTTTCTATATTAGATAGTTTTTTCTAAAATTATCCGCTTTCCGATATATTATAAGTATACCTTTTGAAGAGTATTTCCGGAGATTCATTTTCGATCTGGATCAACATTTTTATTTTTTTCTCTTTTATTCAATCATCAAATTCTTTTAAAAGTTATATTTAGCATTTTTTGTAGCGAGAGATAGTCAATTATTTGAAATGAACCATAAAGGTGTTTCATGTGTCTTTAGACGTCCTCCCGCTCCTCGGATCAATACAGAAATAAGAGAACTAATGAGGAGAAGAGAAACTGCTAGAAGACGATACAGACTACTAGACTAACTGAGCATTATTTCACATTTAAATCCCTACGAAATCTCACACAAATGACCCTACGTCGCACCAAAGCCCAATACTTCAATAATGTTTTATCCCAAGAACCTAACTCTAAATTCAAATGGAAAATCCTTAAGAACCTCTCTCTTGTTACCTCGAAACCTGCACACAGTATCCAATCGATCCCAACACGCTAAATTCTTTTTTCACTAACCATTTTCTATCCACATCTCCATCTGTTCGCTCATCTTTTTCCATTACCGAAACCTCCTTTGATCCTGATAAGTTTTACTTTCTTGACATCTCTCCTACTGACCTGCTCTCTGCCACTCTTAAATCCAAAACGAATGATTATGATCCTGACCAAATACCTGTTAAAGTTATCAAACTCTGCCTTCCAGCTTTACTACACGCACTTCTACACATATATAATTTCTCTCTCCAAAATTCTATTTTTCCCAAATCCTGGAAAAGAGCCATAGTCCGTCCACTGAACAAAGTTCCAACTCCTTCATCAGCTTCCGACTTCAGACCCATCTCCATCCTATCCAATCTAGCCAAGCCTCTAGAAAGATTAGTTCACTCTCAGTTGAACAGCTTTCTCGAGCAAAACCATCTCCTCAATCCCTTACAATCTGGTTTCCGATCCCAGTATTCCACCCAGTCTGCCTTGCTAAGGATTACCCAAGACCTCCAATCCGCCATAGATAAACAGAAAATCTCCATCCTAATTCTTTTTGACTTTTTCAAGGTGTTTGATTCCGTTAATCATGAGATCCTTCTTTCCAAACTTCAAAGCCTGCCCATGTCAAACAGCATCCTAAAATGGTTCCTATCCTTCTTATCCAATCGATCTCAGACAGTCACAATACCGAATAAACCTCTATCATCATCACTTCAATTAACGCAAGATGTTCCTCAGGGTTCCTCACTCTCCCCGACCCTTTTCTCCATCTATATTAGTGACCTTCCTAACGCCATTCAACACTCCAATTACCACCTATATGCCGATGATTTACAAATATACCAATCATTCCAACCTTCTGAGATGCCTGAGGCTGCCCGGAGGCTACAAGAGGACATCGACTGCATCAACAGATGGGCAGAAATAAATGAATTAAAGCTGAATGCAGATAAAACCAAGGCTATTATCATCGGGTCCAAAAATCTTATCAGCTCCCTTCCTTACTCTCCTCTACTTTACCTCAATAACCACCCCATCCATTTTTTCCCTACAGTCAAAAACCTAGGAGTAACCTTTGACCAGAACCTCTCCTGGGATAATCACATCTCCCAGATTACCCGAAAATCCATAACTGCCCTTAAACAACTCCTAAGATTCCGTGATTGTATTCCTCTAAAAACCAGACAGCTCCTTGTAACCTCCCTTGTATTCCCCCACTTCGACTACGGCTGCTTGGTGTATGGAGGGCTATTTGCCAGGCTGGAATTGAGACTAAAAAGACTCATGAATTGTTTCATAAGATTCATTTTCGGGATCCCCAGACGTTCACATGTTTCACTATGGTACACCGAGTTGAAGTGGCTTTATGCTACTTCCTGACGACAATTCTTTCTTGGCGTTTTCCTTTTCCAAGTCTTCAGAACTAAAAACCCTCCCTACATCCTGGAACTCCTTACTCTGCGCTCCTCTATCCACTCTCTCAATACTAGGTCTCAACCTATAGACTTATATATTCCCTCCCATAAAACTTCCTCCTTCAGCAAATCCTTCGTCATTCGTGCTGCTTCCTTATGGAACTCATTTCCTACCCCCATGCGTCAATCCTCATCCACAAATTCCTTCAAACAACTCCTGTTCCAACACCTACTCCACATTCAAACTTCCCCTAACATGTAAAATTACTTGCATCTATACAATGTTTAATTTCAATCCATTGCACAATTGAAATAAGAATTAACAATAAATTAGTTGGTATTTTTATTATGTCAGACTAAGATACATAAATTTGTAACTCTGTTATTATTCTTAGGGGACAGTAGTCCCAGAATAAAATTATTTTTTCATTTCATTTCATTTCAAAGGTATTTTAGAGGAAGACGTATATGAACATTGGGTATTTAAGCCCTGTAAAGTGATATCAATGGGGATAAGACCTAAATAATATTAAAGATGACTTAATTACACAATGATACATCGAGTTTAATCAAAATTGTTAGACATTTTTAAGAAAATTTTAAAAATGTGTTTCACCATTGATATAAAATGGCACATCCAGTTAGCTGATTTTAAGAAAAAAGTTGCTAGGAGATCTAAGGCATATACCTATCTTAAATATGTAATATCAGTTTCTTACGATTTTTCGTTTTCGAGCTAGTGTTCACACACACACACACACAGACACACAGACTATTTTTCGGGATTTTGGTTATTTGGACTCAGGGTACCTTATAACGTGTATTTCCTTTGAAAAGTCAGACTCGAAAATTTTCACGATCGCAGTAATTACCCTTATAGCCCTAGAGCCAGGGACTAAAAATCGACCTGATCGCAGGCGAAGGTTTGAATGTAAATTACAAAAGTATATATTATTCTGAGTAAAAAGAACCTTGTCTGCCATTCCAGAGCCGCTGCTTTCAAAAATGGCGGCTGATTTAAAGAATATTAGGCCAATAATTTGAGGATCCAAACGGGATATCCATTGCAAAAAATGTGAGAAAATTTTTTATTTTTTTAACTTTTATATACGAGTTTAGACATGTAAAAAACAAAATTGCTAACGCGGGGCACTAAGGGAAAACTTTTTACAGCCAAAAAGTCAGATTTTTTCGATATTTTTTGAGTTTTTCACCTATAACTCCTAAATGATGCATCAAAGCGAAAAATGTATTCTTTAATACATTAAGGAAGGTTAAATTTTGCGTCAAACGAGTATATAAACTTTAAAATTTGGTTTCGCGGTAAGATATAAAAGCACAGCCAACCAACGCTGAGTTTTGCTAAAGTTGTCAAAAACTGAGACAAATTACTATAAATGGCACTGTAACTTGGAAATGAGTTCCCTAAGAGGAAAAACACATAGAATCAAAGTTGTAGAGCATCAAATTTTGCGTATACTGAGTACTGACATTTTTATTGTAGGCCAACTATATATCTCGAATCGGGATTCGTTATTCCTTTATAAAATTCAGTATCTTTCGTTTACCAAAATCTTTTGCTGTTGAGAGATGGAAAAGAGGCTTATAATGCATGTAACAGACTTTAAACAAAACTAACTCAGTAGAATAGACACCCATACTATTGAAGTATTGAAAATCACATTTATCTTCATTACCAATTTCTAACTATCGGGAGATTACCGATTTTGTTCGCAGCAAGTGACCTACATAAATTAGTTGGTACTCAGTATTCGCAAAATTTTATGCTCTACAACTTTGATTCTATGGTTTTTTCCTATTAGGGAACTAATTTCCAAGTTAAAGGGCCATTTATAGTAATTTGTCTCAGTTTTTGACAAATTTGGTAAAACTCAGCGTTGGTTGACCGTGATTTTATATCTTACCGAGTCACCCAATTTTAAAGTTTATGTACTAGTTATAGCGCAAAATTTAACGTTCTTCAATTTATTAAAGAATACATTTTTTGCTTTGATGCATCGTTTAGGAGTTATAGGTGAAAAACACCAAAAATATTGAAAAAATCTGACTTTTATGGCTGTAAAAAGTTTTCCCTTGGTGACCTGTGTTAGCCATTTTGTTTTTTACATGTCTAAACCCGTATATAAAAGTTAAAAAAATAAAAACTTTTCTCACATTTTTCGCAATGGATTTCCCGCTTCGATCCTCAAATTATTGGCATAATATTCTTTAATTAGCTGCCATTTTTGAAAGCAGCAGCTCTGGAACGGTAGACAAGGTTCTTTATACTCAGAATAACATACACTTTTGTAATTTACAATCAAACCTTCGCCTGCGATCAGGTCGATTTTTGGTCCAGGGTTATTACTATGTATTACATATATAGGTAGATGAAAGTAAAAAGTTTTCAATTAAACTATTTAATTTGTATGAGGAGTTAATCGGGGGAGGCGGTCAAATAAATACTAAATTAAAATATATTAATTATTTTAATTTTTGCCGATGTTTCGACGCACTTTGCAGGTCGTCTTCAGGGTGTGGGATGTAGCACTGCGGGAGGCAGTTGAAACACTGCCACTTAGAAGTGTACAATTTGTGGCCTTGGTTTGAAAAGATTATAACTGGATTTAATATAATTTTGAATGAAACAGAGATTCGAAGTTACAATGAATTTACTGTAATATGAATATTTTGCTACTTACACTAATAATCTTGTTAATACAATATCTTGAAGCAGTGAACTTACATTTGCATTTTAATGTTGATGACTTAATCGTACCCCTCATTAATAACATTTTAAATGTTGAAATTTCACAGTTGGAACTTTGTCACACTGCTAGTTTCTTTATTTTTCAACTGATGAAACTAAAATCCTTTGAGACAAAGATAACTTTGTTGTAAGAGATTTCTGAGTGAAAACTTAATTTTCCCAAACTTGTTAGTTAGAACCTTTTCAAACCAATGACACAAATCTTTTTCCATGCATTACTACACAATAATAAATTTATAAGAAAAGTTATTTCCACCCAAGAAAACATTAATGAAATAATTTCTTCAAGATGAATAAACTAAAATTTATACCACAATCAATATGAATTTAAAAAATAATAACTATCAAAGTAGATTTAATATTATACATCATTATACTAATTAGACTAAAATTGTAATAGGAAATGTCCAGATTTAATTCCATTCAAAGAAGTCCAAAAACTTACAAAAACTTAATGAGCAGTTATACAATTTTAAATCCGACAGCATTATCATTAAAAGTGTCTCGATAACATAATAATGGACCCTTAAATCAAAGTAACCTGAAAAGTTACAAAAACTCATAGCGCGATAGTGTTATCTTAAATCAAATAGTATTTTGATAAAAAGTGCCCCTTCTTCTCCTGTGCAGAAAGGTTTTTATGAAAGATTTCTGAACCATAACAAAAGACTCGTTTATGCAAACAGAACAAAATTGGCCCTACAACATGAGACAATAAATATCAAGTTCAAAGACAAAGACTGTTATATCAAAGTACACATAAAGGAGAAGGCTGTTGCTGCATTTGAAACATTTATTAGGCACAAGATCAAACAAGAGTCTCTAATCAAGAGATGACTTCTATCCAAATCCATAAACATATATTTAGAACATCAATCTACTAGCCATAATGTAAATAATCAATAAAACCAAGCCGAAATGATATTTTTATTTATTTATAAAATATAATTTGATTTTTTTTTCCTTCTGTTTCAGTAACCTTACCTCTATAATCAAGATATTCAGTGGACATTAATAGAACACATTGTTTTCCAATTTACCTATCCCAACAATTCCACTTAACAGATGTGTTCTGGATATTCCATACCAACATAAGTTAAACCTGTTACGTCAAACGTTTGTTCTGTACTCAATTTAGTATAAGAAAATTTGTTTTCTTCTTATTTTTTGACTCGTACATAATGTATAAATATCTAGCTAAAGTTGATAAATCAATATATATGATGTTTGGATTTATGTTTCTGGCCCAAGTTAACATTTGTTATGTAGATCATAACATTAGCAAATAAAAACACAGAACAATGAACTTAAATAACAGTCAATATGCCAGACCGGGTCCCACAAAAAAATTATGTAGCAGTTATAAATAATTGCTATGATAACCTAGGTGTTAACAAATTCAAAACACTTACTTTTATCCTTCCAGAAGAGAGCAGATGCTGAGCCATAGATTTGACCATAATTTGAAAGAAAAATCCAGAATGAGAAAGAAATTTGTTAACTAAAAGAAAATCTGTATTACTAGGATTCAACAAGGTAGGCAAATGATTAGCAAGTTCTTCATGAACAGTTCTTCCACTGACTGTTTCTCCAACAAACACAAACTAAAATAAAATAAGTATAAATATTTTAAATAAATAAATAAGTGAAACAATGGTTAAATAAATAAGTAAATTATTAAAATAAATAAACCATGGATATAAATACACAATGTACTAAGAAAGTGAATGAACACATCAATAAATTCATATATAATTTTTCCCACCATTTATATTCTTCAATTTTTAAAATAATCTTTTATAAATTTTATCATACTAATGTTTAATGATGATAAATGCGAAATAAAAACTGATCTTTCTTATAGAGAAGTTGGAACACTAATTTTTTATATTTTCACTAATATAATATTACCAGTGGTTCCTATGTGCAGACCAACCAAGAGCCCTCATCCAACGAAAAATCCCAAAGAGTGACCAATTACAAGAACCTTGCTTATAGAATAATGTTACAGTGAAGGAATACAAGATTAGTGGAGGAATACAGAACCAGAAGAAGAAACACACCCATCAAAGCAAAAAATGTGGTGCAGCGTGCGTATCACAAAACTTTCACTTACCGCCCTCTTTTTAGCAGAAATAAGTATTATCAGACAAAAGGATGTGAAAATAAAAATTATTGACGGTAAGAAACATTATTTAAAACAATAAATTACAATATGTTTTTCATAGCCATCTAATGTATTATTTTCATTTTGTTTGACACTAGCTATTTCCTTACACAACTGTATATTTCAATTATTTATTTGACAATAATAAATAATTAAGTACCAAAAAATATTTTTAGTCAGACAATAGTTCCACTGATATTTATTTATATTTTATTGGGAGTATTTTATTTATATATATAAAAGGTTCAATTTTTATATTGTTGTATATAGACAAGTTGAGGGAACTATATACAATAAATCTAATATGATTCTAGTCTACAATGACACAGATATTATTGGAACACCCACTACAGATTTGGAAAATGCTTTTACCAGTCTTTAGATAGGAGTGTGTAGAGTGGATTTGGAAGATAATGAAGCAAAATCCATATACACGCATGCAGCTCCATAACTGGATGTGAGCAAATCATCACACTTTATGACTGGAGGCTATTCATTTGAAAAGGTTAAAGAGTTTATCTATCTTGGTTCATAAGTGACCAAATACAAGCAGAGATCCATTGCAGAATTATGTGTGCAAATATTTCAGGCTACTTAAGCATTCAGGACAGAAATAAGGCTATTTCTCGAACCACAATGGTGTAATTATACAAGACTCTAGTAAGACCAGTCATCACTTTTGTTTCCAAATGTGGGATAAACCACAAGCTCTTCTCTTGAGGTTCAAAAGAACAATATTTTTAATGAGAATTTTTGGCCTAGTTTGTGCCAATGGAATGTGGAGGATAAGAACAAATGCTCAGCTAACAAGACTTTGTAAGTCCAGACATTGTAAGGGTAATAAAAGAAAGACCCATAGATGGAACATAATAAGAATGACTCTAGATCTGATTTCTAGGATGGTCCTAGATGAAAGGATTTATGTGACAAGAAGAATGAAAAGACCTTGACTTTGATGAATCAATGGAGTAGCAACAGATGTAAGGTCCATCTTTGGAATCCACAACTGGAGAGTGGGGGCAACCAATAGGGAAGAATGCTGGTTCAAGCTGCAGGAGGGCTCGACTTGGCCTTAACTAAAAATGGCTAACCAGTATGTCCCTCTCAAAAGTACTTAAAATATTTTACCCAACTTTCATAGTTTGAAGTTGAATCTCAAATTTCATAACTTTTTGGGTTTTGAAATTATAGTGGAGTAACATCTTGCCCTTCACAGGACGACATTCCTGAATTAATATCGGGGATGGTTAGCCCATATACTTCTATAAAAAATTATTTACATATTTTATTTATAGAAAATTATATCAGCTCTCACAAAAGCTTTGTATAAGTTTGTATTAGAAATTGATTTACAACATTCTAAATATGATCAAGAAGAAATAAAGCTTTGGTTCTACATTCTTTTAATTTTATTTTTCGTGTAAAATATCAAAACATGTTTGTTATTCTATATTCTTGACTTTTTGTCATATTTTTTTCACAGCTATCACAAAACAAAATATTACTCCCAAATCTCACTACAAAGGTTTTAGTGAGAAATACATGAATTGATTTAGACACTATCTTGATACAACTTCTGTTATTTTAAAGATTAAACAATAAAAGTTCACAAAGATACATTTCTACATACAATATAATAAATTCTGAATAGTAAAAATAAAACTGTTAGGGGAAACTACTTCAGAACTTTGGAATAAATCTAATTAGATAAAATTTCTGAGTCAGCCACATGTGGCACTTTTCTACTCCATAATTCACTGAATAATTTGTTTATGTGTTCTATCTGATCTCAATTTAATTTTTATTTTTAAAATGAATTTTCCGTGTTTATTAAATATGTATAGTAAAATACAGAAACACTACAAATATATAAAAATATGTAATACCCATATTTTTACACTTCAAATATGTAAAAATATGAGTATATATATATATATATATATATATATATATATATATATATATATATATATATATAGAGAGAGAGAGAGAGAGAGAGAGAAACTTTCAAAGAGAAGTAAAATAAATTGTCTAAGAGACTTAAATTAAAAAAATTTAATTTTAAAAAAATTTGGTAAATCTTTTCACTAGTAAATATAATTGATTATTAGTGGCTATGTTCATATATTGTCTAGGAGCTCCATAGAAAATAATTGATAAAGAAAAAACAAGATTGATTGTGCATTTTTGCCAAGAAAAAAATGTCGGGTTGTACCATAATTGGATAAGGATCCATAATTAATTTACCTCTCTTATTCATATCACATATCGAATGTAATAGGTTCAAATAAAAGTAAAATGGTGTTTTTTTTTAGATAAAAAGACAAAAAATTATTATCATAATTACTACTTATTTTATTAAATATTATAAACTAACCTTAACATAGGTATTAAGAGCATCAGCTCTTTCTGATCCTATAACCATGGAAACTAGGTGTACAAGTATTCTTATTATGTTCAATGCTACTTCTGAACTAGGTGATGTAACCAGCAAAGAGAAAAGTTGATTCAATAGTGTTGGAAGAAAGGAAACAGCAGATGAAAGTTGCATAGCATGAGCAGCCTAAACAAAATGTATAAATATAATTACCAAACATATTAAAATTACCAAGACAATAAACTTAAATAAACTGCATAATTTTTATTATTCAATAGCTGGTAATAAAAATCATCATTTCTGAGTCTATTTCTTAAGTATTAGCTCCCAACAAACTATTTTCATCCAGTTCTTTTTAGTCTGACATAAGATTTATGGCAATTCAAAATAAAGTTGTAAAAACAAATTCAGATCCATTTCTAAATAAATTAAAATCATAGAATTATTTCAAGAATCATAAAATAGTCAATTTTGTTTCTTTGCTCTGGTGTCTGATTATGGACAACCTGTTACAAAGACTCGAGGATGTGGGGAGTCTTTGCACAAGAGTTTGATTTTATTTTGGTGCGATTCGCAAAAGAGGTAAGTTCATTAATGCTATAATTGAATGGATCAAGGTGGCATGTAATGTTGTCCAGAAGTGGTGGGCAGACATGCAATCATTGGTCAATCCAGGAAAATTATTATTTGTCAAACAAGTTTCAACAAAACATATATAGCCAATTTATTAGTAAAATTACAAGAACTCATATCTAAAAGATTTATTAGTCTTTCTATATATCATTATATATTACTTCATAAATAAGAGTGTTACTATGCATATGTAAGATATATATTTTTTTTTTGTTCTTCCCTTTCTCACCTTTTAAGCTATGTGAGATTTCCCCAGGTCAGAGAACTAATTAGTGAAAAGTCCCCCTCCTCTCCTAGGCATCGTAAACTCGTAATTATTATCAAATCATCTTTGATCTGGGTTGCCAGGCAACATGGTAGCCCACTGTGCTACCCCGTCCTATGGTTTTATTAGATACTATCACATAATTTAACAAAATTATTCACAGAATCTGGATGCCATTGTGACACATCCTATAGTTGAAGATTCTAAGGTCAGATGGTATTTCCTCAAGATGAGCCACACAGGAAGTTGGATTTCAGAAGAAACCAACTCTTTTAATTTTTCTTTTCTTTTCCTATTTTTCTGCAACTACCTGGATTTTTCATTTTCTTCGTTAAAATTCATAAAGAAGTATAAGAAGAATAATTTTCATTTCATCAAAATGGCTGCCTCAGGCTTTTAAAAATCCTCTTCTGTATAATACATTTTTGTCTATAGTCTACAGTTTAATCATGCAAGTGGAGATTTCTTTACCTTTCTCCCTATGATCTAGTAATCTGTCGTGGCTGGTTCTAATATTTTCATTGGTGAAGGCTTCTTCCTTTTTTCATTACATGTATCACAATATTATTATTCAAAGAGACCAAAATTGGTCAAGGTTCTTTTCTAATTCAAAAGCAATTATTTATAGCACAGTCTGGTAAGTTAACACTTATATTCTGGCATATATTAATAACTTTTGAAGAAATATTCTCATTTTCTGAATGGGGTAGGTTAAAGATTAAAAATTATACATTTTTTCTTTCCTTTTCAATAACCTTACCTTAAATCACTTTTTAGTGCTGTGATGTTTTTGCCCTGGTCCAAATTATTCTTCATGAGGGCAGAAATCTCACCCATTAAAGAATCTAGAATTACAGTTACCTTATTTAGTAACAATTTTTTGCTTTATTATCCTGATTGATAACTGCCAATCTGAATTAGTGGCAATTTTAATGAAATAAGAAAAAATCCGTTAGACGGGATAACCTGAGTTAACAAAAACAGGTAGAGTCCATTCAAGAGTTCAAGAGGTCAGTAGCGAGAAAGAGAGATGCGCAGTACCAAAACGTTTTTCCGCCGATCCTTCACTGTTATGTCTTTTCTCTGCTAATTCGTACGTAATTCTACAATTTTTCTCTTCATTAATAGAAAGATTGGATTATCTGTTTACACACAATAATTTATTTGAGAAAGGAGATGGACCGGGGTGGTGGTCTTAAATATATTTATGACTGCCATCCCGGAACGTCTCCTCCGTTAATAATACAACGGTCAACTATTAAGAAGTATTCGATAATTTATTTTTTTACAGTGGACAATTCTCTTGGTTTACATTCTAAAGTAAATGAAAAAGGTTACTCTCCATTATTGAATATCCGATAACGTAGAATGGGATGCTTTTCTGATCTATACATTCTATCTATTTCTTGATTTTTTTATAATCTATTTCTTCATAAATTTAGGTCTATAGATCTGGACCCTAGTGATGACATTGAGTTCTGTGAACAGCAGAGCGAATTCACATTTTTTTTTTCTTATTTTGATTATTAAAAATATTTGCCACTGGTTTATTTTATTCTTAAATTAAAATCCCCACCTTTAATAAACGTTTGAAGAAAATTGAACGATGCAATCCCAATATAAGGTGATTGCTATGGTGAGAAGGGTAAGTGGAGTTTGAGAGGAGTTTTAGAAAGGTGGAAGTTGAGAGAGGGAAGACTACACGAGCTCCTTTCCCAGACAGCCAAATTCATCTTGGACCCACTATAATATTGGCTTGAAACTCTCAGGAAAACTATTTTCCTTTATTTTTCCATAGTTGCTAATATACTTCATACCGCAACTAAACTTTTTAGGCATGCTCTTTAATATAAATCACAGAATTGTAGCAAGTGCTAGAGGAACAAGTTTATCTTTACATAGATGAGGTGTAGACAGGTGTGATCAAACACTGAATACGGTCAGAGTCAGAACTTCATTAATAGCATGTTAAAAACAGATAACATATACAGTCTATTAATCTAGAAGGAAATAAAGTCTTCGAATACTATGAAGAATTTTGAAATTCCATCTTCTCCTGATGATCGTGGTTTGATGAAGATTGCTTAAACATGTGTGAAAAAAGAAAAGCCGCTAAATTAAAAGCTCTAAATAATCCTAGCGAAGACAATCTGGAATACTTCCGAATCTCAAAGAACGAAACGACAAAATTGCTCAAAAATAAAAAAAGGGAGTATCTTAAAAATAAAATAATCGAAATAGAAACTAATAGAATCGAAAATAACGTAAGAGACATGTACAAAGGTATAAACAGATCACGTAAATATGTAGGGCCCGTAACGTCTGGAATTAGGGATGATAATAACAATATTATGACCGATCCGGTTGACATATTGAATAAGTTTAAGGACCACTTTGACAATATTTTAAATACGGGAAATTATGATCTGTGTCCTCCTTCTGAGTACCAGAGTGCTGAACCGTTAATAGAAGGACCAAGTAAAGAGGAAGTTGAAGTAGCTATCGGAAAATTAAAATCATATAAAGCAGCGGGAATCGATAATATTTCTACTGAACTAATTAAGGCATGCGGGGAAGCTGGAGTTTCTAAAATACATCGGTTGGTTAAAAAGATCTGGGTGAACGAGAAATTAAATGAAGAATGGAAAGAATCTATTCTTATTCCGATTCACAAAAAGGGTCCGAGGACGGATTGTAATAACTATCGAGGAATTTCACTCCTTCCGGTATGTTATAAAATATTCACTTCAATCTTAACCAGTCGAATCACGGAATACACCGAGGAAATTATCGGAGACTACCAATGCGGATTTAGACGGAATCGTTCGACAATTGATCAAATATTTTCTTTAAGGCAAATATTAGAGAAAAAATTGGAGTATAACGGTATTGCTCACCAGCTGTATATAGATTTTAAAAAGGCTTACGATTCTATTGACCGCCAGAAACTGTATAATATTCTAATCGAGCAGGGGATTCCAAAAAAACTAGTAAATCTAGTCAGGATGTGCTTGACGCTGACACTCAATAAAGTTAGAATCGGTAATAATTTGTCCGAAAAATTTGAGGTTCGTTCGGGCTTAAAACAGGGGGATTCTCTTTCGCCTGTCCTGTTCAATTTGGCATTAGAACATGCCATTAGGGAGGTAATGCGAACCGAGAAAGGGTTGGATCTGGGCGGGACAACATCCGTGCTGGGCTATGCTGATGATCTGGTACTGTTAAGCGAAGACGTTGAAACTATAAAACTAAATACGACAACGTTAATGAAAGCCGGTAAAGAACTAAGACTCGAAATAAACGTGGATAAAACAAAATATATCGTTAGCTGCAAAAATGGCGATACTACTGGTGATATCGATATAGATGGTTATATGTTTGAACAGGTAGATAAATTTAGGTATCTAGGTTCTACGATAACTATAAAAAACGAAATTGAAGAAGAAATTAAGGTTAGACTGAAGGCGGGGAATGCTTGTTATTTTTCTGTGACAAAACTACTTAGTTCGCGCCTCTTGTCCCGAAACTTAAAAATTAGAATCTATAAAACAATTATCTTGCCTACAGTTCTTTATGGATGCGAAACTTGGCCGCTTACATTAAGGGATGAGCAGCGTCTTAAGGTTTTTGAAAATAAAGTATTGCGTAGAATATTCGGACCGAAGAAGGATGAGTTAACCGGAGAGTTCAGACGGTTACACAACGCCGAATTGCGTGAGCTGTATCCGGGTAATATAATTGAGGTAATTTCATCGCGGCGAATCAAATGGGCTTGTAAAGTTGTTGGGCTTAGTAACGAGAGAATTCCTAAAAGGTTAATATTTGCTGTGCCGAATGGTAAGCGTTGGAGGGGTAGACCGAAGCGAAGGTGGGAAGATTGCATTAAAGCCGATCTGAAGGGACTGGGTTTGGACGGCGAACGGTGGAGGGAGGTGTGTAACAAGCGATTGCTGGTGTCGGCATCGAACCTTCGGGTTTAAGCCTTATTATTATTATTATTATCTTCTCCTGAGTTCATTTTGGTTAGTATTTGTTTCAAATTTTTCAATATAGAAGAAATATTGAATATGATGAACAGATTGAATTCCCTTTAACATATCCGTCACACATGGTTTCTTTTCTTTACCTTGAGATAAAAAAGCTTCTTGTGGACATTAAACTGTAGACATACAAATATCTGGGAATTCTTGTTTAGAATTTATACTTCACAGACTTAAGAGTTACGCTCTAGATGTTTTTTTTACTCAGTCTTAGAGTTCAATTTTTGCTGTGGTTTGAATCCTCATTGATTGCACATTTTAGTATAAGGTTTTCAATATTTTTATTTAAATATTCCTTGGAGTGATGATTACCAGAACTTGATACATTTAAGTTTTTTATATAATTGACAGAAAAGTCGTCATAAGCTTGAAAGTTAAAGGTGAGTCTAACATTTAATAACTTCTTTTTCATTGGGTTATGTTTCCCAAGTGACAATGACATTGTCCTCTGCATTTATTTTTTTTAAATATATTTATTTGGTGTTTTTCTGAGAATGCGATAATCCAGATAGTTTGAGGATGGAGTGGCCGAACGGGCTGACGCCTGAGCCCAGCAACCTGCTCTATGAGACAAATGATAAAAAATAGTCACGAGTTCGGGTCCCGGTGCAGGGGGAGTTTTTTAAATCCCCACCCACATCCCCTGGCCCGGGAAAGCCCAGTATAAGTAGACGAAAAAAAAAAATCCAGATAGGTTATCTTATGAGCAGCATTTCTATTTTTCTTCATCATTTGGATTACAATACATACTTCTATTCATATTAAAATGATTTGTTTATTTTATTTTCACTTTTTGGGGTGTCGGAATGAAATTCAAGTCTTTTTTTCTAATAAATGTACTTGCATCTTTTTGAAATCTTCTGTAATATATGTTATAAAAATAGTTTTATTTTTTCTATATTTGATATTTGTTTTGCCAAATTTTCATTTATTGATTTTAGCAGACGTCAATTAACAAATGTGTTTCAATTCAATCTTTATTTGTTTTAAGGGAAGGACCCTATACAAATGGGGTCTATCACAAAATAAAAAACAGTATTATCCTTTTGGAAATACAAAGTCATTACTTTTTATACTACATTACAGATATTACAACGCTCTTAAGGGTAAAATAAAATTCATATTCAGTGAAAATCAGACAGATAAAATAGTTCCAATTATCAAATTAATATAAAATCTAAAATTGTCAACAATATACATCAATAAAGACACATAAAACAATAAATACACATTTTTTTTTTTAAACTTTAATATTAAACTATGTTTTAAAATTAAATTAAAAGATTACTCTAATACCTAAGAGAACAACCAAGAAAAATGAACCGGACAGATTACATGCCGATGTGCAATATGGAATTTTTGCCATGATATGCAGAGGACAATATTCCAGATTAACCTACCAATTTTTTATAGTTTGATATAATCAAGAAAAATAAAATTTAATTTTCATATATCTTCAGCAATGGTTATCTTAAATATTTCTATCCCATACCCTGGTAAATTCTTAACCTAAAACTACTGTAAATTGGACATTTAAATAATATATGATGAAGTGTTTCGTTCTCTTTAGTGTTGCACATTTTGCACTCAAGTTGTGATGTCATTTTCACAATTTTATTATTAACAGAAATCTTGATCATATATTTTCCCGAGAGGCGGATCTGCATTAATAGTTTCATATATTTGAAATTAGTCGGCATCAACAAATACTGATCATTATTAAGAAAAAGGTTTAATGTTCATTATAAGATGAGCTAGGCAATATTATCCTGTCACCGTCTTGCAAATGTTATTTATATTTATTTAATATCCTGTTATTATTTGTTCTAGTTATGGCTGAGTTGGTTTCATAAATTAGATTGCCTTCCCCAATAGTATCTGACAATACTTTTTGCTGAGAACACCAATTATATTTCGATAGAGCAGGATTAGGTAAGTAACATTTGTTTCTTACTTTTTTGAAACATATTTTAGGATATCTAAATTCCTCCATTTCCACGAGTTTAACCAACCAATTCAATGAACACTTCATAATATTGAAACCAATATGAGTAGACCCTGTATCTAAATGCATTAAAAAGTCTGGGGCTGTTTTACAAATTGAATGTCTTTTTACAAAAATTTGTGTCGACCTTTTCTAAGAGCTCTATGTATCAGAGACTCCATACTTGGACACAATATAACAGAAATGTGCTAATGATAGCTTTTTTTTAACTAGTCTGTCGCCTTCCAAGAGTTTTTGCTTTAGAACAAATGTTTATAACACTACCAATTGTCAAGTTTGACTTTGAAATTGCTGTCTTAACTGCTAACAAAAGTGAACACCTAAATAATTGTACATACTAACTGTATCAATCAGTTCTCCATCCAAATATATACTATTATATTTCTATTTATCAATGTTTATAATTAGCTTATTGTCTCTGCAGTATTCATATTCATTTAGAGGATTAATTTTTTTTACAAGATCGGTACAGGAATCAGCAAAAATAGCCATGTTATCTGCAAACAAGAGCAACAGTATGTCAACACATCCGCCAATAGGTATACTTGACAGGTTACGCTTGCGAAATTATTCCTCAATATCAGATAAGAAAACATTAAACAGCATGGGACTCAGTGTCTCTCCTTGTAACACACCTTCAGTAATTTTCAACTTTTGCGACAGTCCTCCAGTGGTTTTATTTGTGCGTACGGATTATGATACATGTTTCCCATAACTCGAATTATTTTCCCACTCGAACCTATAGAAAAAAGTGTGAGCCATAGTAAAGTGTGATTTATGGAGTCAAAAGCCTGAAGAAAGTCAACAAAAAGAACGAAAAATATTAGACTTATCTTTTAAAAAGTGGTTTTGGATGACAGCATATAAGAAGAAAACATTATCTAACTTCTCCATCCTGATTGGCATCCAGGTATAATTCTGGTTTTTTTCAATCCATAATGTTATTCGTTCCAGGATTTGTGTAAAATCACCTTAAATGGGTGATAGGGTTTGGATAAACGTTTTGGAAACACAGTTTTCCATAGATATAATTAACAAATGTGTTATAAACAAATATTGATGGGAATGGTTTTGTTTGTGTGATATTTATTGATAATCTTCATCGTTAAATAATAGGGAAAAACTACCACTTACTGTTGCTTCAACTGACAAAATGAAATAAATAAACAAACATGATAAAATAAAATGAAACAAAGATTCAGAAATTAGCTAAATTACCTTCAATATTTTACAGGTTTCTGTTTCGGGAGGCAAAAAAGATGAAACTTTAGGCTGTTGTAATTTCTCAGCATGGGTGAATAAGTTGTGAAGATGTTGATCCATTGTAAGAACAGTTGAAGAAAGACGAAAATTCACATGGAATATTGGTTTCTGTCCATCAATCCATGTTATTTCTGGTCCTCCAAACTGAAATATATTTTGAGGCTTCAAAAATATATTTATTAATATTTTATAGCTAGGATCTAATATAATAAACTACTAACCAAAATATTTTTTTATATCATTATCTCTTTCAAGTCAAACTATTTTTTCAATCACCAAATTAATTACTGCTGAATGATACATAATCTTTGAAGCTATATGGTTTTTACAAATTAATAGAACAACAAATAACTGGTATTAGTACATACAGTTCACAATGCAAACTTTAAATAAAAAAAAAAGAAAGAGATCAATCTGTTTGCCTATAACTCTAAAGAGCAATCTGTGTAAATAATTTTTCTTATCCACCTATATATTTTTATTTATGAATATTATTAAACAATTCAAGTCAAACTAAAACAATATACAAAAACCTGAGCAACAGAGCTCCTGCACTAAGGTTTTATTTTCCTCTCATTTTGCTTGAAAAACTAATAATAAGTTATTTAATTGTTTAACTAGTTGTGTAGTTCTTGTCTAACTAGTTTAGCAGTCTGAATTCTAATGCTTAGTTGTGTAAACTGGTTAGAATTTTAAAATCAATTGAACAACTGGATTTTTGTTGCATATTTTGTTTTTTTCCATTTTATGATTTATTTTCTAATTTAATTTATTAAAATGCAGTGGAAGGGGAGGAAAAAAAAAACATCACCAAAACAAGACCCCAAAAAGGCCGCACCAACTTAATTCACAAATAAATTTTCAAACATCTAACTCAATTAGAAGGGGTGTTGAGGTACAAACAACTTTAAAAACGGAGAAGAAAAATTACACATAAGTCTTGAATGAGTACAATAATGGATTAGTATATAAGTTCAGGGAGAACTTTGTCTTATTTAAGTCTGTGTCTTGCACAACTATGAAAGTGGGGAGACATTTTCTAATATGATAAGCAAACTTAACACTTATTAAGTAAATTATTACTTAAACAGATGTGGTAAACTATGAAGCTATACTGATTGTGTGCGTTGAATAGACTATCTTGAAAATTGTATATTATATTGTATTTACGAATAAACATGTTTTTCCTGATGTTGTATATACATGAAATGCATTAGGGAGATAGTAATCTAATGTGAGAGTTCTCAATGGAATATACTAGTAATACATTATTTTCTTATATGTATTTAAACTTGAAAATTTTATTGAAACATCAATCTGGCAATACGGCTCTTGAGAATAAATCTCATGGTAGAGAAGAAACTAAGTCCATGATAATGAATTACAGATTTTAGTAGAAGAAATTAATATGCATCAATAGTAGACAAATTGGATGAAAATTTGAAAGAAAAAGTTTCAACTCTTTTCAACAAAAGAATCTATACTTCTTGGTCAGACAACCAAAAATGTTAATTGATCTGAAAAATTGAAGTTCTACAACACCCAATATATTCAATTGACTTATTTCCAACTGAAAACCATTTTTGAGAGTCATTGATGCATTAAAAAAAAAAAAAATCCAAAATTAAAATAAAATAAAATGTTTCTCCTTTTTTTTAATTTTTCCAAATGCAGTTGGATAGAACAAGAAATTAAATACTTTGTTGGATGTTGGAAGAAACAAATTGAAACTAATATAAATTATTTTGAATAAAAATAATATTGTTAATTTTTTTTTTTTTTCATTAACCTCACTCTAGGAGCTAATATTTCATATGTTCTTCCAACACAATAAATTTAGGAAACTTTGAACATACCCACAAAGGTAAAAAAAAAATTAAGTCTATTCCTAATAAAAAAGTACTTACACCTTTTCCAAGACCCAAAGGCTGAACAGAAAGATAACCACATGGTAGGTTGGCAGCAACTGGAACACTCTGTTCTTCTGTATTTAGTCTGAAATTATATAACTATAACTATTATACACAACTACAATTATATTTATATAACTATCATCCTAACTTGGTTTACATAGTTTATGAGATCTAAATATTATTCCTTCAATTCCAGAAATGGAGGAACCAAGTTGACAGGATAGCTAACACCCCATATTTTTCTCTTCTTTCTTTTGTTTCAGTTTGTGACGAGTCAGAAATAGGATATATGTCAAAAGTTGATTAGCCTTAAAGAAAAAGTCAAGCAAGGCTGATCTAATTAAAGAGACTAAGTACTTTTTTTTATTTGATAACCCCCTACCCACCATTTTTGGCATACAGAGGAGGGATTGTTCGAGATGTACAACCAAACCTATTCTAACCTAATCTTATAGACCGGACAATGCTCCAACATGCTTGGCCATCACGACCTCTCAAAGAGAGAGAGAGAGAGAGACAAAGTAATATCCACAAACCAAGAATCTGCAGATAGAATTGGAAATGGAAAACATAGAACTTGCTTGTGTGGATTCCACAATGTTTTTGCTCCCTTAGAGACGCGAACAATCCATGTTCTAGTATCATCAATAATATACCAGGAATAACCAGCAAGAAAAGTATCCTGATCCCTGAGATGAGAGCCACCAGCCTAGACCACATAAATACAAACTACCCAAGCCTCACATGGATCCGAATATATACGTGGCACCGGTGTATCTGTTGAATTACCTGATGGGAGCACCACTGAAAAGTCAATCTCTAGAGGCCAAATCTTAACTAATTATCGAGCTGAGCAGGAGGTTATTGCGGACAAGAGTTATTGTGAGCAGGAGGTTTCTGTGCCGATAATCTTATCTCTACCAAATCAGAAGAATGCAAACATAGTATTCCCGAAGGATACAGCTCAGTTCTTTGTGCCTTAAAAACAAATTGGGATAAAAGGTGTCATGAACTGGGATCATAACTTGAGAAGCTAAACCACATTATTTATTCTTCAGACTTATTTTCTTCTTGATGACACTACAAGACAATGGAAGACCTCAAGAGAACTATTGATTTCCTTGTAACCAGATGTAACCATTTAATTGAAAGAATGAAGAAGATAAAAGAGAAAAAAATACATAAGCAAAAGACTGCAAAGGTGTAAGTTAATATTATAAGCATTACCTAGCAGCCAAAGAATTAACCACATGAACAGTAGCAGAAGGTTTGAAAATTGGAAACAGTAGAGATGACAACCCTAATGACAAAAATCCACGTGTCAGACAGCTAACTGGAAGTGATTGGGTATGGTCGAAATTCAAAAAGTAAAACAAGTATCAAAAATCACCTGACCAGCAACAGGAAAAAGCCAACTGGGATAGTTTCAGACCACTTAGCAGGTAACTAATCAAATAAAATTAGACAAAGTTTTGGAAGTTTTATATGAATCTGACGCCTATAAAAATCTCAAAAAATTATAAGATCAGTAGCAGGCAAAAAGTCTGTGGGAACAGTTTCAGACCACTTTAGTATGTAATTTTGGAAGCTTTTCAATAATCTGACAAGCAAATTTGAGAAAAAGTGGTAAGTGGTTTATATTTTAAAAAATGACACTAAACATATGGATCACATTTTCAATTTATTAGTTTATTATAAAGTTTTTAATAAAAATTGCTAGAAGTAATATGAAAAAACCTCAGTTGACCTCATTTGTAGAGTCAGGGTCTTTTTCTTGTTCAATCTCGTGTTCAGTTTCAACCTCAGTTTCTGCATTAGTGATTTCCTCTGGCCATCGAGACCCATCAAACCAGAGTGGGTGTAATCACCTTCCCGAATTAACCATCCACGTTTATCTGGTCGCATTAGGATTAGTAGTTATGGCCGTGGTATGTCAGTATGATTCGATATAAACAATATATAATTGTATCTTTTGATTTTTTGGAATAACTCTCTCTCGAGAAAATGGAAATGGGTACAGCACACCCTAAGAAAAAAAAGATGAGGCAATAGAAAAAAACAGCACTACAATGGAACCCTCAGGTAAACAGAAAAAAAGACAGACCAAGAGAGACTTGGCACAGGTCTGCGGAGAGACAATTGGGCCAGGTCAGCAAAATGTGGAATGAGGCAAGAAGGATTGCTGCTGATAGAGTCGAATGGAAAGCACTCATGAACACCCTATGTTCAGTGGGAGTCAAAGGAATTAATAATAAAAAAAATTAAATCTTGAGGATTTTTCTCAAAATCAAAGCAGGTCAGGTTGTTATGGTTTAGTTTTTTATTGCCTAAAAGATATTTCGTTATAGATAAAAATTATGAAATATTTTAAAATATTATGGGTGGTCTTATTATTTAACAAGATACAGTGGGACAAAAAGCAACTGAAACTATCCAAGGTAACTATGATAACGTGAAACAAATTTTCAAGAGAGGTTTGTGCCCATAACATGTTCTACAGGTCAAGTGAAAAAATTGGATGGCCTGGCAAAGTCGTTGAAGTAGAGGAGTCTTTTTTCTTAAAAAAAAAAACATGTAGTGAGAGTTCTATCTGAGCAATGGATGTTTGGCATTTGCCGAGAAACAGACGAGTGTTTTACCGTCAAAATAAACGACAGAAAGGAAACAACTTTATTACAATGTATTAAAAACAATATACAAGAGGGAAGTACCATTTATTCTGACTGTTGGAAAGGATACAACACCCAACAACTGAATGAAGCAAACTATAATAATTTTTTATTATTACATTTATTTTTGTCTACTTCATACATGTGTTGTAAAAAAAGTGTTTTCTTATTGTTGTGGGAATTATTACATTTCTTTTTGTCTATTTCAATTTCAAATCAAACTGTTTTGCTGTTATTAGATTTGTTTTCATCGATTTAATATATGTATATGTTGTACAATAAAAGTATTTTTTTATTATTACATTTGTTTTTGTTTATAATTTCAATAATATGAATACAATACAATAAATATGAATACGAAGATAGGAATTATCAGTGCCTTATCAGAATTATCAGTGTTCAGGTTATAAACATTGGCAGATAGCAGTCAGTACCGACTGGTTATCAGACAAGCACTAAGAAATGCTTAGTGAAGAAAAAGGCATTAATTTAACATATTAGGTGAGAAAACATATAGTAATTAATTGTTTTAAATGAAAGTAAAGTGATGCGCGCACAAAACCAGATCTTTCGTTATACAATGAATAGATTTCATGAGAAATAGGTGAAGAGTTGAGACCACTGACCAGTTAGGGTAGTATATATAGTTGTTCCCTTTAACTGAGCATCAAATGAGTAAAGGAGGTATCGGGACTGTTTCAATTTACAATACTAATATTATTTTATAAATTTCTACTGGTGACTTAATGAGTATTTAGTGAGGAGATACTACATTTTCTCATTTCACAACTTTTAAAAAAGCAGCAGTTCTGGTCAAAAACTTTAATTTTGAGTTTCCTTACCATTATTTATCCCACTAATCATTGTCATTTAAATTAAAATTAATCTAATTAAATTAAATAAAAATCAAACCTTTGCCAAATTATAAAAACTGAATTCCAATGGATTTTTTTTTTTTTTTTTAATCAGGTATTCACAATTTTGCAAAGGTTCAAAGTAAAAATGAACCGAAAATACAACTGCTTATTACCTGTAAATGAATATTAGGAAATCATTCTAACATTCTAGGAAATCAAAATAACGTTTAGTTCTTAAATATAGTCGAACCGCTATAACTCGAACACAAAAGGTTTCTTGAAAAAAAAATTGATACATAAAAAGATTGAAATTTTGTCATACAAAAAACAAAAGAATCATTTTTTAGAATTAAAGATTTATCATCAGCAATTTTAAAGAGTATTACATGCATTGCATGTCATCTGCTTAATCAAACAAGCATTAAGTCATTTACAATCTTCTCCTTAACTTTTGAACACTAAAAGTTAATTTAAAAAGAAATTTACATAACATGTCATGAAAAGGAGTCAGAGAATCTCTTTCCCATGGGTCCTGCAATAATTTCTTCAAGGTCTTCCCCAAATTTCCACTGCATTGTAAAAAAAAATATTTTTAGTTATTACTCATTATTATGAACATAAACAATGGAACCTTTTTGATAATAATTAAATTTCATGTTTTATTAACTTTTTTTTTGTTCTCCGCTTCCTCACCTTTTAGGTAATACAAGCCAGGGATTATGGCAGAGTTAAAAGCTCGCCAGTACCGGGATATGAACTCTTAACTATTTTATCAGCTATTGCTTCGGTTATCAGATTTTTGGGCAATGCGTGGTGCTTTGCACATGCGTTTGCCTACTTGGCCACCCAATTCCCCTTTATTTTATTAACTATGACTTTATATTCGTGACTTTCTTTTTAAAAAACCGTTAAAAATACAATAAAAGTAATTTCTTTTTTAAATTAATAGCTTACATATCAATTAGAATATTTCAAAATTGTTTCCGAAAAATATTATTTAGGAAAGAATGAGCCTCATTCACAAAAAAAAAATAAATAGATAATAATAATTTAAAAAATTGCAAGAACGTAAGTAAGAAAGTAAAGGTGAGGGAGATTGAACCGTATTGTGTTTGACAGTAGTACATAACACGCTACGGAGGAATCGGGCACTTCCTCCAATCCCTGCCACAGCTCCCAAACCCACTTTTATTTAAAGCTTTTAGCATAATTAAAACCTTTTTTTATTTTTTGAAAAATTTGATCTCAATCTTATATACTTTTATATCACTTGAATTCTAATATTCAAATTTACATGATTTTTTTATTTCATGCAAGTACCCAATTCCAGAAAAATTTCATAGACATATTTTTGTAGTTTGAAATAAATAAAATACTTGCCTGTTTTTTACCAAAAGTGGAATCCAGGCATATCCAACAGGAATTTCTATTCCAGAGTCTCTTTTTTTTGAGCCTTGTATCGATATGTGATAAAAAGTGAAAAGCAGATGATGAGAAGAAGTGATGCAAACAGGAAGAAGCAGTTTTATTTCATCATACCATGAAGGATTAGTAGTATGATGTAGTACAGCACAACATGACCAGCTAACCAATTTTTCACTTCGACTTCCACGATATATACACTAAAACATACCAACAGCGTTTCAATAGTTATTGCCACTATCAACTAAAAGTCTTAACTTGCAAACTATAATTACTTTGCTTTTTTCACCATCTATATAAATAATATCACACATATTATATAATAATTATGTAATTTCTATCAATTTAGTATTTAATGTGGGCCCATAAAGATTTATTTCCAGAGGCTTGGTTTCTCTTCACAACACTATCGAAAACTACCAATGATCTAATGTAAAAACCATAATTCACTCCACAAATGGATTCAAACAGAAGCTTTAATAGACACTTAGATCACAAAAACCTGAAATAATAAACTAATAAATAATAAGCTTTTCATTTAAGAGTGATTTACCATCCTTACGGAGCTCAATGGGTGAGAGGGAATAAGCTCATTAAAAATTTGCTAATCCAGAAAATTTTATTTAGAAACAATCATCTATAACTGTAGTAAATGGACAAAAGAATTTAAAAAAGGGGAATTAATTTGGTATACCTTGGATCTGTGAATGAATAGTCTCCAAACTTTTAGATCTGTGGACCACATTGAAATTTCTATAATTGACATTTCAATTGTTTTTTTTGTTTTGTTTTTCCTATGCCAAAGTCATTGGTCATTCGGCCATCGGACATAACAAATTTCAATTGTAGAATGAGCTTTTTTAAGAGAAAACCTCACACAATCAAAGTTTTAGCAACTTTGTGTTTTAGTGATTTTTTAAATTTCATATTTTTTAAATTTTATCAAGAAATCAAAGAAACTTTTGCGGGTCAGATTGGAGGTGCTCGAGGCCTATAGTTGGAAACCACTGGACTAAAATGTCAGCTAGAAGTTTCTTGCTAGGAAATTTAACTCAAAACATCTTGCTGCTAAGGAAAATATGGAGCAGAATTCTTAGAAGTATAATTTACCTAATCTAATAACAGATAATCAAGGGAGAAGATGGAGATTATTATAAATCCAAAATTCCTAACTGCTCATGTCATGACCAGTCTGAAACTTACTAGATGTTCAAAGACAACTGGCAAAATACAATAAGCTAACCATAATGTAAACATCGGAATATAAGAGCACCAAAGGCAACTAATGGCATATGCAGAAGACATAGCAATTACAGGAAAAATCAGGGAAGGTCTAGAGGAGAATATCAAGAAGACCAAACTAATGATTGTAGAAAGAATAAGAAGATAGCACTCGCTTTCTATGTTATCACTAGTGGAAGTATTGAACTAGTTCCTGCCTTCCTGTACCTTAATCCGTAATAAACTTGAAGACAACAAGAAAGTAAAAAGAAGGATTTTAGCAGGTAAGACAGCATAATATGCACAAAGAAGCCTGGTAAGGAGTAACCTGGTATCACTCACCATTAAGGCCCGCATTTTTAACATATACAATAAGATGTATAGTGGTATTTATGAAGAAGATGGGAGATGGTGTATAAGGAAAAATAGAGAAATATACAATTTATTTAAGGATATATACTAACTGACAGGATAAAAATTAACAGACAGAGATGGTATGGCAGATATATTGAAGTGAGCCAAGAAACAATTTCGTCTGTTGTGCCAAAAGAAGAAGAACATCTAAGGCAAGGACATTCTAGGGTAAACCAAAAGTTATGGTCACATCACCACTATGAACAAGCTTTCACTATTTTTACAATACAGTAATAATTGTGGTTCCTGGATTTATTGAAGCAGGAGCTTACTCTGTACCACCTCAAAATAAACTGTTTTCCAGCTACAGTTTGATGATTCTCTGATTTCTCATTTGGAGCTGCAGCTGAGGTGGTATGAAGGTAGCACACAATGAGGGTATGAAGAAGTAATATATCTTGCAGTCACAGCCTTGAGGTTGGTAGCTCCATGGTAGAAATTAAACAAGGTTTTATGTTTCCATATCCAATTTTTATAAAAATTATCGTTCCAGCTGTTGCTGTCTGTCATAAAAGATCTCACAGCCAAGAGTACAAGGGACTGAAACGCCTCCTCGATGCCAACATAACCAAGGTTAAAGAATTAAAATTATCATAATTTATCATATATCTATTTTAGGCCAAAGGTCACCAAAAAAACACAGTTTTTTTTTATCTCCTGTATGCTTTATTCAACATTTCGGCTTCAGGAGCCATTTTCAAGAACCTGCAAAACATGCACCGCGCCATAAAATTTTTAAAATTTATCATTGCGATATGATTCGTCCTTAATTCATTCTTTTATTTCAAAGAATGTCGTTTTCCGTTTCTCTATTTGCAGACTCAAATAGATATATGATAAATTATGAGAAAATGGCACCAAACCTGAAGGATGTGACTAGAAAATTAAAATTATGTTTAGAAAAGCAGGCCTCTATAAGTTTTGAGAATGCACAGAAGTTGAAAACCATAGAGGCATTCCTGGAGAGCCATAATTCCAAGGTTAATGGGTTGGTCGTGGAAACTTAATACTCACAGTTCAAGTTTCAGAACAAAGAAGCTTTTGGTTACAATGTTTTTTTTTTCTATTGATTTCTTGTAATATAACAAAATTATCAAAGAGAGGATTTATAATTTTTTCAAAATGGATAAATAATAACAATTGAAAAAAAAGAGGCAATAATTCTCCATTGAATATTATATCCTGCAATATAAATAACAAAACAAGATTAATACTATTAATACTAACCGGTATAGGTGGAGATCCATCTTGATCTGAATCCTTTAATTGAACTACACAAGCAAGATTTCGAGCTCTAGAAAAAGTTTTCTGGGAATCAAATGACAAGCTTTGAGGATAAATGTAAAGATGATTGGAAAATGAAACGTATGGATGCACAAGTGGTGATAGTTCAGCTACTTCAACAGTTGGCGGACAGGCAGGTGGCACTGGAAATGGCTTTAATGGTGATAGACCACTAGTCAAACAATCTGAAAAATATATTCAATTGATTATTCAGTTTAATGCATATGTAGGAATAGTAAACTCAATTATTTACTGTAATTTAAAAATAAATTGGCCAAAAAACAAGAGCAAAGATTTTTTTTTTTTTTTTATAAATTATCATTTATTTACATTTTTTGTTTATACGTAGTTCTGCCATAGATACTGATACAAAAGTTGAACTTTGTTTACATCCTTAGGTATTATTTAGATAATCCTTACCTCTATCAGGTTATTTTGTTACATTTCAGGATAATAATCCGTCCCCATACTGTGAGAATAGCAAATGCAGCGAGAGCAGTGGCAGCTCGATTCAGAAGAAATCCCATTCGAAAACAACAAATCATGTCTCAAGAAATGGGAATGTCTGTCAGATCAATGTCTCACATGATAAAAAGTGACCTTAGGATGGGTGCATTTCGAAGAATGACAGGACAAAGGCTAGCCACTTCCCTAAAAACATCAGAGTGGGTAGATGCAAAGTGTTCCTTGGCTGTTACACCAATGGTCTTCATCGAAAGATTATGTTTAGCGATGAGAAAATTTGTACAATTGAAGAAAAATATAATCCCCCAAATGATCATGTGTACACACAAAGCTCTAAAGAAGTTGCCCAGGAAGTCATTGGAAGAGTGGAAAGAGATCATCACCCTTCCTCAGGAAATGGTTTGGTGGGGAGTTAGCTTTGATGGCTCAAGTTAGCTCACGGGGAATTAGCTCAAAACTCCATTTTTGTGAAAAAGGAGTTAAAACCGCCGCTAAAAACTATGAGGACGATATTTTGGAACCTGCTGTCAAGCCTCTAAATGATACTCTGTTTGCTGGAAGTCATTTGGTTTTTTATCAGGATTCCGCTCCAGCTCACAAGTCAGGTCAAATCAGCAGTGGCTACAAAAGAACATTCCAGAGTTCATCTGTGCCTCAGATTGGCCCTCAGGAAGCCTGATCTCATACCACTAGATTATCGGCATTGGTCTGAACTGAAGAGGATAGCATGCCACAGAGCACAGCCTCAATCTCTGGTTCAAGCAGTTGAGCACTTCCCTCAAGAAGTGATGCCTGCTGCTATTGATGACTGGACACGGAGATTAAATGCTTGTGTCAAGATAAAAGGGGGACATTTTGAGTAATTTATTTTTTGTTTTACTCTCTATAGATATGCATTTTATTTTCTAATTAAGTTTTTGAAAAAAAAATTCTGTTGAAATCTGTATATATATTCTTGTAACATTATTTATGACAGGACTAGGTACTACGTAAATTACATGTTTGCGGTTACAGTAACCATGAATTATTTAAAATATGCATATTCAAGAACTAGGTGAAAAATTTTGGTAAAAGTAATCAATCAAATAATATAAAGAAAAAATTATTAATTGAGTGACAAGATTATTGATTTGTAGAAAGAATAACGTGTTTCTATTCTGGACTGAGAAAGTATTAAAGTAATGAATAACTAATTAACTGTATCTAACTTTACTAACTCAATTCATTTGTAAAACTAGACCAGCTAAAATAATTAGAACTGTAAAACAGGGTGAATTTAAAAAATTGAAAATTAATAAATAAAATATGTATTTTTTAAAAAATCTGTTTTAAAATCTATTTAGTCTGAATAGATTCTGACACTAACAAATTCTTAAACGAAGAAGGATGTAATATATTATAAATTTATTCAACCCAAGGAATAATGATCTTTGTTTGGCGATACATATCTATTCATCAATATTTTCAACATTCTTTGCCAACCGACTCCTACAGTGTTCTGGTAATTTTTCAACATTACTCAGCCATCATATTTTATAAAATCAAATAATTTTACAAAATCGAAGCAAGTATTTTCCTCTTTAGAAAAGTTTCAAGATTAAGAAACAAAATGTTCTTTTAAACCTACAATAAAATCAATTCTGCCCTTCATCAAACTTCCACAATTCTTTTCAAGTTTCACCTAATTTATTTAAGGTTCAGTTTGCCTTACCCTCTTAAATGAACCTCATTTTTCATATTGGTCTTGTTCATTCTCATTTCGATCCAAGACACTTCTGTTTTATCTCTTAAGAATTTCTTATTCCTATTCTAAAATCCCCCACAAACCATCAAGAACCAAATAGTATCCTAAAGAATTGAATTTAAATCACACCCTAATATACAACACTGGTCTTACTTTCCTTGAAAATTATTTTTCCCTTCTTCCTGAAAGACAGCCAGAGCTTGAAGCGGAAAAAAAAAATGTTTATTTTTAAAAAGTTTAGGTACCACTGGAACTTTTATTTTCAATAGTTTTCACTTCTTTTGTAACTAGAACTTTTTTCCTTGCAACTTCTCAAGTAAAGGTTTTACAGAACTTATATTTTTAAAAAACTTTTATTTAAAATTTCTGTCTTCGCTAAAAAGTCAATCTAAAAAGTGACTTATATACAAAACTACATAACTAATTATATACATAACAAACAATACATTAGAGTTGTATGTAATTCATTTAAGACAAATTATAACTCCAATCTAACCCCAATTACTATCATTTTTATTCAACGGAACTTTTTTTAAAAACTTGAATAAATAAAACTTTAACTTTATTACAAAAAAGTTCCTCAGATCTTTTATTTTCAGAAGTTTTTTCCTAAAAATATTCATGGAAACTGGTAATATGGAACTTCTTTCCTCAAATTTTTCACAGATATTGTTAAAATGACACTTCTTAAAAAAGTTGTAATCACTGAAGCCCCTAGTTTTCTGACTTCTTATGGCTTTCAAACTTCACATAGCAATTATTGTCCGATCTTTATCCTCTATAACTTTCAAAGTCTTAAATTTTTATGTCTAGCCTCAGTAAAAAAAAATCCATTCCTTGACAGTTTGAATATTGTCCAAGATTCTCTCTACCAGGGCACCTGTGAAAATCATTTTATGGAATTCCTTGGATTATCCAGATTTTTTGAAAAATTACTAATCATCGAAATAGTTATGATACCACACGACATACATTAATTTAAATATTCTTCCTGCTTCTTAAATATTATATTATATTAGTTCAATAATTTTGAAGAATCATTTACTAGAATTTAGAAAATAACAGAATCATAAAAGGAAAAATGTTAAGAAATGCAAACATTCTTCAAAAAAGTGTTAAAGCAGCTCTAATATTAACTTAGTTATTTATTATAATATATTAATAAAAGTATAAATAAAAATAAATAAATTAACTCACTTTGAGGAAGATCTGAAAGAGACTCTACTTTAACCTGCAACCAGCCTGGTATCAGTGGAAGTTTGCTCATTTTGTCAGGTCTAAATCAAAAGACATGAAAAAAAGTTTGTAAATGTAATAAAAAATGGAGTTTTAAGATATTAGAAAAATTCTTCAGTAGAAAGTATGCAGATACTGACACATAACTATATCGGCCATTCTCCCTGAAAGTTTTAATCCAAAAATAAATCACTTTTTGTACTATCCTATTAAATTTTGGTTGTCAGTTCTACAATAATATAAATATTTAATGAAATACAAATGAAAACGTTAGGAATATATTTTAACGTGTCACATATATTCATCAAGACAGGAAGGTAAAAGCAATAGAAAATTTACATAAATAAATCCAATGCTGAAATTTTACAATCAAAAGAAAAAATAACATGTAATATGAATCCTAAATGTAACCTACTTCTTTTTTTTAAATCTGGGAGAAATGATCATTTTGAAAAGATATCAAGTATGAAATTCCAAGGGAATATTTAGAGATACACATGACAAAAATAATTTATACCTTGTTGAAATATAGACCATCATAACACTGAGATGTAACTTGGAACCAAAGAGGGAGAACTAATAGCAAATTTCATGTTTTTCCTCTTTTTCCACAGCTTGCATTCATACTTTTCAAGAAACTGAAAATACAAGGACGATTCCATGCCAAATCATCCAGCCAGCCAAAGTTCAATTTGACACCCTCTCCCCACACATTTTAATGTACATTTATATAAAAAAAGTAAATACACAAATTTAAAAAATGGCAAATTTTATTCAGTTATAAGTAGTTTCAGAATTTTAGTCATTTGAACTTATGAGACATTTGAAGTTCAGAATGCAATTGGAGCACAAAAGTAGTATGTATGTGTTTGTGCCTTCCTATGTGTTATCAATATTCATTGAACTACAGGTTTCAAAATGTTTTCATTTGTGATTTCAGAATGTCTGCATTTGATGTAGAATCAAAATACCGTAAGTATTAACATTATAATTTTTTCAAAGTTGTGATACAGATATAAAAAAATATCTGTGTCAAAAATTACTTTCCAAATACCATAATAGAACCAAATGAAATTACAGCTTATAAGCTTCTTTAACTGACATTTCAAGGTCCAAAAGTAGCCTATTACATTACTGAATAATTAACTTTTTTATATAAAAATCAATGGTGGGGATGTGTAATCATTTAAAAAGTTCTAGAATTTCTTTACTTCTTTCAGAGAATCTTGTTGGAGCCATCAAATTGAGATGTTATTTATAAAGGGTTTTTATTAACAAAGTAGATGAGCTGGTGGTACAGGACATTTGTTTTCTTTTTTAGGCCAAACAAAATTTCAGTTGGACCAGAGAGATGCAGAAATAGTTAAATAATAGGAGGTCTCATTTATACTCAGCATCATTTCATTGCACCGATTGCTTTCAAAAACACATGCCATGAAATAATAGAGATTTGTTGTTCTACTGCTATACTCTACAGCTAATGTTTTACAAAACTATGTTTTGCCCTAAACAGATGTTAGAATCTAAACTCACTTGTTTTGCTGGGATTTCATAGAGAATTTTTATGCTCTTTTCATTAATATGTACTTGTATCAGGAATATCTGGAGAGGGATTTGACCATGCTTACTAGTATGTATAACATGTAAATTTGATTTTACTGTATTAGATTTAAATTGAATAAAGTTATTTAAACTCAAAAGCTTACCAAGATTATTTCAGCATTTGAAAGAGCATTAAATATACTGAGATCAGTAATATTTGATTGTACTATGGTATTTGGAGAGTGTTTTTAAATACAGATATTTTGTTATACCTGTATCACAACTTTGAAAAATAATATAAATTTTTATGTTTAAGAATTATTTTATCCATACTGGAAAATGCTAATGCTAATACCTACAATATAATCTTATTCTGCATCAAATATAGGACAAATGAAAACATTTTAAAGCTTCCAGTTCAATAAATGTTGATTTTACATTGGAAAGCACAAGCACGTACAAGCTGGTTTCTGAAAAAGTAACTGAATAATTAAAGATAGAGAGAGATAAAACCTTAACTTAAAATGCTGAAAAGGTCTATCAATAAGATAAACTTAGATGTTCCTTTAAAAATCTAGATTACAATTTATATTAGATTAATAATTAATTTTAATCAATTTATTTTTATTAAGTGGCAAAGTTTGATAATACCATATTTTATAGTTTAACAATAAACCATTAAATAATAAAATATTAAAATGACCAAACTGGTGAAAGACTTACTTTCTAAAGTCTGTAAGATATTTAAGAAGTTCTTCATCTTTTAATTTTGTAGCATCTTGGCGATATATTCCAGGAAAATCGGAGACAACATCTGGATCAGAACCATAAAGGTTAAATAATGGCCTTGCAGTCCAAGCAAAAGGCATTCGGTATTTTCCTAACCTGGGAAAAAAAATTAAATTAATATTTTAATGGCTATTTACATGAGTAGATTTTTAAATTGAAGTTTTGATTAAGACACTGCAGTTAATTATTTCATTTTCAACCACCAGAGGATCACATACACATTCCTTGGTGCTACAATGACCGATGTGGTCTTTGGCTTTCTGATAGCTTGATTTTATGACACTGCTTGCCAGTTGCAGATGTATTAATAATTTATATTGGTATCACTGGCAACAGTGTCCTCTCATCTAAGCCGAGGTCTTTTTCTTTCGCTCGCCTGGCAGAACCTCCCATCCAGTAGTTTACTGAGTATTTCCTACTCTGTCATGGGTGCAATATTGGCCAGTCCATCCCGATTTTGCAACTTGTTAACTAATCTATGCAATTTGTTAACTAAGAATTTACATTAAATTTTCTTCATTTCAGAACAATGTTAAATATTGATGAATCAAGTATAAATATAGAGGTGTTTATTTAAGATATCCTCAATACTGAGGTCCAATATTGAAAATTAAAATCAAAAGATCTAAAGTTGGTGGAACAATATATATATATATATATATATATATATATATATATATATATATATACCTAGGGACAGTTGTAGGAAGAAATGGTAGAATAGATAAGAAAAGAATAGAATAAAAAAAAAAAAACATTAATATCTAATACAAGATTTACAACACAGTCATGAGGAAGAGAAAGGTTAAAAATATAACAAAAATAAACAAAAAAAATATATATATATATGTTATAATGTACACCTATATTGGAAGTGGGTAAAAAGGGTTAAATAAATTTATGTTCAACAGTTAAAAGGCAAGCTAATCTAGTTCTACTAGTTCAGGTGAAAGAAAATAGCTGCACTGTAGTTTCCTCAAAAAGGAAAATTCCAAAGAGGGGAGGAACAGAGGATTTTGTTTTAGCAAGCAGTTGGTGTTTGACAGAAAATAGGAAAATGTTAGAAGAGAAATGAATTTCGTGCAACAAAGGAAGAAACAGTATACATAGAAAAAAGGTTATTGCCAACCCCTACTTGACTTTATTTTAAAATCAGAGTTTAATTTTACTATAAATAGTGTAAATAATAATAGCTTGTCTGAGGGTTTTGATCTAATTGTCAGTAACCCATACTTGAGATAAAATAATTATAAATTTGAATTTAATATATTAATTCAATTTTGTTCATTATTTAATAACCTCTTATTTATTCAGGAAGTATCCCAACAGTATAAAGTGATCTTCCGAGGTTATATTACTAGTTAAAATATTACAGAGATATATAACATACTCTATATAAATATATAACACACTCTACCTTCCAACCTTACTGTACAGTAATGAGTGCTGGGACTAACAAGACAAGCATAAAAGTAGACTAACCGCAGCTGAAATGAAATACTTATGGAGAGTAGCTGGCCGAACAAGAGTTGATAAGATCCTAAACAAACGAATCAGAGAAGAGATCCAGATGGCACCGATATTGAAAACCATGAAAAAGAAGATGTCTAAATGGTTCGGTCATGTTATAAGGATGAAATAAGAAAGAGAAGCTAGGGGATGTTTCTTGAAGCAACATCAACAGAAAAGAGGAGGACCACATAAAACATGGATGGATGAAATAACTAAGATGGGAGAGAGAAGAGACAAGCAGTTAAGTTCTATGAGGATGCTGGGGAAGAACCAGGACCGAGAAGATTGGCATAAATGGATTGAGGCCTCTCCATACCGAGATGCACTAAGCAGGAAAGAAAATAAAACAACAACAAAATTGATACTAGGTCATTTTTCACTAATACTTTCTTCCACTTTTGTGGTAAATCAAAAAAATAACTTTTTTTAAACATATGCCGATTTATAAGAATTTTTGGCTAATCCATGGGCGACATTAATGTGTGGATACATATTTGATAATTTTTTACTAATACCTAACTTTCTTCAAGTTAAAAACCAAATCAAAGAGCCCTTTCGAAATGCATGAGTATCAAAGAAAATACCTTTGAACATCAACAAATAGTAGCAGACAGATTTCCATAAAATTGATATATCAACATTTTTTTACTAACTAGTTGGCCCGTGTGACAAATTTGTATGTTGTTCAGTGATTCAATCAATTGTCATTTTCTCCTTAAGTATAATTGACAAAGAAAACAAAAATTAATTTAAAACTTCATTAATATTTGGAACCAACATGTTTACAAATTTCAATAAGCTGTATTTTTGCTAATAATTGTCAGATTTTGATGTTTTTTTTGTTTTTTTTTGTAGGGAATTAGTAATCTTTTATATAATAATAACATACCTTAGGGAAAAGTGTTTAATTTTTGAGTTATTCTCAAATAAAGTTTCTTTTCTTTCATAATTTTTTTGCCTGAACTATTTTACCCGCCTGAAGGAGATAGAAACCTTCAAAATTGGTGACTAAATCTTGGGATTTGATGAAGAATTAACAATGATATGGCTTACTGATAAAAAAAAAAACCAAAAAACTTTGATAAATAATATAAACTCCTTTCTCGATCATAGGAACCTCAAGTTGTTGAAATGAGACATGTATTCCTTGGCAGCACAATAATTAACGTGAGGTTGTGTGGATGCAAACACTTTGTCTTGTATTACCTCAAAAACAATACTTTTTGCGCTTAAAAACACAGGGCACAATAATTCTGAAGGAACTATGCAGGTCTTGGTATACGCATCAAAATCTTCAAAGGCTCATTTGTTCTCTATCGATCTACAGACTTATCAAAATTGTTTGGGTATCTACTATAAATTGCTATCCAAAATTTGTTTAATGCTTCCCTGAGTTCATAGAAAATTTCAGAAAAATGAAATTTCCTGACTTTATCAAGTTTTTCCTGTTTGTAGACATCCTGTATATAAAATGCATCCCGCTTTTAAAGACCAAAAATTATATAAAACTGGTTTAATTCAGAGATGTATTATTAAATTACAACACTTTCTTTTATAATAATTAAAATTCAAATTTAATGGTAGCAAAGATAATTTATTAACCTTGAAGTTATAAAAAAAAAAAAACTATACCTTTGGGCTGCAGCCTGAGCAGTACGATGAACTTTAAGACCTAATCTTGGATCTTTTCCTGTCCTAGTATAAGGTTCAGCAGCAGCAGCTATGCTTCCTTGAAGAATTTTTTCTATCCTTGCAACTAGGAATACTTCACTGTGTGCATTGCTAACACTAAACACACCCTGTAAATTAAAAAAAATAATAATAACATGCTGAAAACAAACTTTGATTTAGTTTCTCAAGAAACTACTGAAGGATATCGCTAATCTGGTGCCACATCGAGGTTGTTAATGTCAGATTATTGACATAGTGAGATTAGTGGAGGTGTATTTAAAGAAAAAAGAACAAATTATAATAAAACAACATACTAATGAAAGCTATTTACAATATTTTAAAAAAATCAACTATGGTGATTAGCAATGTAAAAGATAAAAAAGTTACTGTTATAACATAAAAAAAATATTTTAAACAATACATTAATATACTCTGGGTAAATGTAAAAGAACAACTGATTCCAAATAAATAGTGTGCTTTGAAATCCATGCGTGCATTTGCTCAAAAGTCGTTCTTTTGCATAATTTTGTCTTAAAATATTTTTGCCTTTATTTTCTAATTAATATAAAGCTTCCAGATTCTTATGGAAATTATATATTGAAATGGTATAATTAATAATATACCGATATAAAATATATTTGAGAATTAAAGAATGTACAATTTAATTATAGCCTCATTAAAAGCTCTCTTAAAGGCTCCATCATGCCCTTAACCAACCTCCTTTATATACTGTCTGAGAAAATGGAAGAGATCGTAATAACCATCCAAGAAAAGAAGTTTGAAGAAGAAGAAATTACTTGTTATTACAGGCGAAAATAAACATATTTTTAATAATTATAAGTATTTTGTCAGAAATTAGACAATGCCAATTTCTTTCTTGCATGAACCAAACATTAAGTACACCTCTACTAAGCTGAAATCCAACTTCTTTAAATTTTTTTTCTTGTGCTGTAAGATGACTTGTTTATATTTTTGTGAATTTTTATTTTTAAAATTGAGTGAGTGAGGGGGAGATGGGGAGCTGCCCCAATAGTAAATTAATTATACTAAATAGATAAATTTCACATGAAAATATGTTTAGTTATAGTGTTATAAGCATTAATTAAAAATAAATCAGTCATTGCAATGACAATACCTGTGAAGGGTTTGTAATCCATCCTTCTGGAATGTCAGATTCACGAGTAATTACTGATGCTGAAGGACCTTCAGGCCTAATTATCATAGAAGCAACTTCTTCAGAAGATACTTCCCATTCTAAATCTTCAGATATTTTCTTTCCCTCACGAGCATCAAACAAACTTATAGCCACAAAGTATGGTTCCAACTAAAAAAATAAAACATGTTCAGTTTACAAAAAGATGCTGGTACTAATGGTGACCAGCTATATAGCATGAATTATTCACGGATCTCAAAACTGTGAAAAGTAAAATTCAAGCAAATTTTTCATGAACTTATTTGAATAAATTTAAAACAAAACCATAACCATCAAATGTTATGGTGTTGTGTTTGGTGAGCTTCTCAGAAAAGTAAAATTTAGTGGTGAGAATGAATTTGAATAAAAATAAATAATTATTTATTAACGGTGGCAATACAACATGCAAAATGAAAAGAATAACAATAATTCTAAATAGTAAAAAACATTATTATAAAATGCAATAAATATCAAAAGCTCATAGAAGTAATTAAACCAACATTTAGTTAATTGGTCATAAAATTATATAATTTTTTTTATAAAACCTATTTTATTAGAAAGTGTGGTTTTGAACTTTTCTGACCAATCTTAACCTCACACATATTCGGAAATACAAACCAAAAATGTTAATTAAAACATCACATATTTGTAGTCATTCCTAGCTACTAGATCAAATCTGTTTATTCTTAATGGCTGCCAAGACGCCAAAAACAGTATCACTATGTCATTTTGAACTAACTACAGGGTGTGTGAATAAATTTTCAGTTTTTTTATAAAAATGAAAACTTCATTTATAATAAATGCTCAGACACAGGTCATTCAAAGTATTGTCTATCGCTAGCCACTACTCTTTCCCATCTTTCAGGTAACATAGGGATTCTAGATTGAAAAAAATATATATCTTTTGAGGCAATCCAGTCTTCAACCCATTTTTTAGTTTCATCAAAAGAATGAAAGCGCTGCTGAGCCTAGCCTAGCACAATAATCAAGGTGGAACAGAACTTTCCATTTCAACATTTCTATAAGAATTTCATGCCCTACAGCTGCAGTTATCATTTTGAAAAAAAATAGTGTAATAAAATTCCAAGCAAAACCGGTTTTGAGTGTTCGAAATTCTGCATGTTTGAAGAGAAATGAACAACATTATATACACTTTGTAAACAAAAATTCTATAGATCGAAAATGACAGAAACTTATTCAAATGCCCAATAATTAGGAATATTAGTTTATATGTTAATTAAGTATGAACTCAGAATCATTTTAAATGCGATATAAATAATGCAATTTGTTATATATTTACATTAAGCAATAGATGGTCAGTTAACAATAACTACTGAAGAAGGCCATTGCCTTAACTATGCTATGACTCTTAACACTTTTAATATTTAGGATGGAAAAAAAAAAATAAAGGTAACAATTACTCGATTTAAGGACGGACATGGTTTAATTTATAATGAATATATGAATCGAGTTTTCCTCAACAATCCATTGTTTTATAATAAACTTTTAAGTTTTGAGGGCTTTTTTTTCTATTCTAACCTTCAGGATTATGTTACTCCATTTTATAAATGTATTACTAATTCATTAATCCCAAATACTTTAATAACATTGGTACATTGGTGAAACATCCAAACAATTAGGAACTAGAATCGCACAACACATCACCAACTGTAAAAATCCAAAAAACATAAACACAACAGCCTTAGCACATCACAGTATAAATTTAACTACAGCATAAATTTAACTTCAACAAACCACAAATAATTGGCACAGAACCAAAGAACACCAACAGAAAATTACTTGAAGCAATACACATTACAAATAACAACAGAACCACAGTCAACTACAAAACAGACACTAAACATTTAGGAACCCATTATACAGACATATTGAACAAAATAAAAATTTAATAGAAGTGAAATCACAGACACATAAAATAACACTAACAACAACAATCAAAATAGTCAGATAAAACATTTAGATCCAAAGGTCAAATTTTCACTATGGCAGAAACCCAATTATTGGTCAAAAGGAGAATGTTGCTCTAGATGATAAAATTTAGAACATAAATTAGAAAATTGACGATGGAGCACATTATTATTGTCATTAGAATTAAGGTAATTACAAATTTATTGTAACAAACATAATACAAATATGTAATGTAACAAGCACAATATTGTAACTTAAAAAATTTTTAGCCTTGCATCCACAAGAGTATTGGAATTGCAGTTCTGAAGATGGGAATAAAAGGTCCCGAAACGTAAACTAGACTGTAACATGTAATGTTAAAAATATACTCGTATTGTTAATAATTGGAAGTTATTATTGCCAAGCAACTTAATAATTTAATATACACTATGCATTATGATATTTTCAATTATACCATTCAAATGATAAATATCCACCATTTAGAAGTTCAGATAGGTTTCATTATGGAAATTTTATATTTGAATGCTTTAATTAATAATATACTGATATAAAATATATTTGAGATTATAGAACACTAAACAGTTTAGAATCATTAATTTATTTTTGAATTAAAGAATGTACAATTTAATCATAGCCTCATTAAAAGCTGTCTTAAAGGCTCCATCATGCCCTTAACCAATCTCCTTTATAGAAATAGAAATAGAAATAGAAAAATAACTTTATTCGTGGACACAGTCCCTTGAGAATAACAAAATAGAACAAAATTAAAATATTACATCTGGCCAAAATAAAATCAATCGAAAAAAAAGAAATAATGTAAAAAAAATATAAGGTAAAAATTCTATATACAAAACAAACTAAACTATATACAAAACCATTAATACTATGACAAGACACTTAAAGCTATTTGCTCTTATAGACCAGTATACACTTTTACGAAAAAAATAAAGAATTAAAAAATAAAAATGTATCAAATTCTCTATTAAAATCAGCTCGAATGGTTAGCAACTATCTGACTGTTTTTGGGATAGGAATTGGAATAGGAGGGTTTTGAATGTGGATATGGATGGGGAATGTCGAATTTTGATAGGGAGGGAATTCCAGAAATTGACAGGGCGAACAATAAAGGAATTTTGGAATGAGGCAGATCTGTGAGAAGGCATGTAAAGGTTAGAAGGTCGAAATCTTGTGGACAGGGAATGGACTGAGGATTTGAACTGGAGAAGGTTGTAGGCGTAAGAAGAACGATGGTTGTTGATGATTTGGTAGAGGAACGTACCTAGGAAATATTGTCTTCGGAAGGAGGGGAAAAGCCACTTTAACTCAGCATAGTGGTGAGAAACATGGGAGTATCTTGGGGCCCTGATCACAAATCTTACGCAGCTGTTCATTAGTCTTTTCAGTCTATCACGGAGCTCCACAGAGAGGCCATCATACACCACACAGCTATAGTCAAAGTGGGGGAAAATGAGAGAGAAAACTAGGAGTCTACACGTATGTTGAGGCAGGAGATGGCGGAAGCGATGGAATAGTTTGAGGGTGGAAATTGTCCATCGAGTGATATGAGAAATATGGTGATTCCAAAAGAGGTTTTGATCAATGAAAAATCCTAAATTTTTAACAGAGGATTAGAAGGAGATTGGCTGATCATTAAGGTGAAGGGTGGAAAAGTCTGTATAGGATCTAAGGAGGGGCTTGGAACCAATGATAATGGCCTGAGTTTTGGCAGCATTTAACCTTAATCCATTTACATTTGCCCAGGCACTGATTCGATCTAGGTCTTCTTGGATCTTGGCAAATGCCCCCAGTAACTCAGGAGGGAAAAATGATAGGTACATCTGTGAATCGTCTGCATAAAGGTGATGGGAACAATGGAGAATTGATTTAGGTAGGTCGTTAATGTAGGAGCTGAAAAGGAGAGGAGATATGCTTGAACCCTGGGCAACTCCAGAGGATAAAGAAAGGAAAGCAGAGAGTGGTTGATTGGGTATGGAGACTGCTTGGGTACATTGTGAAAGGAAAGATTGAAACCAAGAGATGGAACTATTGGAGAAGGATAATAATTTCAGTTTGTTGAAAAGGATGGAATGGTTGATGGAATCGAAGGCTTTGGAGAAGTCGAGAAGGATAAGGATTGTTAACTTTTTATCATCTATTGCAGTTTGAATGCCGCTGGTGATTTTAATTAAGGCGGATTGTGTGGAGTAGCTGGGACGAAAACCAGATTGGAGAGGATCAAGTTGGTTTTCGAGGAAGTTGGAGACTTGGGATTCCACTAATCTTTTTAGGGTTTTTGAGAGGTTGGAAAGAATTGAGATTGGGCGGAAATCTTCGGGTGAGGTCGGATTAGAATTTTTATTCAAAGGAAGGACAATGGCTTTTTTCCAAGATGTAGGAAATACTGAATTCTGAAGGGAGAAATTGTAGATGAAAAGAAGAACTGGGAGGATTTCAGGAAGACATAATTTTATTAATTTGAGAGGGATGCCATCGGGTCCTATGGAATTGGTGTGGGATTTCATTACAGCGATTAAAAGGTCTGTGGGAGAAATGTCGGAAAAATAAAAGTTATTGTCGTCAAATGGTATCTCTATAGGAAAGCCGGAACAGGAGGATAAAGAAGAGGTATTAGCAACAGATATAAAATGCGAGTTTAGATCATCAGGGGATATTGGAAAGGCTGCTGTAGGGATCTGGAAGGATCACAAAGGGAGAGTTTACGAAGCAGTCGCCATTTTGATTTTATGTCAGGAGTTGAAGAAAGGGCTTCGTGGAAGTAGAGGGATTTCGCACGCCGGATCCTTGTTTGTGTCAAGTTGCGAAGCACCCTGAACGCTTGGTAGTCATCTGCAAGCCTAGTACGTCTGAAACGCCTACGAGCAGCGTCGCGTCTCTTCTGCAGTTCTTTAATTTCCTGACACATCCAAGGAGCAGGCCGATGACGAAATGTAGAGGTTTTGAGAGCGGCATGGGTATTGAGGATATTTAGGAGCTTGGTAGTAAGAATATCAACCATAGAGTCGATGGAAGTGCAAGAATATATTTTATTCCAATCTAGGATTTCCAGGTCAGGTAATATTTGTTCTCGTGTAAGGGAATCTAGATGGCGGAAGGTGATAGTTCGAGGCTGAATAGGAGGAGTTCGGATATTATATATTATTTGTATCAGATCATGAGATGACAAAAAGGATACTGGCAGTTGGGAAGAGGAGAGGAGGTTTTGTGCAGAGTCTATAATATAGAAATCTAGACAAGTGTTGAACCTGCTAGTATGGTGAGTGGGAGAAAAAGGAACGATAAAGAGGTGAAGGGAGAAGAATAGGTCTTCTAGATAGGATTTGTCATTGGAGTTAGATAGGAAATTGGTATTGAGGTCACCTGAGATGATTATTCTGAGATAGAGGGGAACGAAATTCAATAGGCTAGATTCAAAGGACGTGTGAAATGGAACAAGAGAACAGTATACCACAGCGTAGAGGAGAGAAGTATTACAAAGGATTTCAACTAATAGGTATTCAATTTGTGGGTGGTTGGAAGATGGGGATAAATCGAGGATTCGGGTCTTCAGGCTATTGTGGACAAATATGGCTACTCCACCGCCAGTCCGGCTTACCCGGTCATGACGGAAGAGGTTGTAATTAGGCAAGGAGACAGAAGAGGAGGGGATATAAGGTTTGAGCCAAGTTTCGGAGATCGCTATAATATGGTAAAAATTTTGAGTGAAATATTGCAGGAATTCGTCATAGTGGGCGGGGAGGGATTAAGAGTTAACATGGCAGGTGATTAGGGTACTAGACATGAGAAGGATTTGGAAGGAAACAGTCAGAGTTCGTTAGAGAAACACTAAAACAAATAAAAAATATAGAAAAGCAATTACAACTAATGAAAATGAGAAAAAAGAGAATGTTTAAAGAAACAAAAAATAGAAAGCATATAGTTAATAATACATACGCTAATATGTGAAAATGAAGAAATACAACTGAAAGTGAAAATCTTTCTTTGAAGGAAATTTTGTCAATAGTTATTTTGATAAGGAAGAAGGGTAGATGAATTCTGTGTAATCAGGTGAATATATCGAGGTCCGAGGGCTGTTCGATCAAGATAACCTTATGTCCATCTTCTTTTCGACATCGTACCTTTCCAGCGGCAAACCAGCAATATTTGATTTTCCCCGCTGCTTTCTTCTATCGCGCAAGCCAGTATAAGTGCCTGTTCATGTGAGTCATCTCCTCCCCCAGATATATCCGGTGGCAGTCATTCTCCTGCCAACCGATATTCCGCGTGGAGAAATCCCTCTTGACTTTTCTTTTCGATATTAAATCGTCTCTGACTGATTGCCTTACAAATCGCACGATGACAGGCGGCGGTCGCAGATCATCTATCCTGCTTCTGCGACGATGCACCATATCCAGGTCTTCTGCACTAAGCCTGACTCCCAGGCTGGCTCCTATACTGGTCACCAGGGCGGCGGGCGTTTCACCAGCTCGTTTCGGTATCCCTCGGATCTCCAGTGATCTGGATAACAGGCCCTGCTCTGCATTATTCAGGCGAACTTCTAGTTCGCCTACTCGGGAATTAAGGGTTTTATTTTCCAGAATAATTTCTTCGAATTTACTGGCTTGACTTTCGAGGTGTTTTTCAATTTTTGCTAATCTTTCATTTACCTCAAGACTGAGCTCTCCATATTTATCAAGGGCTGTTTTAATGTTTTTTACGTCTTCGTTCACGCTTGAATCTAGACGATTTACTGCCCCCAGTATTTCTGAGGCAGACGGCTCAGTGTTGGGTTTTTTGGCCTGGTCGCAATTAGGGCATACCCATGTTTTTTTGTGTGTTTTTAGTGCTTTGATGTCTTTTTCAGATAAGTTGAAACACCTACTATGGTAAATAATTTTACATCTTGCACAGTTAATATTGTTTTTGTCCTCGCGTGCAATAGTATTATTGCATATATTACACTGCACCATATTTTATGAGAAATAAATAAATTAATATATAAATAAATACCAGTAGACAGTTGTTGATGTGATGAAAGCAGTAAACATGTCTAATGCCGTAAGGATTAGTAGAAGATAACATTCTCGTACTTCTAGGAAATCAGTTAGAGTTATGCACTTTTTTACATGAATGTACGTCACTTGAATCAGTGAACACTAATAATGTTCTAGAATAATAGAAAAAAAAAAAACTGAACTCAAGATGAACTGTAGTGAAGATAAAAATAAACAAAAACTGTGTAGGTATAAGAGAATTATAGCGATGTTCATAGGTAGCTGTCTCTGGCCAGACTGTGTTTATATACTGTCTGAGAAAATGGAAGACATCCTAATAACCACCCACGAAAAGAAGTTTGAAGAAGAAGAAATAACTTGTTATTACAGGCGAAAATAAACACATTTCTAATATTAATTATAATGATTTATCATTGAAAAAAATCAAAAATGATTAAACAAAGTTAATGAATAACTTAAATTTATTATATTAGAATACCATTCTATAAGTAATAAGTAATATAGAAATAATAAAATAAAAAAAATTCAGTAATAGAGAAAAATAAATTAAATAAGGTTCTATAGTTTATGATCAAACGACAGAGATCACAGAAAAAAAAAATCATACACTAATCATTTTCATCTGAGTCACCTTCAGAAATCAACTCTTGAGAATGAGAATTAGTATATATCAGCCACACAAGGATAAGTAGTACAACTGTATGTCACTGTACACAGAGCCAATACTCTCTCCAAAACTCCATTCCATCAAGGGATTCCATCTATATTTTTAAATTTGGTAATCATCCATGTAACATGAAAAGGATGATAATTATTTTATCTTTTATTAAGATTTACAAACTTAAGCTCATTTATACTGGTATATTGAAAAACTGAAGGGTATGATTTTAACTATTCCTTTTTTCTTAATCATAGTAGTAGTTCCACGTTGGTTTCTAGACTGATTATGTGTCTAGCTATATAACTTCTAGTATACCTATCATAGGAGCAAGATCATCTTTGCAGTTCTTATTCGATACTATGTTGTGAATTGAACATAGATTCTATTGATGGTCATAGCGCATTCCATAATCTGTGTAGAATCCAATACAGGACACCTAATGAGTCGAAGACACCAAGCTATTGGCTTTTGAAACAGAAAGAACTGGAATACTCACCAATTTTTAAGTAAAAAAGGAGGCCAATCTAATAAAATACAATTATAATATATAGTATTATATATTGAACCCATCTCTGACCAAATCCTTCTCAAATTTAAGAAAAAACATCTAGTTCTAATTGTCCCTTTCATTTTTTAGTACTCCAGCATAAATGAGTTTAAGTTAGTGGATTTTGATAAAAGATGAATCAATTATCGTCCTTTTCACATTACATGAATGACTCCCAAATTTAAAAATATAGATGGAAATGATCGGTATATTAAATTTGTGTTTTTAGTTTTTTCTTCTATGAGATCTCTAGTACTTTATCATAAAGTACCTTAACCATAAATCTTATTTAATTTATTTTTCTTTATTAATTAAATTAAAGGAACTTAATTTCAAAGCACACAATCCCAGAATTTCAGCAGTGCATTAAAAGCTACATCATGGTTAAGAACTGTCATGTACTAAGGTTAAATTTCCTTTGATTCAATCAGTTTTTTTCAGTTTGATAAGTTGAATCATTATTTCCACTAATTGTTTTCTTCATTCATTCATTCACAAAATTATAGTAGAAACTCATGAAAACAGACTGCTTTTCAAGCATGATTTTCGATTTTTCTAACAAAAAAAAAATCAAGCAGAATTGCCAATCTTTCCCTTAAAAAAAATTGTAATATTTACTTATCTAAACCATTCAACACATTGGATTTCATAATTTGCTAGATGCGTTTCCACACACTTCTTAATATGAGTTTTCTTGGTTGATAGAGGGCGTTATAGAAATTGATTAAAATACATATCTTTTCTTTATAGTCCACAGAATACTTATAAATTTACTAATTAACTTATAAACAAAAACCGCCAACAAAACAGAATATTATGAAATATTCATTGAGAACACCCATAAAAATACTTAGTAAGAATTAAATAAATTTGCTGACTTAATTTTAAAAAAAGCAATCTTAAATTATGGAATATTGTCATTAAATTATAATATACCTGAGAATGGGCTTCTTTGTCAGTAGTTAAAGGTGCTTGGAGTCTAAATCTAAGGCTTACACATCTAATAAAAATTCGTTGTCCAAAATGTTCTCGGTAAGGTTCAATGCCTTCACAGGTACCAACAGACTTAGAGTGCTGAAATATGAAAATGTAAAGATATAACATGAATTTGTTTAACAATAAGTGAAGTGAATTAAGTACATGCTTCAAGTCCAGTCAATGATTGATCAAAAAGGGGGTATAGAAGGGAATGGAAGGGACACATGTTTCGTCTTTGGGTCTTTGTTCAGACTACTTAGGTGGTAAACATACTAAAAGTCTCCACTCCTAGGAGGTGAGCGGATTTTGGAGGGCATCCAGAAGATCACTTTCTTCGGGTTGACGCTTATATCTATTCATTGCAACGAGAAAGATGTGTAATACAAAATTAAAGCTGATAAAATTTGCAACAATATTGATGATATTCATTTTTATGCTATCTAATATAGTTTCCGAGGTATCCGTGCTCAATAATCCCTGATTTTGAAAATCAAATTTCAACCTCATATTTTTATCTTTGTTTTACTATCCAATTCTTCCCCTATTCATTATAAGGAAAAGTCATGGGGAAGAAAATTTTTGAAAATATATAATTTTACTATCTTATCTTCAACACTTTAAAATTTAATGTGTAAATTATGAAATTTTACACAAAAAAACTTAACTTTCTTATTTTTCGTTATTACACTGCTCTAAATCTTGATAAAAGATAGTATTTACATATTTATATATATATATATATAAATAGTGTGTATTGTATTTATAAGCAGCGCTTAAATAAGACAATAATCATATTAAACTAGTTTTAACATTTTAAGTTTAATATTTTAAAATTACATAATTAGGTTTCTGATGATTAACAATCAGGTATTGCTATTACAGTAAAAGATTGTAATTTTTAAATCTCCTAAATATCAATAAGCATAGAAATAACCAACACTATATCATTATTACAGTTTAACAATAAAAATCACAAAAAATTAAACAAGTAAATAAACATATAAATAAAAAACTCACTGGTATAAAAGGATAAAGTGAAAAGAGTCTTCTTCGATTGTCCCTACGAGCCAAAGCAATTGATGTATCAGTTTCTCTGGCATACTTCATAAGTTGAGGATTCACACTCTGCTCAAGCCCACGTAACGTTCCATACATATTTCGAGAATCTGACCCAGGAGTTGTTGGAAGAGAAGATGTAGAACCAGCTATTAACAATAACAAAAATAAAAAAAATAATTAGTGACAATAAAAGTTTGTTCATAGAAGCAATTTTAATATCACTATTATTACGAATAAAATAAGAATTTATTTAGGAACAAATGTGATTAAAATCTACTAATCCAATATTCTTAACTCAGTACTTAAGGTGCTACTTCCAATTGGAGTATATTAAGGTTAAGAACACAATTTAATCAAAGTGTATGTCAATTATGGCAAAGTAAAGTCTTACTTGGTTGGAACAATTAGACGAAGGATTGGTCAATAAGAGAATTTAGACATTTACACAACACCAAATTGCGTAAATTATATCTAATCGGTGAACTAAATTGAGATGATTACATTGCACTGGATAAAATGGGAGTGTAAAATTGTAGGGCTTAGTAATAAAAGAATTCCTAAAAGGTTCATATGGGCTATGTCAACTGGTATATGTCCAGGGAGTAGACTGAAACAAAAGTGGGAAGATTGAATTAAGGCTAATCTGGTGGAGTTGAGTTTGGACAGCAATCGATGGAGGGAGGGGAGGTGTGTAAAAAGCAATCGGTGGTGTTAGCATCAAACCTTCAGGTTAGCTAATCTTTTTATTATTATTTCGAAGTCTTACTACTTGACCAAGTAGTTACATGTTAGATTTAATATTAATTGAGAGTTTGCTGATATTTTGAAAATATAAATAAATTAATTTTTTTTTAATTTCATATATAAAGATTTATAATGATGCCCAGCTATTAAAGGAGTTGAAAAACGAGTTATTTATTAAGATAAAATACTTCTCCAAATTAATAATTTACAGTATTATAAATAAAGCCAATAAGCAGTGTGTTATAGTAAAGGGCAATTTCCTAAACTCAGAGCTGAGCTTAATGGGCATCAGACTGTTCTTAAACTCATCAATGAATCCATAAATTGAATTCAACACGTTTCTTTATTTATCAATTGAATAGCCAATAGTGTTTCCTGTTCTTCTGGTCGATGGGTGTGCTGGATGTTTTGCTACTTCTCCAAAATATGCCAGTGCATTTCCCAGTTGTTTTTCCAAATTTTTGACACACATTTTCCTATTTTTAGTACAATAACATAAAAAAAAAAGTCTATGTTACGGATTAAGTAAGTACAAATTAAACTAAAGAGTACAGCTCCATACATATAGTATAATATAAACTCTTACTGCAACCTATACTCATGTTATATATTTCATTTTATGCAAAGCATAATTGAATACTGATATACACAAAATCTGAGATGGTTAATCTTTATTTAATTAAAAGCCTTTGGAATTTAAAAAGCTTCTTTTTAGTCCTATTCTGTCGAAAAGATCAAGATCTATTCCATTAACATGAAACAAATTTTGACCTAGTTCTTAAAAATATGAAACTATCAATTATTAGTTCATCTACTAGTAAAATTCATACAAAAATTCAGCAATATTAAGCAGTCTAACAGGTTAACATACTTCTTTCTAAAGATCCAGCTCTTTTCTCTTCCTGTAATTTGTTATGCTGCAGAACAAGTTGAAGCTTTGATACCCAATCGTTTAGATCATGTTCATTTTCAGCAGCAAGACAATATGATTTATGACCAGCAGTCATGTGAAGTTCAAAACATAGTTTTCCTCTCTTGGTATTCTATAAAAATTAAATATTCCTCATTAAAGCTAAGTAGCAACATTAAAATACATTTTAATTCCAATTTATCAATTTCGAGAACCAAAAAAAGGTACTAGCATAAGCAGGATTGTAATTTTTAGCTAAAAACACAACCTGGCTTATTTTATTAAAAAATAGATGAATATAGCTCACATTCCAAAAAATGTTCAATTAAAATGTTCAAAGAGCAAATTTTATTATTTAATTTTCATGCACACAACAAAAAAACTGATACATCCACCACTGAAAATTCAGAGGACAACTAAATTTTTTAAAAACTTTTTCGACTACTTCTGCAAGAAGCCATTTGTTAATTGTTGAGAAACTCAATGATTCATGAGATGTTCAACATGGCTCGAGTCCAAATCATTTTCTGTAAGAATAATATTCCAATCCAGCAATGCTGTTTCAAAGTCTAACTTGTCTTATGTACTTATGCAGGAGCATTTTTAACACAAGACTCTTGTCTTTTATTTCTCTCACTATGAACAGATGCTGGAGTGGTTTGCACAAAACTCCAAGAATTGGAAAACTGAAGAACGTCTTGACCAGTGAGGTGAGGAGCACTGTTGCTGTCAATAATTTGGAAACTTCCAAGACAAGAAAGTTTCTTTTGCAAAATTTGATATTTTCTGTTCTTGTTTTGGTTAGCTTCTCAATGTAATCAACCTCGCTTTCTAGTTCAAACAAGTCGAGATTGACTCTTTCCCATGATGATAATGGAAATCTATTGCCATATGATCACGTCTTAACCCATCTTCATTGTTTTATAATTGCAGACAACAGCAACTATACAAAGACAAATGGGATAATCATCAGATCTCTCGCTTACACTTTGATTGACTGATCTGAACACATATCTTTCATAAGTGATGTTTACTAAAAGTATAAAATTTATAAAGTTTTCAACTAATTTGCTAATCATTTCATATAGAATTTTTTTCTTGTGTTCAATATGTGGATCATCAAGTATCTACCAGGTTTCCCATCCAAGTAATGCCATAGAAGTTGTGAACTTTTTTTCTTCTTCTTCCTTTTCCAACCTCAGAGTTTTCAAGTAGTTTGTCCACTTAGCTTTGAAAAACTTATCAACTGCATTGTCCTTCACAGATCATAGGATATTCAATTTCAAGACAAAGCCAATTTATTTTTGTGTGCTAAAACCAACAACTTTGACAATGTTTAACCGAACAAGCATGTGGGTGATATGGGACACCATGTTTAATAGTTCCATAATATGTGAACAGCTTAAGGTCATACTTCAGTTTAAAATTTAAACTCTTAGGAATCAAATAATAAGTTAAGCCACATGAGACTACTGACTTTTCAATGAATTTGTTACATTAGATTACATTCAACAGTCGATACATTTTATATCACACAAAATATAACTTAAGTTTTCTATATAATATTTAATAATTAAACAGAGAGGATAAACATGTCTAATAACATACCAAAATGTACAGGAAATTAATAAAAATAGTTTAGGAATCAGTAATGAAGTCACAATAGTTAATGCTTGTAAGGCTGGACTAAAAGAAGGAAAACTAGACTGTTAATAGTCAATTTGAATACTTGAAAATTGTTATAGTAATATTAATAAATATAAAAAATAAATGATAATGAGGGAATAAATAGTGAGTTGTAGGCTAAGAAAATGTAAAAAATGGATTGATATAAAAGAGAGACAGAAATAGACTTCTACAGACTCATTATACATTGTGTAACCGAGATTGTTGAGAGGATTAAGCATGATAATAAATGCAAAAGAGTTGGAACCATCTTTCAGGAAAGTGCCTGTAAAAGAGGGAGTGATTGTGATCGCGTTTCGTTATTGTAAACCATGTGATCCCTGGATATCTTCAAGAGAACTAAAATGCATGAAGAGAACTGAACGATCACAACTCTCGCCTGTAACAGCCACAAAGTTGCTAAGAGAAAAAAAAGATAGCAAATGTGTTAATAACAATAACAAAAATATCAATATATGAGATCTGTTGAGGAAACATCGTAAACAATAATTTTTTTTATAAAAATTGCAACAAGTTGTAACTTGATCATTTTATTTTAGTAGTTTTTTTTTTTTTTTTTCTGTCAGCGTTACAGACCATGTTGATCTTTTGCCGCCTTAACAAACTTGCTCCATCTCTGTCTTTGCTGACCTATTTCTTTCTAGTTATCTGCGTGCATCTCTATTGCATATTTGTTGATTCTATCTATCTATCTGCTTTTTTTCCTTCTATTGAGGCATTCATTGTTACATAGAGACTTACAGATAAATTGCCATGAACTACATAGCCTGTCCATCTTAACCTCAGTGCCTTCATATCATGAGATATTGATTGACCAGTTTCTGTAAGCAGTTCTTTATTGGTCTTTCTTCTCCATGTGTCAGTACTCCGATCCCAGATCGCTTCAGTGTGAAGTATTTTTCTCTCAAATCTTTCAATACATTTTTCTAGGAGGCTGGTTAGTGTCCAGGTCTCACAGTCATATACTAGAAATAATTTTAACATAGCATTGAACACCCTTAATTTGAGATTTCTTGAGATTTTTCAGGACTTCAATACTTTTGAAAGGGAGAAGAAAGCCTTGCAATACTTAAATGGGCAGTAACCACTTTCTAGGACAGCTACATCATCAGCGTATCCAAGGATGTTATGATTCATCCCAACGTGGACCCCTCCATTTTCCTGTGATGTTGTTTTTATCACCTTCTCCAGGGCTAAGTAGAACAACATTGATGATAGTCCATCTCCCTGCCATAAGCCTGTTTGAACTTTGAAGGCTTCAGATACTTCTCCTTGTATCAGTACTATACATTTAGGATCAATTGTACACACCTTTGTCAATTTTATCAACTTACCGGGAACTCCCAGTTCAGTCATAATTTTTATTTTGATTTTAGTAGTATCATTTTATAAGTAGTAGTTTAATGCTTTTGATGTTTTATTAAATCTGTATGCATAGGTTTTTGTACAAAACACTTTTATTTTATTTTCCTATTAATAAAATAAATAGAAAAGTACAAGACATTTTCTCAGGGATTCAAATTAAAATACACTCTTACCACCTTACATCAAACCATCTTTATAAATGCTTCCATTTTTTTTATTATAAAAACAAAGTAGGTAGTTATACCCCCAAAAGAATTTATCAATTACCTTCACAACTTCATTACAGAAGTCCATCACAATAGTAACTTTGGCTTCTCCTTTTTTTTCATCTTTATGTAATTCTAAAATATAGGTCCCATCAACTTCACGCCTGTAAAAATAACTTATAGTTAACTGTTACAATTAGTAGTTACTTATAATAATATAATAACTTCTTGAACCCTATTAATCTTTTTTGTCAGTAATACTTTTTTTTTATTTGTGCATATTTGTTGTTCATAAGGGTCCTGGGCATGAGAATAAAGTTTGTTTTCTATGCTACAATAATGTTACTATTATTCACAATGAAAAAAGTTTACTGTTAGGAATTTTGAAGTACCTTAAATAGCAGTATCTACGTTTGAAAGACTTAGAACCAATATTTGAAAACATTCTGTCACTCCCAACTTCTGGACCTTTCATTAAATAACCTTGTTTAGTAACACCATCAGATTTTCCCAAAACATCCTGTTGTGAAAATGAGACAGTAAATTAGTGATGCAATATGCATTTATAATAAAGAATTTTTGGTTTCGAAATCTAATTTTTTCAATTCATAAAATGAACAACTAATAAATTTTCTGTAACTACTACTACTAAGAGATACACATTACTCAATTACTTTTCTTTGAGCAATGCCAGTGATAAAAAAGAATAATATTTAGTAAAGGTGTATGGATTATTAATTTATCATATGGATTTATATTATATTTAAAGAACAATCTATACCTCATCAATTTGATCCACATCTGTATCCACTTCATATACTTCATCCTTTAGCTCTTCATTCTTTAGTATCCTGAAAAAGCAAAATAACTTATGAAGGAAACACTAATATTAAACACTAATAAGGAATAAAGGAAACACTAATAATAAATAAAATGTTAAAAGTAATAATTGTAAATAATTGAATATTCATAAATAATAATTGAACATTCATTAAAACAGGAACACATATTTAAATATTAGTCAGTAATTTACTACCGAAACATTAAAAAAAATCGAAGATGACTTCAGATACTTAAAAACTAAATCAGTTAAACATGATCAATGTCATATAAATATCTCTTGTTACCATTGGAACGTATAAAGGTACTTGGAGTACAACCATTCCGATAATCTTTCGATTAAGATAAGCTAACAGAGGACAAAAATGATGGAAATTGATGGAAGGTAAGACAAATAGGGAGAGAGATTGAGGCACCTACACAAAACAAATTTTACAAAGATGTTTGATAAAAACTAAATACTTTATGCAAATTGAGTCAGTAAAAGAGTCAATGTCAACCAACTTGACAATTCTCATAATTAAGAAAGATAAAACTATAAGGATAGTTTTAACACCAACTTAAAATCAGATAAACATTAGTTGAACTAATTCATTAACAAAGTCAAATGGTCATACAAGAGCAATGTTAAGTTTAACACCAGTCCATGGCTAGGTTTCATGAGTGATATAAGACAATCAAGAGTTTTACATCTACAAAAATCCAACTAAATTTATATTTAAGTCATAAAAAACAAATTGTGCAGCTAAACCTAAAATATATATTAATGCTAACATGGTGTGAAATAATTGAATAATTCTTTTGTTAATGTTCTTTCATTCTAATAATATAAGTTTGGATGCTAACGGTCACTAAAAATGATGCTAAGCTATCTGACAAAATGCTCAATACAAGAATAAACTTGGAAAATACTTATGTAAGTAGATCAGTTTGTATTAAAATCACAGATAATGACAGAGGATGACACAATATTAAAAATATATTGAGACAACCGCTTTTGAGTGAACCTACTCAGCTAGAGCGAATACTGCTCCGGAAATGATCATCATTGCAGGAAGTACCGAATAATAATATCATATTGAAAATGACTCACATAGTGAATAATGTTCTTATGGAGCATTCAGCCATAATTAATTACCTTCCTAATATATATCATTGGTTATTGTTTGCTGTCAGGATTGTTATACTAAAGTTTGGCATAAAAATACACTTAAAACCTCCCCAATGGCTGCAAGGAAATACAATAGTGAAAAAGAAGACTTCAGAGGATAATTAACTTTTTGTGAAAAAATTGGTGTCATCCTAAAGCTTTAAGCACCATATTTATAATTCTAAAGCTTTAAGAGGCAAGAAGAAAATACATGAGATTATTGTAAAAAAAAAACTTGGGTAAAGGATTAAAAAGTGAAGTCATTAAAAGGTAGACAATGTATCTTGATATCCTGAAACAAAAGCTGATAGTTTAACCAAGCATTCTTGCCTGTGCAAGGCAATCAGACATTTAAGAGGAATAAATCTCAGCTTTAGAGAAGACTTGGCTAAAAGATGAAAAAATAAAATAATTACCCTGATGGCATTGAAACATATGTTCACTGGAGGAGTGTGTTGGGAAAACCAGTTGTACAATCCATAATCAACAGATCGTGCAATCCATAATCAAAGGAACGTACAATCCATAATTAACCGGTGATATAATAAATAGGAATTTTGTTATTTTAATGGTATTTATGATGTGTTAGCTGTAAATTTTAGCTTTAGCTCAGTTAAAAATGCAATTCAAAAATTTTATAACAGCCCAACATGGCCAGAAAATAATTTCTATTCAAAGTTGAGCAGTAAGTGAAAGTTGTGTGTTGCGCGCAGCAGATTTTTTTTACTTTCACTTACCAATATATGTAATAAATAGTAAGGGTAAGTATTGCGATCATGAAAAATTTTGAATCTGAGTTTTCAACAGAAATACAAGTTTTAAGGTCCCCTGAGTCCAAATAGCCAAGAAATAAGAGATTATAACAGAGAATAGTTGTAATTGAGGAACCAAAGGAATACGAGCGCATCCAAGCTCGTCCGAAAGATTAAAACACGCTTCCATACTTAACATGAGCTTAATACCAGTGCCGGCCTTAGGATAAAGAGGAGCTTTTAGGGGGTACCAACCAATTTTCAGGGGCACTCGCCACTTTTTAAAAATTCAGATATAAAAATTGAATTGTTTTATAAAAGAGCATAAAAACTTATTATTTCTTTATGATTTATTAGTAAAATTTCATTTTAATTTCCCTGTACTATTTTCCATAGTAGCAGACAATTTATTGTAGTTGTACAAACTGTCACCTTTAGAGCAAATAGAATTAAAATAGAAAATTATTATGATCTTTTGCACTAACAGTAGTGATATATATGTGGCACTTTTACTCATTTTTATCTATTGGTTCTACATAGCATATTAAAAAAAAAAAAATGTAAATGTATGAAACATACGAAGGGTTGTCTGTAAAGTTCTTACCGGAATTCAAACAACAATTATAAAATTCATTGTTTTGTTATTTTATTCAGGATATTTACAACTGTATTAATATAAAAATACAACTATTTTCAAGTTTATTTATTATCAGCTAATTTTACACCAATTTTTAAAATTTTGTCAACTTAATAACATCACATCTAATTACGACATTTCAGCTCGTTGAGCCATTTTCAAGTCTAAAATTTTTTTTTTCAATTTACAATCATATTTAAAACATTACATATTTCAAAATATAGAGATTCTTTTTATATACCTAAATACCAATCATAACTTTTCACTTATGCGAATTGCATGCATCCACTCATAATAAATTTTTTATTTTAGTCATGTCCATCTTTAATTATTTTATAACATTATTATTACTCAATTATTTCTTATTAAATGATTCAATTAAGTTAAAATTACCTTATCATGTGTCAGCAAGATGTCATCAGTCTCATTTCTATTCAATGACTGGTTATTCTTAAAGGAGTAGGGGAAGACTATTTATTTTAAAACATATACAATAATGTTTTCCAATATTATATGTAATCAAGTAAAATTAACTAATTCATTTCAAATTTTTATTTTTTCAATTGAACTTGCGTAAAATGTATTCATATTATCCACGTCTGTATGATTATTTACCGAGTTTTTTAAATTTTTAGTTATGTATATTGCTTCCTTTATTCTACGTTTATTCGTATTACTTTGATTATGCAGGATTTTGGCGTTTTTGAAAATTTAGTAATAATAATGTTATAAAATAATTAAATGTGGACATGACTAAAATAAAAAAAATTTTATGAGTGGACACATGCAATTCGCATAAGTGAAAAGAACAGATACATGATTGGTATTTAGGTATATAAAAAGAATCGCTGTATGTTGAAATATGTAATGTTTTAAAAATGTTTATAAATTGAAAAAAATTGTTTAGACTTGAAAATGGCTCAACGAGCCGAAACGTCGTAATTAGATGTGATCTCATTAAGTTGACAAAATTTTAAAAATTGGTGTAAAATTGGCTGATAATAAATAAACTTGAAAATAAATAGTATGCACCGAAGAAGTGGAGAAATATTGTGAAAAAAATACAACTAGTAAATGTTAAAAAATTAATAAGTTGATATGAAAAGACTTGCTAAGAAACTACAGACTAGTAGCAACTTTTAAACGTTAAAAGTTTAAAATCTATATATATATATATATATATATATATATATATATATATATATATATATATATATATATATATATTTATATATATAAGTTAAGCGTAGCGGGCTTGAAACACTAAAAAAAAGTAATAGGTTTAAGAATTAACACGCATGAAGACGAAATCGAGACTCCTTTATTTCTCCTTCTAATCCTCTATAAATATATTCTGAGATTGTTTACATCAATGCATTTGGTATTAACGCTAATTCTGTCCCGCTCCGTACCTTAACTCCCCCCCACCAGTTTACGGATATCCTTCTTAAACTTACTAACAATAAATGAAAAAGTAAAACACATATATATCTATAAAACGACAAGATTCTTGCACCTACTGTAGCAAAGGTACGGAGTGTTCAGTTTTTGCAATCTAATCGAATGAAAAACAAACAAAAAAAAAATTTCATATACATATATAATAATAATAAATAACAGAAATAAAATACACTTTCCTCCTTGCAAACGAACTACATATTTCACTGCACGTTTCTTCACATACATACACGACGCCATGTATGAACACTATATACTCACAACATAAAACAAAAGAAATAAATGATAATCTCCTAAAATAAAAAAAATCTTCTTTCCGGAGATGAGGGATCTCCAACTCTACGGTTGCTCTGGCTCTGAAATTGGGAATTTTAATTGTTCTATGTGAACCGTTCTTCTTGTTCTTGGTTCTTTGACACTCTCAACAGTCACAGCATTATGCTCCCTAATGATTATCAGCCTGAATGGCCCCTCATATCTCCGCAATTCCTTCCCCCTATTAGAGCCTATCCTGCGATAAACAATGGACCCGATCTTCAATCCCCCTGTTATCTCCTTTACTTTCAAATTTTCCCACGCCACTCTTTTGCGCTTTTCTCCCTCTATCTTTCCTTTAACCTTCTCCCATAGATTGCCCAATTCCATTTTATTGCTAATGATTCTTTCCGTCATTTCCTCGTCTGCAGCTGTGGCTCCACAGTCCCGTTGCCACCCGCGTAATCCGAAGAGAATTTCGAATGGAGAGAACCCCGTTACCGTATGGATGGAATGGTTATATGCTTTCACCGCCTTCAGCATTGCCATGTCCGGTTCCAGCCCTTTTTCCACCTGGTATAATCTGAGGTGGTCACTGAGAGTACTGTGCAGTCTCTCTATACTCCCCCTACTCTTAGGGTGCCTTGGAGTGTTGAAATGCCACTTCCCCCTAAGCTTTTCATTTCCTCTCTGATCTTGGCATTGTCGAATTCTCTACCCCCATCGGACTTTATGCGATCGGGCACTCCCTAAAATTGGAACCACGTCTGAAGGGCTCCGAAGACTGTCTCTGCTGATCGGTCCTGCACCAGGTATGCCATTGCGTCTTTGCTAAAGAGCTCTATGAGCGTGACCCACTTGTACCCTTTCCACGTGAACGTATCCACCTACAAGTCACTGAGCGGTGCATCCACTGTGGGTGTCTCCTCCTGCATTGTTCTGGGGGGTGTCTATCGTATTTCGTATTTAGGCAAATCTCACACGCCCCTATCAGTTCCTCTTTGTTGTCTTCATACCCCACCAAAAATACCTATGACGTAATGCCTGGAATGTCTCTTGCGCTCCGCGGTGGTTCGATTTGCCCTGATGTAAGCAAGAGTCTCTCTCTTGCTGGTTCGATTGTAAGCAAGAGTCACTTCTTTCTGTCGTTCCTCGTCCCGCACCGTGTCCACCATCAACTTACAACGGATGAACGTTCTATCTAGCCCTATTTGTTCAGATCACCATATTTTCTTTATTTTTTTCCAAATTATCTCGTTCCCTACGTACAAGTGGTGCGTTTTCCCTGCCTTGGACGCGTCTCTCAGAGCTCTACAAATCTGATCCTCCCTCGCTCCTGGCTGCGACCAAATCGTTGTTATCCTGCTGTTTCCGTACTTACCGTACTGCACCTTCATTAGGCCGGTAGTACTGGTCTTCCAGATTATTTGGCGATTTTTGTCATTGATAATGTCTTCCAGCTCTTCCATATCCACTGATCTCTCTTCCTCTGGACTTCCATCTTCTTGGAAATCATCTCCAATCTGACCTCCCTCTCCCACTGGCGTCCACTCACTCAGGAACTGTCTCACATCCCTGGATGATTCTCCCGTGTCCTCTTCTATAGCATTTATAGTTATTGCTCTTGACAACCAATCTGCCACCACGTTCTCTTTCCCAGGTTTGTATACGATATCCAAGTTGTACTGGTTCAAGAATTCCTTCCAACGTGTGACTCTAGCCGAGGACTCTTTCAGCTTGCCTGCCCATTGTAGGGGTCTATGGTCTGAATGCACACGGAACTTCCTCCCAAACACATAGGGTCTAAAATGGTCGATCGCCCACACAATCCCCAACAGTTCTCTTTACAGCGCGCTATATCTGGTTTCCGCGTCCGTAAGCCGCCTGCTGGCATACGCTAAGGGGCGCTCCCCCCCATTCTCTTCTTGGGACAACACAGCCCCCAACGCGTATTCGCTAGCATCTGTCATAATGGTGAACACTTTTGAAAAATCCGGAAATGCCAACACTGGTTCCTCTTGCAGTCGCGCCATGCATTTCCGAATGTTGTCCTCCATTATAGGGGTCACTATTACCTTTCTGCCTTTCTTTAATAAGTTGTTAAGGGGCATGAGGTATTCCGCCATTTCGGGCACAAATCTTCTATAATAGTTGAGGGTACCCAACAGCCTGCGGATCCCTTTGACATCCCGAGGTATCGCCATTTTCCTAATTGCCTCTACCTTTTGTGCGTCTGGTTTGACTCCCTCACTCGAGATCGTGTGACCTAAAAAATTTATGCGGTCTTGCCCTAGCACCCACTTCTCGTTGGACAATTTCAACCCAAATTGCCTCACTCTCTGGAACACACTCCGTAGGTGCTGCACATGCTCTGCCTCGGTTTTGCTAAACACCAACAAGTCGTCCATGTAAATTTGACAGACCTCTTCATCGATCCCTCTGAGAAACTCGTCCATCAACCGCTGGAATGTTATAGGGGCATTCTTGAGACCAAACGGCATCCTAGTAAATTCGTAGTGCCCTCTCTCGAATGTAAGCTTTTTTTTTATGGGATATCAAGACTAATTGTTATAAGTTTGCATTTAAAATAAAAATAATATTATTAGTGCTAATTAATTTGAGGGAAAACAATTAATTTCTATTGAAAGTTGTTTGATGCACATCAGATTTTTATTACACAATACAATTCTTACTTATTTATAGATTAGATTAGATATATCTGTAAATTTTCACGTCTCTCTTTGTATATAGAGCTCCAAGACGAGTTACGTGGTTTCAATAGACCGATGGAGTAAAGATATTTTCAATGTCACCCATCGATATACAACAATAAACATATAATCCAGCAATATAGAATCAATAAATTAGACTATTTTCAACATGTAATCTTGTAATTTACCAGAACACCACCAGTTAACAAATACTATAAATTAAAAATGCTAAATTAATAACTGTACTCACTTAGGTAATTCTAAATAGCTACCAGAGTAGGCACTATACTTATAATAAATCAAATTCCAATTGGAAGTATAATTTTTTAGACATTCTTTGGTGAAAAGAGAGCAATCTTGTGTATCATTAATTGAAGGTATATTACATGATACAGTCCGAAATTTTCTAGGAAGCACAACTTGCTAAAAAAATAATTAAAACAATATCAAATTAAAACATCTGATAGTTAACACAAATAAATTAATACAAATAAAATCACTTAGACTTACAGATATATCATCAGAAGGATAAAGCAACAATTCTCGTTGAGGATCGTTTTGTAATATAGTTTTATTTTTTAAAATATATGTTTCAAAATCGAGCGGTTCTACATGATGAATTTTGTTCTGAAAAAAAGAAAATTAGTAAAAACAATTATTAAATATTCGATTAGCAATGTCATTATTCTAAGAAAGTTTGTCGACTATTCTACATATCATGAGTGATAAATATTTAGGATGGTCATTATAAAGTTTTTATTGGTGCCGACGTTTCAACCCAAACATGTGGGTCATCATCAGGGCTGAAAAATTGTTTAGGTAGGTAAACATAGTAAGAGGGGGAGGGGTTACATTTCTGTTTGTAGAATTCCAATAATTTGATAATAACTAAAATATTCAAGATGTATACAAGATTTGCGTTGTTTCTTATAGTTACAAAATAGTGAATATTGGCTTGTAATGAAATAACAATAAATAAGAGGTGACAGTCAATATAAACATATAATAGTTTGAGTGAAGATATACAATAGTTAGCCAAATAATGTTGGCAATACAGACATTTGTAATGAATTGAATTGGTAAGTATTTTAAGAATAACAATATTGAATATTGAAACTACTTCAATGGTTTCCTCATTTAAAGTTCTCCTCTTCAACTATCTATTCCTCGCCCATACTAATTAATATTATCCTATACTAAATTTACTTTTTCAGATCATCAAATGTTTCCCAGAGTTCATCTTAGTGCTATATTCCACATAGTTATTATTATTTCATTTTCATTTAGCTTATTTTATTTATATTGTCTTCTATTTAATTAATAATGCAGTTTTGTTGTTTAAGTTAGGGTAAAAATTTTACTTTAATTTATGCTATTCTTCTACTGATTTTGTACTTATATTTATGAGTTTAGCCACACTTTCCGGGCACTGTGTAGTGTTATGTTAATTTTATTCTGAAGAAACTTTATCCCAGAATAATAATTAAATTTTTCTTTTCATTTCATTTCAATAAAATCTTAGCAAAGGAGGTTCAATTTCTAATTAGATTATACTACACAATCTGGTGCAAATGTTAAATGAAGTATTCAGCAGAAATGAGGTTGAGAATTTAGTTCTAAAGACATATTTTTGAGAGTAAATAATTTGATGATGTATTTGATGTTAAATGTAAGGTCTAGACGTGCGGGACAGGGGTCAAATTGTTAAAAATTGGGACTGTCCCGTCAAAAGTGGTACGTTTGGTCAACTTATACTTCTCTAAATATTAAATCTCTTATGATTTATAATATATAAATAGTGATTTTCTTTTTCAAATTAATTGTAATGAGAGAAGTACTTCTTGTAAAAAGGTTTTATTTGACAAAACTTAATAAAATGACTTCAATAATAAGACAGTTTTTAGGAATTTAATATTTTGTGCCGGCAGTTTGTACACACCAACTTTTTAATAAAAATGCTAAAAACTTATAATAGGTGAGAACATTTCGGTAATCAAAGTAGTAAATGAAAACGATTTCCTAATGCACAAGATTTAATCTTTTCCTTATCAATATATTTTTTAAATAACGTTAGCTCATTAAAAAGATTATTTTCATGTTGTTTATTATCATGAAATCCAAACCATGGTGGTTGAATTCTAACAACTGATCAACAATGCAAACTTTGCTAAGCAGTTCTCGATGGTCAGTTTCTTAACAATTATTTTCTTTATTAATAAAGTTTAACATTATAAAATCAACAAAAATAATATAAAACTCATATCCAGGCGAAATAGCTACATGGCTGCCAAAAATCATAAATTCTCTTTCCATTCCCTAGCTTGTCGTGCATTCTTTACAAAAATCGGGACTTTTAGAAAACGCGGGACGGGGGACAAATTGTTAAAAATTGGTAATATTCCACCGAAAGAGGGACGTCGGGTCAACTTATACTTCTCTAAATATTACATCTCTTATGATTCGTAATATATACATAGTGAATTTCCATCAAATTAATTGCAATTAATGAGAGAAGTACTTCCTGTAAAAAGGTTTTATTTGACAAAAATCAATCAACTCTTCATAAATTATAAATCATGAGATTTAACAATTAATTGATTTCTAAATATGTTTTATGACATGACAAACACTTGTCTACTTTTAGAATTTTATATTCAGTATAATTGATGGTCAATATCACTGATCCACCAACAATCATGACATTTGTGCACTGTCCTGTAAAACGGATCTACATAGATCATCTAGCAAGTCACAAAATGTTCTGAGTGAATTGTAAGCTTAACACTGTTAAAATGTTTTTATAATCAGCAGAGCAAGTCTGACATACAGGAGACGAATCATGGGCCATAAGGTATAATACATGGATCAGATACGAATGACCTATAGACACTTCATGATCACTTTCTATATATGCTTATTTTTAATAGTCACTGTTCAAAACAAGAAATCATTTTTAATTTCTCTCAATTTAGTTCCGCTTCCTTTTAGCCACATAAGCTTTATTTTCTGTTTAATAAGGGAAATAAAGTCCTGAACAAGTACTCCACGATATGAAATTTCAGCAATAGCTTTTTTTTGTAGCCTCAACAGCTAGTCCATTACTGGCTAATCTACATCTGGGAACCAAGACTAAACACATTCAAACAATGATTCTATATGCAGACTATCATGAGTATTGAATGTTAAAGAATCTCAACCGAGAAGGGTTGATAGTGGGTAAAATTTAAGCTTGCAGTCAAATTAATAGGTTTTAATTATTACTTATAATATTAATAATTAAATTATTTTTAATGACAATAATAAAACCAACACTAATCACTGCATTAAAAAAAATTGATAGGAACCTAAGTTCCTCCAGCTCTTCCAATATACAAAAAGAAACCTTCATCAATAATAAAATTTGAGTTTTTTTATCTTCACCTGAGCAGTACTTTCCCTTACAACTTGAGAAACAGTTTCTCTAAGTTGAGCTGCCATCCCTGGCTTCACTAAGCTTCGTGAAAATTTCCTTTCACTCATTCTTGTTTAGGATGGTAGTATTTGTACGAAGTCTATACTGTTATAACCTACCATGTTTACAAGTTATAAACTTACAAGGACAACTTGCTTCATCAGCTGTTATCATTGCGGAGTTTATTTATTTACAGAATGATTATTTTAAATAATCGTTTGTAATAGAACTTGTATTGTGTTTTCAGAATTCAGTTATATAGCTTTCCTCTGTAATTACTTCTACCAAAAAAGTATTCAATTGAAGTTTAATTTCGTTAAGTTTTTTCAGTTTCCTTTTTAATGCAGGTTATCATTGAATCCAATTGATAAGTATCAAAAGAACTGTAGACCAGAACATGCTCTAAACGAAATAATTATGGAAGATGAGTTAGAAGATCGAATATTCTATCAATCATTTAATATACATATGAAGTTGATATCTAAATTTGTGGTGGGTCTTCCCCTTAATTCATCCCACTTGAACCATTTCTGGAGACTGTTTAGATTATACATCATCAAACCTGAAGTTTTACTTTTAGGCTTATTAATGATCATTGTGTTTGTTTACATTCAAGCTGTGGAAGTTTGGAGTCGAAGCCTAGTTAATAAACTTCGATTGTCTTTAAGTCGTTCTGCTCAATCTAGAATCCATAAGTCACAGTTCTTTAACGGTGATGTTGAAAGCTCTAGTTGGGATTTAAGGGAAGATTCGGTTGCCGTATATGCAGTACAAGGAAGAAGAGCTAAAATGGAAGATCGCTTTGTAATTAACAAAAATATTGATGGAACTGGTGTATCTCTTTTTGCAGTTTTTGATGGCCATGGTGGTGATGTAAGATATATATTATTTTTATATGTATAGTTCTTCTAGCAATACTTAATATTAGATCATATCTTACTATCAATATCTCTTAAAATTCTTGAAGGAATGCTATTATTTTTGTAAATAGATCAATAATCATTAGACTTTTTTAAATTCTTGCTCTACATATTTATATATAAGGAAAAAAAATATATATATATTAAAAATCTATATATAAAAAAAAGTTTTATAGATGTAACTTTGTTTCTTAACTGATTATTGTTACTAATTCTCAAGTATTGCTCCTTTTTGAGTGGTGGGAACTATATCTCATGATCACACTGAATGGAATACCGGTGACTGGGGGAGTATTAGCAATGTGTTCACTTCTATAACCTCCTTTTTCGATAGATCATGATTTATGACTTTCCCAAACTCCCAACTGATCTATTTCAGTCAAAATCAGGACTTTACCAAGCTTTTATTATATTGTTGCTTTCGATTTCCACTCGACTTACCCAAAAGTGATAAATAAACCCATAACAAATCTTTTTCAGTTGAGGTAAGATATATCCTTATCAGGTGGTTCAGTCACCTCCTTCTACTTTTGGACACATTTGACTATTTTCATAATACTGCATTGTGATAATGAGATCTAGTGTTCCTATCATGATGGAGCAACAGTTGTGAAATAGTATTGATTTTTTTTTTTTTTTGTCTTAATTTTATTATTTCATTTGTAGTTTGCGGCAAATTATGCTCATGATCACTTGATTGAGAATCTTAGTAAAAAAATAAAAGAATTAAAGAAATTAATTATGAATGGTTCAATTGAGAAACCAGTACTTGGTAAACCTCCACCTTCTCCAAAACCTACTCTGCGAAAAAGTGTAATTTTAGAAAGAAAATCTAGTCTTAAGAGAGGTAGTACTGAAGCTGAAGAAGCCATCAAAAGAGCTGGTGGCTTAAATGATCCATTACTTCTTGAAAAATTAGAATCATATTCTCGCACCATTACACGGGAAGTTAAGCCATCAAGAACACCTATTGTTCAATATCCTACTCCTGAGTTAACTAGTTATATTGAAGGCAATATGTCAATTAACTATGGTCGTCTATTAAGTGATGAAGTTCTAGCTGTGGATCGGTTACTTGTGGAAGCTGCTAAAAAAAATTTGGATGTTGCAGGTAATTGCTCTATCAATTTTGGTATTAGTTATAATTAGCATACGCATATAATATATAAATTATGTTTGTGTGATGTTGAAATAATTCTGCTTTCTTGGATAAGCAAAATTAAAAGAAAGTTAATTATTTATAACATTTACTTTTAAGTAATAATAAAAACTTGTTGAATTTAATATTATAATGATTTTATGTAAACCAGAACTTTAAAAATAGTTAGAAGGCTCTAGATAGTTCGAGTTGGGAAGGTCTACCTCCACAGACTATAAAGTTTGCTAGACTGGCAATCCAGTTAGTTGTTAGTTGAGTTTGAGTTTCATGCGGCCAATCTGTTCGAAGTTAACTTGTGAGTTCTTCAATAGAAAATTAGTTGTGAAGAGTTATCAGTTTTAAGTTATTGTTTTCTCATGTGTCAATTATATTTCTATTTGTGGATACAAGACCTCCAATAAGGTTTGTATTCTCAAATAATAATTTGAATTATAATAATCATCAGTAAATTCTTAAATTTAGTTGTTGTTCTAATTAAAAACTGTCTGAAAAACTATAAGGTACTAGTTCACGAGAACTGCACATAGATTAGATGTTGTTTACAATCACTACGGTCACATTTGTTCATGGAATGTTGAAAGCACTCAGATTTCACTGAAAAAGTACTGGGTCTTGAGTACAGAGAGAGAATACCAATCCCTTGAGTTAGTTAAAAATAACTTCTGCCATTTAAGTAGGGGTATACCCTAAACTATGAATAGTCATACAGCATAAACCGATTTTACATATGACGTTTAGGTTTCATCATGTAATCTTAATCAAGCTTATATGTGTATTATGCTGCTGTGGAAAATTAAAATAATACCAGATTAAAATCTTTAATTAGTATATTATTGAATGCTGTTTCTTGATATATATTTTTATTATTGATAATTTCTATTATTCAGTATCATGGCATATTCAGATTTTTTTTTTTATCAGCTGTAATCCCCACCATGTCTATTCCTTCCTCGGAAATAAATATCCAAATAAACACAATTTTATTTATACATTTTTTTAGGCACTACATCTTGGTTCTCATATTTAGATTATTAAGCAAAATAACTGTGAATAACCATAATTATAAAGATAATTCATTCAATAATATAAATAACAGTTCAATACTATAACAAAAATTAAAAGTATAATAACGAAAAACTTACAAATTAATAATTTAAAAAATTTGTACTGCAGAAAAATTGAATAGTTGAAGTGAGAATTCCTTTTAGCGAACCTGAGATAAGGAAAATGAGTGAAAAATTTTCCAACTTCCCATTAATTTTCCTTTTATGCCTCGTGAATTGGTAAATGAATTTCTGTGATTCATATTTCCATTAAGTTCCATGGAGAGGACATTTAGGTTTTTCAAAAATGAATGGTAAGGAATGGGTGGTGAGGACAAGAGCTGATTTCATTATAGTCAGAAACATTCAACTGTATTCGGTATCCTGTGAATAAGTGTCGTGACAGATCACGACTTCAGCTCTTGTCTCTATCAACCTTTCACTTCAACCTTTTACGATGAAGCAAAGGGTAGCAGATGGCATGCAACGGTTTCTTTTTTATCACCAGATGAAAAAAAAATTACATTATACTGATATGCAAGAATATTACTTTTATGTATGTTTTCAATATAAGGAAATGCAGAACTGAAAGGCTAAAAAAAAAAAAATTAAAAAATCTTTTATATGAGACGAGAGTCTTGGGAAGAGAAAAAACAAAAGGATTATTTGAGTCAAGATTTGAACATTAGTAAAATTTAAGGATATATCATGCCTTTATAGATCAAAACTTAATTTGTAAATTTCATAACAGAACCTTGAACAAAAAAGTTCTGTAAATTTCCTTCCATGGATCACATACTGATACTGTTAATGTGACTCTATCATCTCAGATAGCAAGATCTGATGATAGAATGACAAAAACCTGTTTACTAACACCAAAAAAGCAATAAAAACTATGAAAAAAAAAACAGTGACAATGAATTTGAATAGTGACAAATATGTGTGCTTAATAAACGAGAAAAATGTTAATAAATACTTTGATAACTGGAGTGCCTTTCAACTCTTATCATGTTTTAAAATTTATCTTTTACTTGAATTTTATGTCGAAGTTTGAGCTGATAATGATTGCACTATTCAATAAATATGTTGCTGAATACATCCTTGAACATGTATATGAAAAACACCTATTTTTTTAATTTACTCTATAGGTATTTCTGAATATTTTTGTGCAAAAATCACAGTATTTTGAAAATTCCCAATGCTTTAAAGTTTTCATTTAAACTATAACACTAACGTAACAGCAGTATTATTTTATATATTTTGGAAAATTGAGATTTCGAAAAGTATTGAATATATCAAAATAAAATCTTACAAGGTTAATAAAACTGATAAAAGGAAAAATAAAAAAATAAAAATTTGACTTTTTTTGAAATTTGAAAATATACCATCTACAAGGGTATATGAAGTGATCAGAATGCCAAGCACATATTTCAAACTTGCAGAATATATTCTGAGCAAAGAAGATTGGTCAGATCCTCTACAATTGATGTGCAAAGAAAGCGCTATTGAAGCCTAAAGGACCTGACTATTTAAGGGAAGAGTACAGAAGTTTCATTGAATGAGATGAATCAATTGTATTTGTAGGTTTTTACTGTTGTTAACTCACAGCTGTGAACAAAAATGTCTCTGTTTTTGAGGGGTTTCAATAACGTCATCCAACCACCTCAGCCTTGGTCTTTCCGTCTGGCCTGCCATTTATAATCTTTTTTGGTATCCCCTCATCTGCCATACTTTGAATATGGCCCGCAGCCTTCCTTATTAGATAATGGGCAAAATATTAGGCTAACCAAACAGCTGTTGGTACTCTTTATTTTTCTCTTACAAACCTTCAGTATCATCTTGCTCTCCTTAGTCATTACCCAGCACTCGCTTCCATGTATCAGCACCAGTCTTATTATAGTTTTGTATATGGTGATTTTTGCCTATTGGAACAATACTTGAAAATTTAATCACCTTATTGAGTGGAAAAAGGCATCTGCTATTCCGGCTTTTATCTTTGCACTTATATAATTTTCTTCTGTTACTAGAGATTCTAGATACTTGAAGTTCTTGCAGCATTTGAATTTGTCCTCATTAATTTCCACTTCTTCTTCCCAAACTGCTTGAGTTCTTGACATCCTCATATATTCCATCTTAGTTTCATTTATTTTCAAGTCTTTGCTTGCTGTTGCCGCTTCAAACTCTTCCAAAGAAAAGTACCCAAAAATGGTTTTTAAGATCTCTTGATTAAGGACAGCATAAGATTTGTTTGTCTGTTTTTCCAGTAATATATAAATCTAACCAGATTTAAACCATATCTCTTCCGACAATTCTATGTTTTCTAAAAAAATTGCTTATTTTAGAGATCTATTTCGCCTAATTTTAATAGTAAAATAAAATGACAAAATATAAATTTTATACTTTCTGGTCAATACTTTTTGTTACTAGAGTACAAATTTGAAAACACTGGGTTGAGTTATTATCAACAATTTTAAATTTCGTTTAAATATTTCAATCTCTTGCTACCAATAATAGATCACATGAAGATTTTTCAGTATTTGAAAATTCAATCCCAGCCCTAGATGCAGTTTTTTGGATCAGTTCACCAATATAAGATATTAGCAAAGTACAGTTTGTAAATATTGGATTTAAAATTATGGTGAATTAAAATGTAATGTTGGAGAAATAGTTGACTGTAAATAATATGATTTAGAAGTTAGTTAGGGGTTATAGCCACAGTAAAAAAAAAAATTTAATTAATTTACTATTTTTTATTTTATTTGTGTTTTTCACAAAAAATGGAACCCCCGACTGACTTCGCAACAAATTGCAGTTTTATTTATACAAATATTAGCCTTATACACCCCTTTTACATAACGTACATATATGCTTGTAAATGTACGATTATTGATTATAATATGATTATTGTTCAAAAATTTATTGTCACTAGAAATGGTATCTGGATATTATATGATATTCTAGGAACCACTGCCCTGATAGCTGTAATGGAAGGTTCAAAGTTAATAGTTGCTAATGTTGGTGATTCAAGAGGTGTGATGTGTAATTCTAAAGGGAAAGCTATACCACTGTCTTTTGATCATAAACCTCAACAGGTGAGTATAAAATATTTGAATTAAAAAAAAAAACCGACTACAGAAATTGGAAAATTCTATCCACCTTAAGAGAATGTACTTTCATCTTTACTTAAAAATCATGAGTAGATTGATATGGAGATTAACATATACGAATATTTAAACTTGGTGTAATAGCCAGGTGGCCTTTCATGACACATTACGGCTCCAGGCAAATAAATTTTGTCCCATGTATCGGTGCATGTAAACATCTGAATCCCAACAACTTTTTTTTCTCAAAAACACTCATGAGATCTGAATATTTTGAGATATCAAACTTAAACTATCCATCCGAATTCATCCATTCGCTCAATAATTGTTACATCCCTTTCAGCGGACAACACAAACACATAACATTTGCGTTGCTTTGCTTTCAAAACACTCAGGGAATCTCACCGAACAATTTAAGATACCAAACATAAAAATCTACCTAGACGTTTGCTCGAAAAATCGTTATGTACCTTCTAGCAAATCACTTAAACACATTCTATTTAACAACAGGTCAAGTACATCATTTCAAAACACTCAGGGAATCACATCGCATAACTTGAGCCATCAAACTTAAAATCTATCTAACCGTTCACTCAAAACAGTGTTACAAACCTTTTTGCAAATTGATTAAACTTATTTTATTTAATAACATAAGTATTTTTAAGTCAAATTGTTTCAAAACACTCAGGGGATCTCCCCAAATAATTTGAGCCATCAAACATAAAAATTGATTCAGCCAATCGCTCCAAAAGGCGTTACATAGCTTATAGCGAACGATGCAAACACATAATCCTCGTTTTGCTTCGCTTAGTCAGGCAAAAAATAATATAAAAGTTATAGCTTTTGTTTCAATTTTTTTATTGATAAAGTGGTATTTGATCTCTTATAATTAAATAACTATAACCTTATCTTTAACTCTTTAGTAAATGCAACATTTACCATCATTTACATAGGTGCAAAATAAACTAACATGAGGAGGTCACAGTTAGTGGATCACCGATTTTAACCAAATTTATTTATATAATTTGGTTTAAAAAAAAAAATAATATATTATTTCCAATAAAAAATTATATTATTAATTTTTGCTTTTGCATTGTTTTTTATTATTATAGAAATAAAAAATCTGGTGCAGTGTGCACATCACACAACTTTTACTTATTAACACTTGCACTCTCAGGGTCTCGGGGTGGATTAACACAGGGCTGAAAGATAAAAGAAAACACTTAAGGAAGTAATACAAATTCAAAAACCAAGAATTGTTTCACAAAAGCATGCAAATTAGCAGTGGAGGAAAAAATAAAAAGTCGCCTGCCTAACCAAAACTGATCAAGCTACTCTGGACCATTATACAGCTGTCAGGAAAACAAATAACTGAATAAGCTTGCCAGAAAGAGAAGATAAGATTCCTCAAAGAAAGAATACAAACCATTGAGGACAACTGTAGCTGTAACAACTGAGGCTGTAGAGAAATCATACATGGACATCCAATATATTCCATCCAAGATACCATCAAAATATCTTACTTGAAATATTAATAGTCAATATTTTCATTGATATTATAAACATTTATCAGATTTGAAATATAAAAAATATTGATTCTCTAGCACATAGGCGCATCAAAAAAGATGTTATTTTTCTCTTTAAAATAATTAATGGATATATCAATCCTTCTAATCTCCTTAGTAAAATTAATTTTCTAGTTTCTGTCCATCTTCGTCATCCTTAGATTTTTTCTAGAAATTTACATTCAACCAAATTTACTTTCCGTTCACCTGTTGATCTGGTTCAGCGAAATGCTAATTTATTTGCATCCTATGTAGATTTCTTTCACAATTCATGGTCTTGGTTTGAGGAGGTTCTAACTAACAAATTTGGGCAGATTGAATTTACCAATTGAGAAGGGTCCTGCACGCGCTATTCAGCTCTACTTAGGGATGACCTTCGATAATCAATATAATCGAAATATTAATGTTTTCCTCTACTAAGCACTACATTCTATACGAAACAGGCAAGACTTTCCACTTTCCGAAAACGATAGTTTTAATTTTAATTTTTAAATTAAAACTATCATTTTCGGTTACTATCGTTGTATCGAAGTAGATACTATCGATGATAAAGTATCAAATATAGAAAGAAAAATTTTGATGATACCAACTATTGATGGCCATCCCTGATGAAATGTGTGTTGAACCATTCTTAAGAATAGGCAATTTTTTTTTTGCCATTAAGTTTTAAGAAAATTCAGATGTGAAGTGGCTGAACTGTCCAATGAAGTCAAGAACCTCTTCTAGAATTATTTTTTTGATAAGTTTTTGCCATGGGTTTCCAATGTTTTAAATTTTAGTAATTCCTTAGTTAATTATTTTGATTCATCATTTCATTTGAAATGTTTTTCTATAACTCCATTCTAATATAAAGTTTATAAGTTCCATTTCTATACACTTTTTATGTTTATCACGTTTTATAGAGTCGAGAGAAAAAACGCATCGAAGAAGCTGGTGGCAGTGTAAGTTTTAACGGTGTTTGGCGTGTTGCTGGAATCCTTGCTACATCTCGAGCACTTGGAGATTATCCTTTAAAGGATAGAAAACTAGTCATAGCTGATCCTGATATACTCACTTTTGAATTGGGTGACCATAAACCTGAATTTATCGTTCTGGCCTCAGATGGTTTATGGGACACATTTTCTAATGAAGAGGTTGTTTCATTTATAAGGTAGGAATATTTAAGTTAGAACTTCATTCATTTTAACTAACTAAATTCATTTTAGTATTTTATTTGTTCTTCTTTTATTGGTAAAAATTTTGTTTAGTAGTTCCGACATTGCGGCTATGCCTGCACTGACTTATCAGTAATCAGAGAAATAAAATCTGCTCTCATTGTATTTCAATATTATTTTTTTATATTATGTAGCTTTTAAGGAAGGAAAATGTTCATCAGCTGTCATCTCTATTATATACACTTCTTTCTAAGAAATAATTATCTAAATAAACACAAATTTTACGTTTACAACTGACCGTAGTTACAATCCCCTTTACTGTTTTGGATTACTGTAAAATAGTAACCTAACAAATATGGGACCAAAAAATGTTCCTGTTATACCAGTTTAACACATGATGGGTTTAATGGGATTTTTTTTATTAAAAAAATTAATTGTATATTAATTAAATATAATACTTATATTGAGATCCTATATAATAATCAATAGCCAAAACAAGTTTGTTCTTCATATATAAAGTATAATTTATTTTACATATTTACATGTCTAAAAGCTTGTCATTTTTTTTAATTGGGTTTTCATCGAATTTAAAGAACCGAAAAGAGAGAGAATAATTTAAGAAGAAAAAAGTACTGCTTTTAACTGGGTTTATAGGTTCTAATTCGCTGTGTCCACCTTTTAATAAAAATTTATATAAATATTAATAATTAAATTATTTATACAGGATCTATGAAGAAAAATCATTCCCCAGAGTAGGCAGGGCAGGTTCAGATATCTCTTCACCGTCATAACCTCAATAAATAACCAGCAGTCGAGAAATAAAATAGCATGTAAGAAGTGAAAATGGAGCTTTCTTCATCTTTAAAAGATATTGAAATCCCAAAAAATCAAATGAAGGGTGTACAATGTTACAAGAAAGTCGGTACTAATTTAAGGCTGCATGACCTGAACTCTTAAGAACACCCTAGTAAGAAGTATTGATGAAAGATTTGGAAAGCAAATCCTCTGCATGATAACCGGAGTGATCTGGAATCATAGTATTAAAGCATGTAAGAACAAATAAAAAACTGCTTACAGAAACTGATCAATGAATACCTCATGATAGGAAGGCAAGGAGGTTAAGATGGGTTCAGCATGTCACTTAGAGCAAACCGTCAGAGTAGCCTCTTTACAATAATTATTGCCTTAATAGTATTCTAGGAGACAAGAGATCACGTGGAAAGTCTACTACCAGATGGATAGATAAAATTAACAAAGATGCTGCAGAGTTGCATAAAGGAAGCTGGAAAGCAATAGGCAAAGATGGAGAAGGCTAAAACATCTATAAGATCTATAGCACCAACAGAAAATATATATATATATACTATTATATAATATAGTATTTTTTGCCCTATATTAAGTAGAAAATCTAAAACGAATAAACCCCTAACAATATTATTAATTTATTAATCAATGAAAAAAAACAAATATGAACAATTGTTTTACTGGCTCTCCTTACCTCGACCAAAGCAACTATACATTAACACAATTGTCTCTTATTTCTTCTTCAATGAATAATAATCTTCTAGTCACTTAATACCACTTTAAATGAATAAATTCACTCACTTGATGTGAATGAGCAAATTCAAAAATTCACTGAAGAGTTTTTCTTTTCCAAATTTCTTTGTCTCCTTGTGATCATAATTTTAAATGACTGCTGTCTGATTGATTTCATGATTGGGTTTCAAGCTAATTTTTATTTTGGAGCATATTTATTTTATCATTAAATTAGTAAACCTTTATTTCCAGATTGTATATTAAATAAATTAAATTTTTAATGCCAGAATTAACATATTTTACATCAAATAATACCACATGTAGGGCTCAGTAACCAATCAACTTTCATCATAATATCCAGTAGCATAGAATTTTTGGTAATGTAATTAACAGGCAGGATTACTTGTTTAAATGAAATTTTTGAACATTAAAATAATAAATTTGGCATTTTATAATTAGTTTGAAGATTTTAATAAATAAATAAAGTTAACTAACATTTTAGAAAAGGGCATAACAGGCTTCCTGAGAAATGGAAGAAGATAATAGGGAGAACAGTTCATATATAAAACACAGTAATACAATGCATAACAGTAAATCAACTTTAAACAAGTAAAGAAAAGAGAAAGAACTTATGGGACAACCTAATATTTAGCTACAAAATTGTTAGCCATCTAAAATATGTTTCTGTTATACATTTTTTTCCCTATACCTTTTGACTTTGAGACTTTTTAAATCAGGAGTCTTCCTCAGCAGCTTGGGACTGTTATAGGTGACAGTAGTGATCGTTTCGTTCTCTCTTCGAGATATTCAGGAAACACATTGTTTACTAACCGGACATGATCACATTTCACTCCTCCTTCAGCAGGATGGTTGGCAATCTTTTGCTTAAATCTTCTACCCAGTATTTTATGGGCTAGGGGGTTATCAGCTCTATACCCAATTCCCAACCTGTAGGACCAGGAGCTATGGTTTAAGACATAGGGGTCGCTCACCTCCCTATGAATTTCAGGGTGGGGACATTACCACCTCCGTGCCGAAATTGAACCCGTGCCGTAGTGGTCTAAGAAGTCGAGTAGGGCATACACTTAATTATTTTAATTTATTATTAATTATCAGTTTTGTAGGTCTGTGTTATTATTTCCCGCAAACGGGATTTGAGCACTTGTTATAAAATTTTTGCAGGCGCCTTAACTCACTCGACCACTGCGGCCCCTATAAATTATATATAAATTATGATAGTATCGTAAATAAATTCTTATGTTGTTTAAATATTCATATTGTTCTCTAGGACACGCCTTCATGAGCCTCACTTTGGTGCCAAATCCATCACTCTTCAGTCTTACTACAGAGGATCATTGGATAATATAACTGTTCTAGTCATCAATTTAAGTGACTATAAATGGCCATAAGTATAAAATATAAATTAATATATTTACAAACAATTAAGTACTATTATACATGTGGGCCATTACCAACATAGGTTTAAATTAAAGGGAAAACATATTAAAACACTATAACATCGCTGTTTCGGTATGAATTAAATCAATGAAATCACTTTTTATTAGTTAAAGACGTGAAACTTTTTTTTAATTTTTAATATGCTTTAAATTTTTGAAAAGTAGAAAACAAAATTTAACTGCTGCCGTTTTATTTAAAAAAAAAATGTTTTTCATTAATTATTTATTAGTGTTTCCTAAAAATTTAATTGAGATTGAAATATGTATTTATATACATTTCTTTACATTTATCCCTACAATAAAAAATAATAGCGATAATTAAATGTGTAACAGAAAAATTGTTATAAGTTGACTTCTACTTTTTAGTAAAATAAAAAAAAATTGCTTTGTTCATTATAAAAGGGAGGGGCCAGACAGGATTCTAATTTGCTACTTATGAGCAATTCAGTAATGTAAATTCATTAATATGACAATTGATGTTCTAGTATAACGTACATTAATTGTGCATAAACATATAGCTAAATTATTTTATTTATGCTGAATGTAAAGATATGCATGGATTTTAAATTTACAACAGTTTATTTAAATAGTTACCAGTAAGATTTTTTAAAAATCACTGTATCACAATATAAAGATGTTACTATTAAAGAATGGAGTATTATTTGTTAAATAATTGATTTCATATCCTATATAAATTGCTCATGAATTATTTTATTGTAGTACTTAATTTTATAGTTCACGTTGATTATATCTTTTTTGATCTTGATAATAATTAACTTTGGTCATATAACCAATCAGCATTATGAAATTTACCATTAGTTATATATATATATGATTTTTATTTTTGTGTTAATTATGTTCATTCTTTGATAAGATGAGGATATATCAATACTAATAACATTAATGTAAGACATTTTTATTTATCAAAACAGAAAATAAAAGAGGAATGTTGTGTCAAGATATCTCCTTTAAGACCATAGAAATGAATAGCAAAAACTTCAAATTAGTTCTGAGTTTTAAATGCAAAAAAAAGTGTTTGTTAAAGATTTACTTTACTTAATAAAAAATGTAATATAGTGAAGTTGCTTAAGTAAAGGAATTCGTTTTGACTTGGATATTTTTACTATACCAAGCATTTGTTTTTTAATATGGAGACAAAAATATTTAGAAATCACCCTGCTAACTTACCCTTCTACATCAAATTTATAAAACATCCTGTAATTAATTGCTTATTTACTATTTAGAATATCTAATTTTAAAATCTCAAATTAATAAAAATAAGAAAGATTTATCAATTCTAAAATATATGCAGAATTACATATTGTGCTATTTAATTATAATAAAACTTTAATTATAACTTGCGGTATAATATGCAAAGCTAAATACTGATAAAAAAATATTTGATTTGGTTTTCCTTAAATTAAAAATAATTTTTTATGGCATAGGAAACATTATAAAAGAGAACTTTTATAAGTTTTTATTATATCCCTATAAATATGTTATTTTGATTTGTTCTAGTAAGTTAATTAAAATTGCTGTGATCAATGTGATAATATATAAGTTACATGATATGTTGAGCACAATTATTAAAGACTTAATGAATGACAAGTAGATACTAAAATTCAATTATTACATTATTAAATGTAATACTTTTATCAAATTATTTAGAAATTACAAGGATAAAAAAAATATACGTATATCTGTATCTAAAGCTATAAAACTAATGTTATGGATATTTTCAGTATATATCTTGTAGAAATTTATTATGAATAATTAAAACATGTTATCTTTGTCATTATAAATATAATATTTATTCAAGTATATATCTATTTATAACATAACATGTTATAAATATAATCTGGCTTTAAATATTTTAAACATACTTCAGTGTTTAAACAGTACCTGTTAATCTGATCTAAATGATTAAGTTCTGGATTTATATCAGTATACACTTTTTATACATTTACTATTATTAGAAATAGTTAACTATATTTTATTTTCCAACTTTTAATGAACACTTGTGTTTGTATGAATACAAACAGGTTGCAAGGGTCCAAACACTTACAACCTTAACAGTTAATCCACAGTATATTCAGTCAACTTGTATAAAATACGAATACTTCGAATTGTGAAGTCAATATAACTGTTGGAGTTAAGTCGAGACAAACATTAGATTTCCTTGGAAAATTATTGCACTATGTTAAAACCACTTCATGTTGTAATATATTTATTTTCTTTAATACATGAACTAAAACAAAATTATATCCCTTATCTTTAATTAATAATTACAAAATTGTGGAAATTTTTTATGTTTGTTTTTAATTGTAAGTATTACTGTGCAAATATGGTGGTATTCATCTATAGTACACCAATAGCTCAATTGCATAATTCTTCTGGGCGATCAATATTAAAAAAACCTTTTTAGGATTACTCACAAGCCAATGATAATTATATATACTTCTACATTATCCATTTTTAACTATTTATAGAATTGTTAATACATAATATTTAATAGCTTTATATATTTATGAATAAAACCTGTAGGATTACAATGTACATCCAAAAAAGAAATCAAGATTTTTTTTAGTCAGATGCACTTTAACTTAAATTGTGTTGTTACATACAATATATATACAATAAGTTCGAATTAAAGTTAGGATTAACCAATCTTCATATATGCAATATACAAATGATTTCACAGTTTCTTAGTTTATTTTCAAAATTGTTATGGAGTTAATCTATTATAATAGTTTTTATTTACAGGGTTGAATCATCAAGCAATGATGCTATTTAGGTTTATATTACAAAAAGAGGATATTTTATACGTCAATAATAGTTATCCAATTAAAGAGATTAAGTGTCCAATATAACAGGTGTTTTCAGAGACAGCAGGTGTTTTAAATTGCTAAAAAATATTACACATATAATTGTTCATACTAACAAATATGAATGTTTTCATAACAATAGTCTCAGATATCAGTAAGCTAATTCATTTTCTTTGAAAGAAGACTATAACTCTAGAAATAAGTTATAAAACTTTTTTGTCAATTATCTTTTGTGCCAAAATTCTGTTTATTTGCTTGTATTGGTTCCTAATTTAATCCTAAATAAAATGTATACAGTTTATTTTTCATTAAAAATTCTTAATACGATTTTGTTAATTAAGTAACCCACTTATCCATGTATTATATACTTACATATATACAATAAAAATTATACAGATTTGATATATTATTTACAATCTCACAAAATAAGTTCCATTAAAGTCAGGCACTTTCTTCAAAATATTTTTAATACACTAGTTGACAAAATGAACATACCACTCAATTTATATAACAATTACGCACTGCATCTAATTTTTTTAATTAAGATGAAATCATAAAACAATTATAGTGATAGTAAGTTCAATAGGAATAACTCCGTTTTTACCTTTAAATATCTATTTAAGTATCTTAATCATTGTAAGGTCAAAGTTAGTGTCCCAATAATTTAATGGATTGTTTTACTATAAGAGCTCTTACACTCTTATCAAAATGGTAGTAGGCTCTGTGTTTATCACAAAACAAATGGTTATACTCTATTATGCTATGAGGAACTGGACTCATAATTGTCTTAGGTTCATAAGCCAAAGATATTACAGCACAAATTAATTCATTAGTTCATGTTTTCATTCGGAGAGGGCTAGCTTAACGATTGGCCTAGCAGTGCACTTCCCATAGAGTGCATTCCAAAGAGGCGTCATGTTCTGAGGAAGCTTTGCTTCCTAAGTTCTCCATGGCATTTGCCATTGTGTGGTTTTACTCTATAAATATTTCCACTTGGTCTCTACATTTGAGACAAATTCTTGCTAGACATTACATCACAGCGCTCGATAGTGCGTGAGTAACTAGACATCAGATGACATTTAGAATCTTGACCCAATCAACCATTTTAGTGGGACCAGAAATCCATTCCTAGATAACTTGAAGAGATGGAAATGAAGCACCATAATTTCTTAATAAACTCGCCAGTAGGATGTGTAGGACCAATAAAATGTGCCAGAAATATTAGCCAATCTGCTAAACTGACTAATTGATGTATAGTTAATTATTTTTGAAAAAAATATCTTTTTAATAATTATATTAACATGATTAAGCTTTCTTTACGAAAAGGATAAAATTAAATCAAGGAACTAGAAACGACTTTAATATACCAATTTCAAGATGGCGTGTTAATATGTGAACCAGTGTATTTATTTTAATAGGGTTTTACAAGGATAAATGGAAATTATCCCAGGAGTTCAAAGTCTTCATCTGAATCATCGAATTGTCTGTTTCGTTGACCTGAAAAAATATTTAATATAATACTTATTTTTGAAATAGCAAGAGAATAATTAACAATATATACTATCAAAACAATATAATCTAAAATTAATACTGAAGTTTAAGTTCAATAACAAATCATTGGTTATTTACTACATTGGTAATACTTCCCAGTACTTGGTAACACTACTTTGCACAAAATTATGAAAATTCTATATAAAAATGAACAGATGAGAACAAAGAATTTTCTGTCTCAATGGCAATGGAGTTCAATACAAAGTAAAATTTATTAATAATAGATTCAGCACATCAATTGTTTCAGCTAGTGTAAGTATTTCAATTGAAAGGATTAAGTACACTATTGAATGAACAGCTGTTGATGTTAAACAACGATAAAGGTTAATTTGCTTTTGTCTCTTCTAAAAAGTGATAATTTAGTATAAATACTCATTTTTTGTGTAGCAAAAGTGTTTTTTGAAGACAACAGAGCTGAAGACAAAAAACAAAACAAAGGTTGAGCGGATTTCACCGCCAACGATGGTGGAACGGTCACAACACGAGGAGGTAAGCAAAATGAACTTAACAAATAGTGATTCAAACAGTGACGTTGGCTCCTGGGAGCTGGTTATTGGTCGTAAAAGATCTACGTCAGATTCAAGCGAGCCAAGAGCACAAAAACGACCAACAGAACCTATTCCAACCTCTAACAGTTTTGAGGTTCTAACCAAGATCAACCCGCGAACTGAAGAAATAAGACAACCACTTCAAAATGATAAAACTCCACCAATTTTTATAAATGGTGTGGAGAATTATCATGCTTTAATTTCATTCTTAGAAAATGAAGCTGGCCCTAATACATTCAAGACAAAATCAACATTAAAAGGTGTTACTGTTTACCCACAAACACCTGATATATATCGAAAATTAAACTCAAGCCTACGAAATAAAGGCGCGGACTTTCACACCTACCAACTCCCACAGGACAGGTGCCCAAGGGTTATTGTTAAATATCTCCATCATGGAACACCAGTCGAGATAATCAGAGAGGAATTTAAAAATATGGGCTATGAAGTAACAAATGTTGTAAACGTAATATCTCGATTTAAAAAACCTCTTCCTATGTTTTTCGTAGACGTTACAAAAGAGACATTCAGAGAAGATATTTTTAAAATTGAGTTTTTATATAACTCTCACATTAAAATCGAGGAACCACGTCAGAAGCGAAGTATTCCTCAGTGTATTCGGTGTCAGCAATATGGGCACACTAAAACATATTGCAATCATCGACCACGCTGTGTGAAGTGCGGCGAATATCACGAAAGCAGCTCATGTTTAAAAACAAGAGAGACTCCCGCTAAGTGCGCCAATTGTAGTGGTCAGCACCCGGCTAACTACAGAGGCTGCCAGACGCTGAAAGATCTCAGGGTTCAGCGCAATGAGAAAAACCGTCTTCAGAATCCCACAGTAGCAGAGCCACCACAGGGACCTCCAGGCATCCATGAATTCCCTCCAATACGGCAGCGGATCAACCAAGCGGAACCACAGAACATCGCTGGACCTCAGCAGCAACATAATCAACCATCATCGAACTCAGCACCCCAGAACCAAAAAACATGTACAGGTATGAGGGGAGGCATTACCCAGACGGTACCTCCGGTAGATAATAGCTCTTCCCAGTTATTTAATATAATTAATGGGTTAAATAACTTAATCCAGCCCCTTTTCATTCTTCTTCAACAGCTATCACAGTTTACACAGGTCTGGTGCCCTAATTATGTCCCACAATAATTTAACAGTGGATTCTCTGTCAATTCTTTTGTGGAATGCCAACGGACTGACACAATACAGTACTGAACTTGACTTGTACTTGCACGAAAAACGGATTGACGTTGCACTCATTACTGAAACACACCTGACACCTCGATCAAAAATTTATATCCAGGATTACTCTATTTATAGAACTGATCACCCAGACAAAACTGCACATGGAGGAACAGCGATACTCATAAAAAAATCACTAAAACACAATCCCATAGACTTACCCATTACACCCGACATACAATCAACAGGAATAACATTATACACTAAACACTACAATATAACATTTGCCTCAGTTTACTGTCCCCCTAGGTACAAGCTTACATCCACAATGTTTTCTGAGTTCTTCAAACGCCTCGGAAGATGCTTCATCGCAGGTGGAGACTATAATGCTAAGCATCAAGGCTGGGGTTCAAGGTTGGCTACTCCTAGAGGCAGAAATCTCTGGTCTGTCCTCCATGAACTTTCATTAGACACAATAACTCCAAATTCACCCACTTATTGGCCCACCTCCAGACGCAAAACTCCCGACTTACTTGATTTCTTTATTACAAAAGGACTTAGAACCGTACCTTTTGCCGTCAATACAAGCTCTGATCTTTGCTCTGATCACTCCTCGGTGCACATGGTTCTCTTCGACGCGCCTTCTGAAGCACAAAAGAGACCTAAGCTCATAACAGGTTGCATGGACTGGGACGCATATAGAGACCATTTGAACAACAATATTTCTGTTCCAGGTTCAATTAAAAATCAAGAGGAACTAGAAGAAGCCGTTGAAACTTTTACAAAAAGTATACAAGATGCAGCATGGTCCTCATCAACATCTAGGTCACAAAGAGCAGTGAACTTGCCCCATTATCCTATGTACATAAGGGACTTAATCAGGGCAAAGAGAAAAGCTCGTAAAGTGTGGCAGACTAATAGACTTCCTTCAGACAGACAAACTTTTAACAGATTGAACAACGAACTTAAAAGACATATTCAAAAATTCAAAAGCACAAACTACGACAATTTTATTAACAACCTTTCGACGGACGATGGAAGTTTATGGCGACACACAAGGAATCTTTTAAAGCATCGTGAGGTGTCAGCACCCCTACGAAGAGAGGATGGTTCTTGGGCTGTGTCGGACGAAGAAAGATCTGAACTCTTTGCTACTCATCTTTCCTCTGTTTTTAAATCACATACGGACTTCGTTAATACAGAACATGATATTTTTCTACAAAATAGTTTAGACATACCACTACAGCTCACACTACCACCACCTCCTTTCACACCATCACAAGTTGCACAAGAAATTAGACAATTACCGAAAAGAAAAACCCCTGGTCATGACTTGATAAATGCTGAGGCGCTCCAGCAAATGCCAAGGAAAGCTCTAGTGTTTCTCACCACAATCTTCAATTGCATTCTTAGGACCACAAAATTTCCAATACAGTGGAAATACTCTCATATAACCATGATTAAAAAGCCAGACAAAGAAACTAACAATCCTTCTTCATATAGACCGATTAGTTTGCTTCCAGTGTGTTCTATATTATTTGAAAAACTATTATACTCACGACTATTACATATACTAACAGACAAACAGATTATTCCTGACCATCAATTCGGGTTTCGAAAATTACATTCAACAACACAACAATTACACAGGGTAACTGACTACATATCGACAGCACTAGAGCGAAAACTATATGCAACCGGAGTATTTCTGGATGTCGCCCAAGCTTTCGACAAAGTATGGCATCAGGGGCTTCTCTTCAAACTTAAGACCATACTCCCACCAACCTACTACTTAATTCTTCACTCCTTTCTCTCAGACAGATTTTTTTCTGTTCGACACGGTTCAGGTATATCCTCAATTCGACCTATTTTAGCTGGCGTACCTCAGGGGTCAATCTTAGCCCCATTACTGTACATCACATACACACACGACATTCCTCAAAGTATCCACACACTTACAGCAACCTACGCAGACGACACTGCTATCATTACTAGACACGATAATCCTACACAGGCATCACTTAACCTACAACAACACTTACAAAAAATAAACAATTGGTGTAAACTATGGAAAACTCATATAAATTATCAAAAGTCACAACACATCACATTTACTCTAAGACTAGAAACATGCCCTTCTGTATACTTAGACAACATACCGATTCCACAAACAGATAGAGTACAATACCTAGGCCTGACGTTTGACAGAAGAATGACATGGGGTCCACATGTAAAGAAAAAACGTGCATCATTAAATCACAGATTAAAACTATTGCATTCATTATTAAGACGGCATTCGAAATTAAAAGCAAGACAGAAATTAAATATTTATACATACCTATTAAAACCTCTCTGGACTTATGGACTACAAATATATGGAATTGCAAAACCAACACACATAAAACGACTTCAAACTTTTCAGTCTAAAATACTACGACTAATTACCCAAGCACTCTGGTACGTGAATAATAACACTTTACACACTGACTTACACTGGCCAACGATCAATGAACACATACAAACTTACTACAAACGATTTCATAATAAATTACATGGGCACTCCAACCAGCTAATTAAAGAAATGGCCACGACTATTATGCCAGAGAACTCCAGAAGACGACTGAAAAGGGTCTGGATGAGGGACCTACTTACGTAATTGTATGTAAGTAAGTAAAAGCCATGGAAGGGATGCCGCTGGGTATTGCTTTTCCTCATGCCTATCAAGCCTTTTTATTTTATTTTTTAATTTATTTATTTTTTTTCTCATGACTGTGCCAGCACATCTGCTGATTGTCAATAGTTGTAATTGGCAGGTGCGGATAAATATATGTAAGTGCAAAAAAAAAAAAAAAAAAAAAGTACACTATTAATATATTAAATGCTATACACGCAATAATAACTCGAGATAATAAAAACATTGTGTTCTTGTTTGAAAAAATTCTGTCTACGATTAGAATATTATATGATTCTAGCTGGGTACAATATAATACATGAGGACAATATAAGAAGGAAAAAAGATAAATACATTAATATAAAACAAATTTTTCAGATCAATATAAACTAAATTTCCCTGTAGATTAACTAACAAAATAAACTGAATTAAGAAAGAAAACAAATTTTTACAAAAAAACATTGATACATAACCTTAAATATACTTCTTTAAGTCGTAATAATGTGATGTATTTGTTGCCATTCTAAAGAGTAACAAAATATGCGCTGTATTTATATGATATACTAACACACAAATAATTATTAGATTTAAAGTTATGGGTTATTAAGTGAACTATGGGAATCAAACATACCAATAATAAAGTAAAACACATTGTTCAAGTGTTCAAGACTTTAAATATCTAAAACTATCTCCAACAATATGTCATCTGTGCCCACATTGATATATTTATCGAGATATCTCTTTCTATGAATCTGAACAAATGAGCATTCAAGGATCAAATGCTTTATGCCATTGGTAACAAGGTGATCGCACCACTTACAAATTTCTTCAGCCCTTAAAACATGAGCGATATTTCCATGATACAGTGCCAGGCGGTCATTACTTAAAACTCTCAGGCGACCCACTGTTTGCAGCTTTCGTAGAGGGGCAATAAATTTGAGGCAGTTTTGCGGTTCTGGGTAATTATAACAACAGATTCGACATTTGTCCAAAACTTTTAATTTATTAATACAACTAAAAATTTGTCTCCCTTTCTTCCGAAGACCTGTCATGGTTTACTCTATAAATATTTCTGGCTACGTAATCTCTTCTTTTCATTATTACTTGTTTAACCTTATAATTATTGAGGGAAACCATGATTGGTCTTGATTCCCGACCTTTACCAATTTGAAAACAGTCATTAATGGCATATATCGGTAGTTCGACATTAACATCCTAACACACATTAAATACTTTTGTAGATACTTCCTCGCTTTCCGTATAGGTTAGATTAAAAATTAAAAAGTTGTTTTTTCTTCTTTCCCTCCTTAAAGACCTTATCTCATTTTCTAATGAACTAATTTTTTTATCTTGTTCTAAATGTTTTTCTCTTAGATTAGAAATTTCAGCCCTTAAAGAAGTCAAGAATAACTGAAATTTTGCTAAGTGAGCTTTTGGATTCTTCATTATCACAGCTGATAACCTCCAACAAATCCTTGTTAGTGACCGTCATTGTAATTAAAATAGTTTAATAAACGATCAAAATAATTCATATTGGCGATAATAACAAACACAGCTGATAGGTATTAACCTTGACCGTGAAGTATCTAGCGAAGTAGCAGTGGGGGCTGGTGAGATATATCTTGCCGATACTAAGAGATAAGGGGATCTGAAATTTACAGCAAAATACTTTTTCTTAACTTCTACATATCTCTTTCAATTCTTGACGTATCTCGTTCAAATTTTTGAAGGAGTATTCTATAATGCAAACTGCACTAGTATATAAAAAATCAATTTAATTGGCACAGTACAACTTTTCAAACGCAAGATAAGCGCATAGCTCATCTAACAAAGTACACGGCCAAAGCCAGACTCCCCAAGAAGCATTATTTAAAACAATTAATTACCACATGTTTTTCACAGCGTTTTAATGTATTATAATTCCTTTTCCAAACATATTTCAATTATTTATTTGATTATAATAAATAATTGTGTCATGAAATATTTTTAGTCCAACAAGAGTGCTACTAATAAAGAAAGCAGCTATATTTCATTGTTGGGATTTTTATTTATTTAAACCTATATATATAGAAATTTTAATTTCAATATCGCTGTAATCTATACAATTAAATATTATATACCAATGATAGCATTTATGAAGACCGCTTATGTATATGTGCCTAATATTGTCGGAGTCCATATTATATTAAGCTCATGTTACATATGGAACATTAGGCATTTAAGCTATGTATGGTGACATAAATGTGGATAGGACCAAGCTGATCTTAAAGACAACTTAATAATAGTGATATAGCAAGTTTAATCAAAATCATTAGAGCCATTTTTGAGAAAATCGCAAAAATGTTATTGGTTATGTTGTTATTGTTATTTTATTATTGCTTACTTCATCACTTTATTACCTTTATTCTTAACAAACTTTCTAAGTTTGTTCCATTATTGCACAAGTCTCTAACTTTGTTACCATTATCTTATATATCCTAAGTTTGCAACCGCTATTTTATAATTTCCAGCTTCGTTACCATTACTTTATACTACCTTTATTTAGATATGATATATTTGCCATTCCATATATTTATTAATGTTAAGTTTACATTACCTACACATTAATAGACTATACCTTTTACTTACATAGTATTACTATTACCGTCTATTAGTTTCTTATATTTATGTCATCTTGTCCTTTCTTAGCCCTGAAACTCAGGCCAAAACGTCGGCACAAATAAAAAACATATAATTTATTTATTTCTATTTAGTTCTTTCTTTGGCTGAACAACCCAAGCAACATCTCTTCAATATATCCATGACAGTCAACTATCAATCCATTAATATGATAAGTAACCTCTTTTTTTGTAGAGCTTTTTCTGATTTGTCTTTCTTATCATTTTATCTTGGCTGGATTTGTGAGATGATCTATATTTTATCATTTCAGTAGCTTTTTTTATAATAGCCAAATGTGATTCTAACGACAATGTAACAATTAAACATATATCTTGTATATCTACTCACAAAATTTTCAACACATCGTTAAAAATATTTTTAACCACAAAACGTTTTTGAAATGTTTGAAAGCATTAGGAATGATTAAGAAGCAATTATATTGGATGCCTTATGAATTGAAGAATTTTGCATTGTATTGTAAATGGTTACGAAAAATTGATACACTGCGATAATCAATAAAAAGCACTTCCATTCTTATGAAGATACTGAAAAGTAGGTAGATTCTTGGATAGCCTTAAAATACGAGTTATTTTGACAGAATGACAGAACCATTCTTCAACTTTTATGGAAAAAATAAGTATTAGACCTAATTCCAAAAATCTTAACAATTTAAGAATATACAAACCTTTATGAACATGTCTGTTTTCAACCAATTCAAATAGAGGTTGCTTTTCTAACATAAATCTTTCCTTTATATCATGACAAAGAGAATCAAAATCATTTTCAGTTTTGCAGAAAAATCCCTAAAAAAAATTTTTTTAAAATCAATAATAATTTAAAATAATTTATAATATATAATTATTACAATAAAACTTACAACAGCAATAGAAGGATCCATATGAAGAATATGACTCCGTGAAGCTTGGGAAAGGTGGTAAGAAGCATCTATTTTGCGTTCATGTTCCATTTCTTTTCTTTCAACAAAGCCTACATTTTGAGTAGTGTGTGGATCAAGAAATATCACATCATTTCCAACACAGCCAATGAAATAGAGAGCGTGGTTCGGTTTTCCTCCAATCACACCAATGCTTTGTCGCATTGTGAAGCAAGTCTGTAAATAAAAAATTAAAACAAATTTTAAAATAGAGCCTCGATACCTCAGGCCAGGGACATACCGACAATCTCAGCACCATCCACCGGCACATATATTAAGCTACTCTTAACAAAAACCCTATTAATTATATCAATGGTAAGCCATAAAAACCTCATTACTCCATATATCTTGAACAGTTAAAAACTATTTTTAGAAGATTTTCTGACTTTTCATTCACTATACCTCTGATATTATGAATGGCTGAATGGATGTTCGAAGTTGAAATGAGTTTCCAACAGTTCAGGGATAAAAGAAAAATCAGTGTAAAAATTAACAGACTTTTCATTCACTTATCCTTTTAAATTCTTGAATAGATGAATGGATTTTCATGGTTCACACAATTGTCTGATTGCTTAGAAGTATGCTAAAAGAACAACTATGAAACTATGTCCAACTTCTCCTTTCATTTTCCTTTTATATCTTGTAAACAGTCAAATCGATATTCATGGCTCAAACAATTTTTTAACAGTTCCGATGTAGGATGGGAGCGGGGCAGCTCAGTGGTTGAGCACTGACTTCCAGAGCTCAAGGTCTTAGATTCGAATTTGGCTGATGATTAGTAATTTTTCATTAGCCGTGGATCGACTCTGGGGCTGGGATAACCTCCTGGGGCAAACCCAGCCTCTATAAAGTGGGTACTCTTAATTAAATAATTAATTAAGGGGGAAAACTTGGCGGTTGAGTGTGATATTGGCCTGTCAACTCCCTGCACAACCGTTAGCCTTGTAACAGTACTTCCTCACATTGTGCTGAATCCATAACCCTTCATGAGATGTTAGCGGAAGAGGTTTTTTTTTTTTGGTTTTTTTCAGATGTAGGCTAATAGGAAAATGATTATGAACATTTTTCAATTCTTCATTGAATTTTCCTTTTACACATTATGAACGATCGAAAAGTGAATGAAAAATAGAAAATTTTTTACACTATTTTTCCTTATAACCTATATCTAAACTGTCAAAAAATTGTTTAAACCACTAAAATATATTTAACCGTTTACAAAACGTAAGATGAAAAGAGAATGGAAATCAGAAAATTCACCACACTCGTATTTCTTCTAGCATACTTCTAAAAAGTCAAAATATGGTTGGAACAGCAAAACTCCATTCAATCGAGAAATAATTTAAAAGTTATAAAATTGTCATGCTTGTTTTCCTTTTAACCTATTTCTTAATAGCTGGAAAATTTAAACATCAATTTGTTTGTTTAATCATTATTTAAAATAAAAAATAAACAAGTTATTCGATATTCCAAAAACTAATTAAATAATTTGTTCTTCTAAATAAAATCTGCTCTACAGTGGTTGGAATGAAAAATGATCAACTGAAATTTTTTTGCCAAGAGGTGTTTTGCTATATACAGGTTCCTAAATCAAATCTACACTTAACTATTGAAAACAATTCAAATTATTATGGATTATAAGTTAATAATTGAGGATGTGAAAGAAATTGATGCCAAATGGCTTAACATATGAAAACAAAACATAAATAATGATTTCTAGAAAATCAAAGTATATAATGATTGTTGTAAAAAATTGGATATATTGATTGTGAATATGCGATTACAATTATAGCGAGTTTGATTATGTGATTACAATTACAGTGATTTTGATTGCATGATTACATGGTTGTAATTGCAATCAGGTTTTAGTTCACTATTGAAATCACAAAATAATGTTATATTTTTGCTATTTTTATAGCGCTATAGTATCAAGTATAAAACTGCCATGATCATAAAGTATTATATGAGGAGTTGGTCGGGGTGCGGTCAAATACATAATATAAACTAAAATAATATTTCATTGGTCCCATCCCCTTCTCTAGTTCTCAAAATCTGCCCTCAATTCTTTTGTATAGATCTCTACCATACATCCCTTTTCTTTATAACAAAATTCAAAAATCTTTACATTGCTCCATCACCAACCTGCGAGTTGCTTTTAAAAACTACAACAAACTTTCCAATATTTGCTCAAACCTAAAAGACTTCATTCCTCTCCAACATCGCTCAAACGTATACCGTATTTCTTGCTCCACTCCCAATTGTAACTCTGCATATAATGGAAAAACTGAAAAGCATCAACCAACACAAGCACACAGACCGCATCAACCAACACAAATACTCAATTTTTTCAAATAATCCTACTGTTTCTCAACTTTCTGAACACACCTTATCCTCAAATCACATATTTGACTTTGACAATACCCGACCATGACAAAAAACTACTCACAGAAAGTGTTTTGATCAAGTTAGAATACAAATTACTTAACTTAAAAACAGACAAACAAAACTTGTCCCTCACCTATTCCAAAATTATTAATCTATTAAAAAATTCTTTATCATTATAACCAGTATAAATTTTTCAAATTCATTTCTGGTTCCTTTTTTATGCCACCCGTATTCTTAAAACTCCTTCCTCGTCTCCTCTTATTTCTCGTGCGTGTGTGTGTTTCGTTTACTTTTTTTTTTTTACCTTTATACCTTGTTTATACTACCTTATTATATATATATAATAAATCTATCCTAATGATACCATAACTCACTATATCACTTATTAGTTTTTCTATTTCATTATTTGTTAACCTTTAGTTTCTTTATCTGTTAACCTGCATTTATAAGTGTAATCTCAACTAGCTTGTTATCCACTGATATCTTAATATTATTTTATCTTTCTTATTTTGCCTTTACTAGATCATTACTAATTTGTTCTTCAATTCAACAAGATTATTTTTCTTCTCAAAACCATAGAAAATGCCACTTTATCTCCAAAGTCAGAGTTAATCTGTCATTTTTACATTTTTTTTTTTAATTCAGCAGATGGAAATACATATGAATTGACTATTTTCGAGCACAAAACATTTTCATTGTTGCCCAGTGTAATTCATTTATTTTATTTTCACTGTGCGCCTTTTGTATTCATTATCTTTTGTAGCCCTGATGAAGACCTACAAAGTGGGTTGAAAAGAAAAAAGGCGTAACAAATAAAATACTATTTTAATTTTTAGTATTTATTTGACCGCATCTCGGACCAACTCCTTCTCATATTATAATCACGGTCAACCATCTCTATACCATTATAAAGTTTTATAATCAGTTGTTATCAAGTAATCATTTCTGCTCTGATCTTACCTTCAAGCTATTAATGTACACAGCATTTATTTCATTAATTCCTAGTCTCAGAGGAATAATTAGAGCTAAAGGTTTCCATTCTCTTCCCCTTCTTTCTTGGATACATAAGTTGCCTAAAAAAAATTTATAAAATCAATAACAAATAAAAATATCCTTAAAATGTGACAAACTGTATACAGCAAAAAATATTAGAAAATATTCAACAAATTTGCAAAATTTAATAAATGATCAAATTATCATTATAATTTCCCTATTACTGAGGTAAGAATGATATTGAAATTGGATCAAATTTTTGGTAAAGTAATTTTCAACACGGACTAGTTGTATTGGCTCATACAAATAATTCACATGATTTATTAATCATTAAATAAATGGTAATATAATGTGGAAATAAGTAAATTTAACTTATTACAACCTGCCCTGTCAAAGGGAACCTATAGCTCTAGGTACCAGGCAGGTTGCAATGGCTGATAGAGTAATGTCCTGTTAATGCAGGATAGCTGGGAATAAAGGAATACCAGCTTCGGATCATGAGCGGCCGAGTCTAGAGCGGGGTAGCATGGTTCATGGCATGACCATGCCAATCAAATACCCCAGGAGCCCTGAGATGACTTTAGTGACATGGCAAGGAAATAAATAAGCGCTGCTTCTAGGAGGGGTCGTCGTCTAGGAGAGGGACAACTCCGAAGGAAAACCCGGTAGGTGGAGCTCGTTAACCAGGTGATGGATGTCTGTCTAAGGGAAGGAGACTCTGAAAGAAAACCCTGGCCCTCCAGATTGGGGGTTATCATTTGGGTCAGCGGCTCAATAATGTAAAATCTGCTTTGCTAAAAAGTCAGAACAGAACCTCGGATTATATGGAAAAAGACTTTGGAAACGGACACATATATTACATTTTGTAACATGTAATGAGCAAATTTTAGCAAATAAGAAACAGGAAGTGCAAAAAGAAATTTCTAGGTTTCAGCTAGACGTAGTTGTCCTTACTTACGGAGATCAAGCTAAAAGGAAAGGGACAAGAATGGATGGGGGATTATGATTACTTGTGGAGTGGTGTAGCGAACAATGAACGAGCAAAAGCAGGGATTTCTATGGTGTTGAAGAGAAAGTTAAAAAATCTGATTACGCATTGTGAGGAAATTTCTGAGCAATTGATCAGAGTTGATCTCAATCTCTGGGGCAGATGTTTTGTGATTAAAGGGATGTATGCACTGGGAAACCATGAACCTCAGGCGAGTGAAGATGTTTTTGAGGAGAACTTATGCAGAGATCATCCTAGCGGGAGATTTCATTGCGAGAGTGGGACAGGAAATTGGCAGCAGGGTGGTTGGATGCTTTGGTGAAGAGATTGTAACGGACAATGGTAGGAGGCTCATAGATATCTGCGAGTCTTTCGATCTAAAAATCCAGAACACTTTTTTCAGACATAAGCGGATTCATCAAACCACGTGGAGCAAGTCGGGATTCCAACCCTCGATATTGGATTATTGCATTACGAGGCAAAGGTGCTCTTTTAAAGTAGAAGATGTGAGGATCTTCAGAGGAAGGGAGTGTGGCAGTGACCATTACATGTTGAGAGCCAAGACACAGGAGAAACGGAATACCATTGTTTTGGACACCCCAAAATACAAGTTACAGCTTCTCGGAGATGTGAGAGTCAAGACCCTATACACAAGGAGATTGGAAGAGATGATAGACCTTTTCTATGGACAAACGGCTAAGGAGAAATATGGACATCTGAGGGAATGTGTCCATTCCGCAGCGAGAGAGGCTCTTGGTGAAGAGGAGGAGCAACATGTGCCGGATTGGTGGACACAGGAAGTAGCCCAGATGATAAAGGAAAAGAAGCTGGCTTACAGAAAGTATCTTTCTTCCACCAGACAAGATCATTGGGCGGCATAGAGAATCCTGAATCGGAAGGTAAAAGAGCAGGTGACAAAAGCCAAGAATGATGCATAGGAAAAATGTTGCCAACGAATAAACAGAACCCTAGGTTTTAATCGAATCCGAGAGTCCTGGGGGATAGTGAGAAAGATGCCTGTGTCAAGAAAGGGAAATATCTTATCTTCCATTAAGGAAAAAGAGTGGGAAAACCACTATAAAACTCTCCTAAGTGAGGATACACCCCAGTTTAGGCATGAGAGAGAACTCAGTTTCTGAGTTCAAGCAGTTGAAAAACTGGTTGAGGTGGAGGAGAAAGATGTTCAACGGGCGCTAGCAAAAGCGAAAACTGGCACATCTCCGGGACTAGGCAGAATCGCTATGGAGCTCCTGGCAGTGCGAAATTAGTAATCCTTCTGACAGAGGTAATTAACCTTGTTCTAAAAGGAGAGGATATCCCAGATGACCTGAGGGCTGGGTACATATCATTAATATACAATAAGGGTGATCCGCAGGAAGTTCAAAGAATCTGCATGCAAAGATCCGTGACAAGGATTATTGGAAGGCTGCTCAGGGATAAGTTGGAGCAGGCATACATCATCCCGCGGGAGCAAGCACGGACAACATATTTGTTCTTCGCCAACACATAGAGAAGTCCCAAGAAAGAAAGCAGGAACTGCATATGGCTTATATAGACCTTGAGCAGGCTTATGATAATGTTCCAATAGAGAGGTTGTGGATGACACTTGAAAAAGCAGGCATTTGTGGTTCATTGAAAAGGGCTCTGAGGCACTTATATGGCAACATCATGTACCAGATAAGATGTGGAAACCACCTTTCTGAGCCTTTTCATGCTACCAAGGGGTTGAAGCAAGGATGCAGTACATCACCAAATCTCTTTAAGATATACCTGCACGAGGCAGTAAAGCCATGGTAGGAGCAATGCGCGGACATTGGGCCATTTATTGATGATGAACTATTGCTGTCCTTGTTTTTTTGCTGATGACCAGGTCGTGTTAGAGCGAAGGAAGGTCTATCTCAATGTAATGGTGTTTCAGTTGAAGACCATTTACGAAACTGCTGAATTAAACATCAACTTTGAGAAGACCGTATACATGGCCATAGGCATTATGGATACTGGAGTACTTCTAGTGGACAAGGAGTCCTGCAAAATGGTTAATATTTTCAAGTACCTGGGAACTTATCTCGACGCTACAGGGTCTTCCTTCTGAGCATGACATCAGGAGGAAGGTGGAGCAAGCCCCCAAAAAAATGATCCCCCATATTATGATATAGTCACAAATAAAATGAAATAGAAATAAATGACCTTCATCTTGGCCGCAACAATGATGGTTCCGTTACTGAGATGCACCTGGTCACGTACCCATCATGAATACAAAATAGGCATTAAATAAAAAATGTATAAACCAAATTCAATGAGGGTGAACCATAGGTTACAATTATTTAAAGATTGAATCATTTATTACTCACGTATTTCATTAACAACAATAGTGTTATCAAGAGCAACATGAACTGCCAAATTACTCCATTCATCATATACAGACAATTTTCTGGAAAAAAAAAAAAAAATATATATATATATATAAATTGATGAAATTATAATATGTATAAACATTAAATTCTTATTCTTTAAATATTGTATACTTTAGGACTTGAGCAACAGTGTTTGGTCCAAACCAATCTCCTACTTGTTTTCCTTCAGATGCACCCATAAGTGCAATTTGATGTATGGAATATGGAGATGATCGACGATCTTCAAACATTTTAAGTAATTTCAAATAACGAACATCGTGACAAGATGGTGTCCATTCCCAATCCCGGCCTGAAACCATATATATAATATACATATATTAAACACATATACTCATAACTGATACATTATTCAACCCGTTTCAATAAAAATTTAACTTTTTGTAAAAATGTAAGTTATCAATATTATACTTTTTTTTTTATGACTATAAAAACTTTATGGATAACAATTCAATTTTAATATATTTTTTTTTTTTTGCCAAAATCAGTAAATATACTGAAGAAGAAGAAAATAAATACATGCAGTCCCTACTCGAGCGCTTAGACCACTACAGCGTGAGTTTGATTCCTGCATGGGGATAGTAACGTCCCCACCCTGAGATTCAGGCAGGTACTTACTAATATAGATCCTTTTTTCAGCCTATTTTCATAAAACCTTAAGATTTAAGTTAAATATTTCATTTATTAATTCTATTTTTTATTATTTTATATGTTTAAATGTTTGTAACAAGCTTTAGTAGTGAATTATTTTCTAATAAATCCAAATTAGTCCTAATAAAGTTTTCATTTTAGATTTGGAATCACATCATTTAGTTGTTTCATGCTCATCGTCGATTTCTCCAATACTGATTTTCTTACTACAAGAACTTGTTCTTAGTCTTTTACTATTGTTGAAATGGTTAAATAGTACAATTTAAATATCTACAATCAGTTTGATATAATTTTATATTTCCTCCCTTGGGCTTTTGTTTTTTCTATCCTTTTTATGATTTCTAGTAGCTATATTAGATTTTTGTACTGATTGTAAGTTGAGAACTGATTGTATAAGTCTTTCCATAAATCACATATTGAAGTACATCAGAAACAAACAGTAAATATTTAAATAAAACAAACAATGAATGTTATTGAAAGCTAAATACCTAGGTGTAAATTTATCAATGCCTGAGCAATAAGCATTTGTCCACAACGCAACATGCATCCCCATCCTTTATCAGTAGTGTAACTAGAATCTCCAATAGCGACAAATCCTTTTCTATATGAAAACCATAATCTGGATTTTATATCCCTTCGAATAGCTTCAAAATCTGAAAAAAAAAATTAAATAAAAGATAGAATTGTTTAGTAATAAAGCAAATAAATTGGATACCGATCACATTAAAATCCCCTTTTAACTCTAAACAAATCCAATAAAAATAATCTCTTATTGATAAAAAATACATTGCTCTAATCAACTAGAAATATTCCTTGATAATCCCATAGCACAAAGTAATTGCAGCTACATGTTAACAACTTCTATAAAAGTCGTTACATTACACAATTGAAGAATTGGAGTCAAATAAAGTAAAAGCCAAATATTAAGTTACAGCCAATTAAAAAAGCTCTAAAATCCTTACATTCTTTTTTCAATTGAATGCTGTTGGATCACAACATTATAAATACAATTATTCAATTGGGTAATGCATGGAAAAATAAATCACTTAAATCTGAGCTGCAGTAGAATCCAAGTAATAAAGAATGTAAATAAGATTGAGATTACACTTTTTATATAATAAAAAAGGATTTTTAAATAAAAAAATCAAGCTAAATTTTTGTAATAACACCGCATCTACGAAGTATGGTGGGAGCTGAGTGTAAGGCCTGAACAAAGGTAGGATGACCAATACTGCAGCCAAAAATGATGCTATTAAAGTGTGTCTCAGCTCTAATTGATAAACTTCATAAAAAAATAATAAATATTAAATAAATGTCTGTTATATAAAATTAAATTTGATTAACAGTTGCTATGTAAAATAACAGTAACAGAGTTAGGAACTTATGAAATAAATAAAATAATCATTATGTAACATAATGAAATTAACAAAGATAATTATGAAAAATAGAATAACAAAGAAAATGTAATGTAATATTAAGAGAAAACAATTGTAACTTTTAAACATGAAATAAAAAGGGTAATGTAGTTGCTATAGGTTGATGTCTTATTATGTTAAGAGCAAGTGAGAAAAACAAAATAAAAACAAAAAAAGGAATATGAATTTATAAAAAGAAAATTATAGATGTAGTCGAATCTACCAAAACATATTCTAGAAGAGAGAATAGAATTGTAAAGTCACCACACACAGTAACTAATCTATTATATTATATTTTCCATTGCTTTGTTAATTTCATAAAGTTGTTATTGTTATTTTATTATTGTCTACTTCACCACTTTATAGACTTGTTTTATAACTTCCTATTTTCCATTATTTCATTAGTCTCTAACATTGTAACCATTATTTTATATATCCTAACTTTGCTTCTGCTATTTTCTATTCCCAATTTTGTTACTATTATTATATACTTCATTTATATATCAAATAGTAGCCTTTTCAAACATTTATTAATGTTAAGTTTACTCTACCCACATGTTATTAGACTATATCTTATATCTACATATTATTGCTTATACTGTCAACTAGTTTCTCATAAATATAGATCTCGCCTTTTCATAGCTCTGATGAAGGTTTGAAACTTGGGCCAAAATGTCAGCAAAAATAATAATAAACATAATTTATTTTTTTCTTTGTTTGACTATCACCCTAACCAACTTCTCTTCAATAAACCAATTTATATTGAAAAATCTGACATATTAACATATAAGTGTTGAATGATAAAAAAGGCAATAGGTTTAAATAGCAAATAAGTATTTGAATCTGAAACCCAAGACAAACTGATGAATTTATAAATTATTTTTCTCACATATAAGACATATTAACTGGAAAGTGAACCAAGAATGTATATATGCATTACACATAAATAAAATGTCTTAATATTCTAACTAAACTAAAACAACAAATGTTGATAAATCTAATATATTCATATTTCTAAATGTATAAACATACATACTTACGTATATGTAGGAATAGCCCAAAGGACATTAGGTTTATATTGTGTATAAGAATTTAAACATGAAACTCAAGACGAACTAATGCATTTATAAATTCATTTTCTTGTGTATAAAGCATATGAACTGGAAAGTGATAGAATAATGCACATAGAAACATACCATGCATAGCAATGTATCTTTTGCCGAGAATCCATACGGGCTCTCTTGTCTGAGGAATATCATCTTCTAGATGACCTGACTCATGTGCAAGGTAAGCTTCGAACATCATATCCATATTAGTCCAATATAAAAGTTTGTTACCACTTCTTCTCTTAATTAGTTGTTTGAACTCCATACAGGGGTTGAGTTTTGACAATGCCAAAACTCACGTTCCCTTAAAGAACAAAGAATCAATCAGGTAACAGAAAATACCTACAGCAAATAAACTAAATAAATCAGTTACCTGGAATAACAAACTGTTTCCAGGGATCTTCCACATTTCTTTACATTTCAGAAATCCAAGAAAAAAATATTTAACAATGGTAAGAAAATATTCTAAGCAATAAACAAAATAATATCTACCTCCAACACATAAAATAACTAAATAGATCATCCAAATACTAAGAATAACCTCACCCCCTCATAAACCCTGTCATGTCAGCTGATTTTTATTTTCAATGTTGTATTATGCTGCTATTGTTTTTATTTTACTTTCTAACAAAGTTAATTAGTAATAGATAATTTAAATTACCTTATAATTTAACATTATTAATGTAGTAATTTAAATACAATGTTTATAAATACCTGATTCAAGGAACAGGAGATAAATTTGAAGCTCTGTACCTCTATGCAAAGATGCATTTGAATTTTTAACCAACTGTCACTGTAGGGTGAAAGTAGGGATGGTACTGGAGCCGTTCCAAGGAACCTAATACGCACCCGAAGTCGTTTGGAACGGCCCACATTGGGACGACCTAACGCTACTGTTGGACATTGGAAGAAAAACAAAAGTTAAAATTGGGAAGTTTGAATGCATCAGTAACAAACAAATATTGTTTCTCCTTCATGTCTAGTAATTTTTAACTTAATTGTCGCATTAATAATGGCCTGATGTGAAATAATAAGAAAATAAATGAGAACCATTTTTTTTACATTTATGCCGGCTTGCCAATATTTCTAGTTCAATCCTAACGGCATCTGCTGGGCATAATTTGGTACTTCTACTGAATCCTAAGACAGCTGAAACATTTTAAAAATAAAAATCGTTGTTACGACATTTCAAATGATTCCAAGGAATTTTGGTCCATTTCGTAGAGTGACCAAAAAAATACATAGACCCTATTGTTAACAAAGGTTTGAACTTCCAACAGTTTTCAGACCTTGCCCCAGCCAGCCACCCCGGAAGTTATTGAGGATTTAACACGAGAGAACGTTGAATTTAGAGTGACCAACATTACTTTTTATTTATTTAATTCGTTTTTACTCGCCTATTCGAGTTACTATCCACACAGGTTTTTACTAAATAACATCTAATCGTCTTTACTGACCAAATCATAAAAAACATATCACGATATTTGATATATTAAAACATCAATGGTTTTAAAATATTTAAATAAAAAAAAAAAAAAATTTGTTATCATTACATACTTTATGTATTTATATTACAGTATAATATGTCCTTATGAAATATTTGGTAATAAATTATACAATATCTGAACAATGTAATATTTACAATACACATTACAAGACATGAATTTTAAACAATCTATTGGTATCTGCCGCGAATATTTTTACAATATTTATTTGACGTGAAATACTTATATTTGCAATACTCTTAATGCATGAAATAATTATTTTGCACAAAACACTTATTATTTAACATAAAATACCGGATATAAATAGCGATTGATAATCTAGAGCAATAATTTCAACAAATATTTGTTTTGTTTTTAATTTTATTTAGACATATAACATTCCGTCTCGTGGACAATGATTATAGTGATAAATGAACACATTCACACCATATATACAGAAAATATGTACAATAAAAAAAAATAAAATAACCTAAAGATAAGTAAATTAAAAACGCAGTCATGCCTAAATACAATCAGACAGGGAACCCAAAGCCAGGCTTCTCTCTCTAACTATAGAAGGAAAAGCAGCTCTAACAGATCCCTGCGCTACTCTCTCAACCAAGTCACTGGTGATGAAGCCAGTGTAGTTTGAGCGAGAGCACTTTAGCCACATACATTCATCTCTTGAGTGGAGAATCTGGCCATTGCCAGAACTCCAAGATATATACTATAAAAGATCTCTGGGCCACTGCCGCTTCAACCTTCGAGGAGGGTTGTAGGGATGAGTGGAACTAGATAGGGATTGTGCTAGGGGATTTAGATGATTGATAAGGTTCTGATGGAATTTGGAAAAATTTTGAGGGATAAGGTCAAGGACAAATGGGATATTAAGGTCATGATGTAGGGTTTTGTTGGTTTCGTACATCGACTATTGTTTGGAGGATTTTGGTTTAAAAGGATTGGATGCGTTTGATGTTAGAAAATTTTGCTGTTCCCCAAAGTTCAAGTCCATAGGTCCAAATAGGTTTCAGGATTGTCTTTTAGATCAGTAATTTGTAGTCAATTGAAAGTTGAGATTTTCTAGTCAGCAGTCTGTATAATTGGCCGTATCGTCGCTTAAGTTCTAGTCTTTTAGGTTTAGTATGTGGGTTTCACGTTAATCTTCGGTCTAAGGTAAAGCCAAGATACCGGACTGTGTCTGAAAAAGGAAGCTGGATGGAATTAAATTGGTTTGATGGACAGGAACTGCGCCGGAGTGTGAAGGTAATGTGTTTGGATTTGTATTCGATTACTTTGATGTGCCATTTATTACACCAGTGTTCAATCAGGGAGAGGTGCCTTTGCAGATTTAAAGATGCTATTTCGGGATCTAAGTTGGATGACAGGATGGCGGTGTCATCAGCAAATGTTGCCAGGAAGGTATTTGGAATTCAGCGGTAAAAAGGATATAAGGGACGGAGTCCAAGACGCTACCTTGAGGAACACCTGCTTCAACTAGGTAGGAATTGGAAAATTCTGTACCACAGCGAACTCGAAAGGTGCGATCAGAGAGGTAGAAGCAGAAGATTAGGTATAAGGACTGCGGAAGATGGGTTTTCAGCTTGAAAAGAAGCCCGGCGTGCTATACTCGGTCGAAAGCTTGAGCTATGTCCACAAATGCAACCGAGCAATATTGCTTGCTTCCCAATGCTGCGGAAATATGATCGAACACTCGGAGTCCTTGTTGGACTGTGGAGTGTTGTGAGCGAAATCCCAACTGATGGGAAGGAAGATTTCGGGATTCTATAAAGGGTAGAATTCGTTTCAGGAGGATCTTTTCAAAGATTTTTGAGAGATTCGGAAGTAGGCTAATTGGTCTATAGGACGTTGAGGTGTTGGGAGGTTTGCCTGGTTTCGGAAACAGGATAATAATGGAACGTTTCCACAAAAGAGGAAAGTGGGTGGTTCTTAGGATGGCATTATATAAGTAGGTGAGAAATATAACAGCTTTAGGAGGAAGTTGTCGAAGGATTTGAGAGGTAAGGAGGTCGTATCCAGCAGATTTTCGGATTTTGTTGGTGCTCTTCCATAGGGAATCGTCATGAACAGAGAGGGAAGTAAGGTAGGAGTTGAAGGATTGGGATTTGAAGATGACCAATTCCTACTTTAATTGGTACTGCAATAATTATAGAAGCGAGGATCAGTGGGGTGTCTTGAGCGTTGCCATAATATTCTGGCACGGCATTTGATGTGCATTAGGTTTAGTAAGTATTGAGGTAAATTATTTTTCTTAGGAATTTTTGAGGAGAGATTTGGAGAGGAGGCAGTCCAGATTGCTTGTTGAATAGTGGTGGTAAAGCAATGTACGGCATTATCGAGGTCTTCTAGGTTTTTCAGGATTACTTTGAGGTCAATTTTATCAGAAAGGATTTGATGAAAGAGTTTCCAGTTAACTGGGCCTCTGATGAAGGACGGTGAAGGGGGTTTCGGAATAGGAGCTATTGATAATTGAAGTAATAATGGACTATGATCTGAGGAAAGTTCGTCAAGACGAACTAACTGATTAGACCTAAACCACTGTGGATGAAGAAATCAAGGATATCAGGATTGTGGTTAAGTTCAGTGGGCCAGTAGGCTGGTGAGTTGGGTGGAAGGAGACTGAAACGTTGGGAATTGAGTGCAGACAGAAATGTTTTTCCACAAGAATTCGTGGTTCTTGAACCCCATTCTTGATGCTTGGCATTTAAGTCTGTTGATGTCCGTGAAATATTACGCTTGTCCCAGTGTGCGGCCCCAACATGTACAAATTAATGACTTAGGGAGGAACTGTTTAGAGGACTTAGGCTTATTATTATAGACTAGAGCTGAAACCGTGAAATGTTTGAAATTTCAAAATTTTACTGCAGATTCCTCTGAGCACTACCATTCTTACATTAGGTGATAACTTTAATGCAAAAGAATCATATTACTTACTTATCTGGCCCACACATAGGTCAATGTCCAATATAAGGCCTCCTTCGCTATCCGTCTCCAGTCGTCGCGATCCTTCTCGCAGTAACTCAAAGTATAGCCAAGTTCTGCTCCATATTCTTCAACCAGCTTGTTCTGTGGCATCTTTTCTTCTTTTACCATGAATAAGAATAATACTCATTTTATTAAAATATTTTAATCAGACTATTATTGATTTAAAAAAAAAATCTGTTTTTATTTCTAGGGTTCTCCAACATACACTGGCATACACATATATGTCCCTATTTTCTTTGAGCGATCTTTACATACATCTTCGACTCTACAGCCCAGTCCGGCCCTGGTCTCCAGAAGAAACTATTCCCACCAGTCTCTTTCCCTGGCTATCGTCCACCATATATACGAATCTTGAAAATCACTGGGCGATGCGAAATTTCTGGTGCCCCTCTTCGCAATATATTTGGGTAGATGAGTGATACTTTGTTTTAATTTTATTATTTGTTTGGGGGAAGGAGGAGGTTAACCCCCTTCGATTTTTTTAAAAGATAAGATGCAATATGTTTAGGTAGGTGAGTGATACTTTGTTTTAACATTTTTCTTTCTGAAGGTCACCCCTCCCCCCTCAGATTTTTTAGAAAGATAAAATGGTAATATATTTGGAATATTTGGGAAGGAGGGTGATACTTTGTTTTAATTTTATTATTTGTTTGGGGAAAGGAGGGTTTAGCCCCCCTCCGATTTTTTTAAAAGACAGAATGACAATATGTTTGGGTAGATGGGTGATACTTTATGTAACTTTTATTTTTTTGAGAGTGGGGTTAATATTAGGATTACTTATGACATAAAAATGTCAAATTTACAAACATTTGAAGAAAGAAAACGGGCTTCTATAATTTTGAATTAATTTTTTTTTTTTTTAATAGTTCCATCATTTCACAGTATGTTTTATATTTATTTCAAATATTTTAAAAAATTGCGGTACTTTGTATTTATGAAAAAAAAAATACATCAACTTCTAAAATTACATTTCATTTGTTTTAAAATAAACAAAATAGTAAATGAATCTTTCTCTGGCTTATTAAATTTATTAATATTAATAAATTAATTGTCTATTATACCTTAAAGTGTTGATTTCATGTAGAAAGATAAACAATAATTTCAGAACGTCCAGAAACAAGGGCCGGAGGAGTATTATGGGTCTAGTGGTTACTTCAGAGCTCGATTCCTCTCCGCAATTTTGCCACAGAGTGAGCGAACCTAGTAATTTTAGTGACCTTGCCCACACCATAACAATATTGTAATAACCTAACTCCCACTCCATATGATCAGTGCCATCCGCATATCACAGCCATTATATTGTTAACACTTATTTATATTAATTTTAATTATTAAATGGAATTCAATGAAATTGATAATAAGTAATTTTTATACTGTTCTCCAAATTTCCTTCAAGTTTGGGTCAAATCGAATGCGCCGTTTTCAAACTATAGGCATATGAAATAATACATTTCCTGATCTGAAAGCAGTATTTGGTTTTTTTTTTAGTATTAGATAGAATTTGATAAAATTGATGCCTATTTCTTTTTACGTTGAGCAATCCCTAAATTCCTTCCAAGTTTGACCCAAATCGAACTTGCGGTTTTAGAGATATAGATGTATCAAGGAAAACAGGTTTGCGCTTATATAAGAGAATGCAATGAACAGAATTCAATCAAATTGACGCTACATTATTTTTTTACTAATCCCTACCTTTTATCCAACTTTGAGCCAAATCGAACAAGCTGTTTCTGAAATATTGGCATATCTACAAAAGTACATTTGTGCGTGCGTAAGTGGGAGTGCTAGTTAGAATTTAATAAAATTGATATGGGACCATCTAGACACCAACCCGCACAATCCCTAAAAATTTATAAAAAACTGATAAACAGTAGTAGGTGATATGCCCATTACATCGATTTGGTTACAGACAGACACCGAACTAAATTGATCCTTGTCTGAAACGTAAAACGCGAGTGGAAATTTTCTATTCTGAGCACAAATTTTTTTTTAACCTCTCGCACGAATACAACGCTTTCGTACCTTCGGTAGTGAAGAAGCAAAAAATTATACTCATCATATGAAGTGTAGTGCGTAGTATAGTTGAATGGAGGTGCATGTCGCTGGCCCGGCACCTATGGCATTTCGAGTTGAAACCTATGCCAATATTTAGTACCTAATTCGTACCTCAAAAATTAGAATTTGTACCCCTCAAGAACCGGAGATATAACGCTCGTAAAAGTGCCGGGCCAGCGACATGGTCAAATGACATATCGATTTTCGAGTTGAAACTTATGCCAATATTTAGTGCCTAACTTGTACTAATTTGTACACCAAATACTAGAATATGTACCCCTCAGGAACCGGAGATATAAAGCTCGAAAGTCCGCTACCGGAAGTTCCATCTCTCTGGCCGACACCAATGGATTTTCGAGTTGAAACTAATTCCAATATTTAGTGCCTAGTTTGTACTAATTTTTACACCAAATATTAGAATTTGTACCCCTCAGGAACCGGAGATATAAAGCTCGAAAGTCCGCTACCGGAAGTTCCATCTCTCTGGCCGACACCAATGGATTTTCGAGTTGAAACCTATGCCAATATTTAGTACCTAATTGGTACTAATTTGTACCAGGAAAGTTAGGATTATTACCCATCAATAACCGGAGATATAACCGTATATGTATATATATATGTACCCCAAGGCGGCCCCCTGTCGTCTTCACTCTTCAACCTGGCCATCGATCATCTCTACCGCGACCTGTGCGACGAGGACTTTTCCAAGAAATTTGGATACAAATTAAGGAATGAGCAGGATTATGTGGTCCTCACAGGTTTCGCGGATGACCAGGCAGTTTCGGCGCGTGACAAGGGGGCTGCAGAAAGAGTGATTGACAGCAAGAACATTTAAAGAAATTGGTCTGGCTATAAATCCTCAAAAAAGTATGGGCATCGTTATAAATAAAGGAGAGCTGGAAACTACGGTGCTCTCCCTTGAGAATGGTGAGTACATCCAAACATTGAAGAATGGAGATACGATTAAGTATTTAGGATGTACATTCTCGGGAGAGCTACAATTCAACGAAGATTCGGTGACTAAATTGAATGATAATTTAAACAAGCTGGTAACCTCTTGCTTACTTAAACCTGAGCAGAAACTCAACATTGTCAATCAATATCTGTCCCCGGGTCTTACTTACCCTCTCCAAACTGCGCCCCTAACAAAGCTACGTCCTGCTATACTGGAGGGCATCGACACTATGATTCGCAGGAGCGTAAAGGCCATTATTGGACTCCCTGCGAATACTTCCACAGCGATGTTGTATGCCCCCAGGAGATACCGAGGATTGGGATTAATCCGCTGCCAATGGGAGGCTCCTCTTCAACATTGGTCCATTGCTCAGCGACTGTCCAATGTACCAGATGCCCTTTTTCAGTCTACCTTCGATTATTCGGCTGAAATTGCTGAATGTGCCGAGAGATTGGGGGTTGATCAGGGTCATCGAAATGTGAAAGCTCTACGGCAGTCGCTACGAGAAAATGCATTTGAGGAATGGGCCAACTGCAGGTGGCAGGGTATTGGTGTTCGCCATTTTAAAGAGACCCCGAAAGCGAATAGATACATCTACGAAAAGCAAGTACTTTCTGGGTCTGAATGGTCGAATGCCCTAAAACTAAACATTAATTATGCACCCCTGCGTGGAGTCCCAGGAGTCAGCGGACAGGTCAGAGAAGTTGGGTCCCTCTGCCGTAAATGCGGCAGAGAGTCTGAAACACCAGCCCATGTGCTGGGAAAATGCCCCAACAACTCCCTCCTCATAACACGTCGTCACCACCGGATCAAGTTCGAGTTGATGAGGCTCCTTAGGAAAAAAAAATTCACCTGCTTTGACGAGGTATATTGCATCGATAGTGAAGGCTCTACGAGATACGCTGATATCGTCGCATTTCCCAAGACAGGAAGGACAGCGCTGATCTTGGATCCAACTGTCCGCTTTGAGAGCAATGACCTCGATCAGGCGGGTGAAGTGGAAAGGGAAAAGAAGAACACGTACGATAAATGTATCCCTTTCCTAAAAGAGAAATTCCGTGAGACCTTCGGAGAGAGAGAGTTCACCGTGAGAGGCCTCTGGTTTGGGTCTCGCGGAACTATCCCAAAAAGAACAAGGAGCTTCTTCGAGGAACTAGGTGTCGACATTAAGGACGTAGCGAGGTTGGCTGAAAATATAGTCCTCGACTCCCTGGGAATCATGCACCACCACGTGCATGGCTAGCCCGAGAGTTTTAATTTATGTATTTGTTTATTTATTTATTTAATGAATAATTGAAAACAATAGAGATAAAGAGAGAGAAGTGAGAGAAAGGGAAACTTAATGTTAAATAAAAAAAAAAAAGCATGAACAATGAGAAGAAGGAAAAAGGGGGAAAAAAGAAATTATAAAAATAAATAAAATAATAAAAATGTATATATATATATTTCTATTTTACTAATATTAACTATTACTTCTGTATATTTATATATAAGTTCATATATTGTCTTAAGGATAGAAGAGTATGCTGTGTATATAGCAACCCAATATAATTGGGCAGCAATCCTTTATATTTTATGAAAATAAAGTGTTTCTCTCTCTCCTAGTTACGTACGCCATGTGGTGATTCGTGGCCGGACTGGAATGGAATTTCGAGTTGAAACCTATGCCAATATTTAGTACCTAATTTGTGCCCCAAAAATTATAATTATTATCCGTCAGGGACCGCAGATATAAAGCTCGCAAAGTGCCGGGCCAGGGACATGGTCAAATGAAATAATGATTTTCGATTTGAAACCTATGCCAATATTTAGTACCTAATTGGTACTAATTTGTACCCCAAAAATTATAATTATTACCAGTCCATTTTTACAGTATTCATCTAGTAAATTGATATTACTCTGTAATGTCGCTGGATGTGAAGATAGGAGAACAATATCATCCGCAAAAGCTAGATACTTAATTTTACAATTTTTCTTTACACAAATACCACCATCTAAGTTTTCTTCTAAATCATTTATATATAAAGAAAATAGAATCGGACTAAGCAAACAACTTTGTCTTACACCCGATTCCATACTAAATGGTTTCGCCAAACCATTCAAACCCCAAACTGAAGCATTAGTATCGCTAGGCAAACTTTTAATTGAATTAATTAATTAAGATGAAAATCCTAGCTGATATAATTTATAAATTAGACTATAACGATCCACACTATCAAATGCTGTAGAAAAATCTAAAAAAAAATGCATACACTTATTCTCTTTTCTTTTGTAATTTTAATTTAATTAGACTCATTAATGTGAATATGTTATCGATTGTTGAATCTTTTTTTCTAAAACCAGCCTGAGATTCTTTAACAATATTGTTTTCATCAATCAAGTCCAGACATCTAGCCAAAATCAAGCCCCTATATAACATGGTAATTGCATTAATGAAGGAGATTCCCCTGTAATTAGAAGCTAAATTTTTATACTCTTTTTTATATAATGGGAAAATAATGGATTTTTAAATGTTAAAGGGACATAGTCCATTTTAAAAATTCTGTTAAATGTAGCCAACAAATGTTTAAAAAGGAATTGGGAGCATACTTGTAAAATTCATAAGGGATCCTATCACTTCCTGGTGCCTTGTTATTTTTGGAGTTACCCAAAACCGCTTTCAACTCACAAGAGAGAAGGGTCTATCTAAAATAGCATTGGTAATATCAGGTTTAGCGGATAAAATTCTGTTTGAAATTAACGGAGGGTTGTACAGAGTTTTAAAGTGCATAAGCCAATCTTGTAATGATATATTACCTACAGACCAGTAATTACTTTTTCTAAATACTTTAACAAGTTCTCGAAATTCTGTACTGTTATTAACCTTATTCAGACGTTGGACAGAATCTATATAATATTTCTTCTTTTTTTAATAAACATAGACTTTTATAAGTACTATTTCAATTTAAATACTGTAATTTATTGTGAGGGGACGAAGTTTTTCTAAATAACTTTAAACTTATAAATGACATCTTTCTAGTCTGGAATCACTCCTTATCAAACCATGGATTTTTCCTTTTATATATTGACCTTGGATAAGGATTATAATTAGCAGACCTCTTGATGATATTTGAGTGAATGTCCATCAAATGCTCATTTACAGATAAACGGTTAACTAAACCATCCACCCTAAACTGATAAACTATCTCATTTTGTTTCAAGCAATTAAATTTT